TATTTGGTTGCAATTCCTTGTGATCACCATGGTTCAGGGCGTCGTGTGTCTTCCTTACCGAGTTGTCCGCGATGAGAGTTCTCAAGACGTCTTCACATTGCCTCTTTTGGGTATGCTGACAGCAAAAGCGTGTGGATTGGGTTTGCTTGTTATCTCACATTGCGTTTATGGTAGGTTGAACATGTTGGATGATGGTACCTCTGGCAGCAACAGGATACGGATCTCAAAGCAAGAAGGCTGTATGGTTGGCTCAATGGTATGCATGGTGTTGGATCTACAAAGCAAGCCTTATTAATTAACGATCTTTACAATGAAACAGCAGCAAGACAATATGGATGACACGGAGATACGGCTTTATTTGAGGCAATGATGCTATTGAGAAGCACCACAAGGTAAGAGTGTTCATTGTGGGATTGATTGGATTCAAGTGGACTTACCAAACACCATACAGTGGCAGAGCCTCTTTCGGCGATACTATTATTATCAAGGCTGCACGTCGAGGATGTCATTGTATAGTACTGTGCTCTCCTGGGGTATTTTGGCCCGGAAACAGTGTGACTCAAGATGCGATGGCATGGCCAATTTGAAAAGGCATCCGCTGTGCGCATGGCCTCCATCCAAGTACGGCTATTGATTTCCTTGCCTACAGAGAGAAGGTGGATATCTCTTATGATGCCAATTTCAGGATCCAATGAGAGTATGGTACATATGGTGGCATACCTTGACGCTGCAGGTTGATTATTGTATTGCCTTCGGATGGTGTATTTGGTTGCAATTCCTTGTGATCACCATGGCTCAGGTATGTATGACTCTCATGCTTTTTGGGGACCTTTGCTAACCGCCTACCTTATTATTTAGAGGGACCATTGCAGAGAGCTACTTGTCTTTTGGTGCTTTGGAGGTTACAAGATCACAGCTATGATTGCTAAGTATTGTTGGATGAGTTTGGACAATTGTTTATGGTGCATCTTTTATAGGTGAATCATGTCAGCCATGGGGAAATGTTTATGTCTTTGGTGGTGTCAACCTTTATTGCGTCTCGGGTGGTTGGTTACCAAGCAATGGGCGATTTCTCTGGAGAATGTCAGCCAAGACTTTTATGAGTGGATTGTATCACAAACAAACAACAGCATCCATATCGTTGGTTCCATATCAAGCTTTATCCCATCATCTGGTTCTTCTCGTTATCGGCAATTCTGTGGGCATCCTGAAATGAAGGTCTCTTATCGATTGATCACATTAGCAACAAGGAACAACTTGTATATCTTTGATATCAGCAAGCTTTCTATCTCTTGGTGGTTCTGGTTATTGGCGATTCCTTTGATGGATCTCTACAACTATACGTGTCTTATGGATGGATCATGTCATCAACAAGCGATGAGAGTCTACGTTGACATCTTTGGTGTTACCAAGGTCATTTATGCATCTCCTCAAGGCATTCATCGTCAAGCTGCATTCGATTTCCAATGAAAAACGATTGCCATTCACATCGCTCTTTAGCCATATGTACGTCACTCCGCAGCTAGGATCTGGTTTGGGCTTTTCGATGCACAATGCTTTCTCGATTTGCATGTGGTCTTGGGCAGCAAGGATTGTCTCGTTGTCTCTCTCTCTCTTTGTAAGGGCTCTTCGGCATCATGTAAGTATGCTATCTTTGGTTGTATCAATATTACTCGACCTTCTCACTGCATATGCCCATAAAGTATCGTTCCATCGCTTTCAAGCCGAGTACCACCGTAGCGGGCCTTATCAACAAGCGGACGATTGCAAAGAACCGGCTGGATTTGGATATCATTAGGATTGCGTGCATATGACTATCATTGGTAACTGATGATCCGTTCTTTTCTACAATGCCTACCAACATCCTCTTTTACTATAGTGTGCGGACTATTCAGCAAGCTACTTGTCTCGTGGTCATTTGGGGTTTTCATGGATGCAGCTGTCATTGGATGTCAACATCTTTTCGTGCATATGGGTATCATTGGTAAATAGTGGATGATCCGTTTTTTGGCTCCAATCCCAACCAACCCCCTCTTTTATTATAGCATGCGGGCTATTCAACAAGCTACTTGTATTTTGGTCCTTTGGAATATTCATCGATGCAGGTATCATTGCAAGTATCGTTCTATGTGTTCGGGAAAGTGTTTACCGTGCATCGTTTATAGGCGAATCATGCCAGGGTCAAAGAGCAACGTCTATAGCATCCTTCAGTGTCAGCTTGCCTTATTACATCGTTCGATGGTTTTCGTTACTGTACCACCTATTGGACACTTCCTTTTATTTGCATCTGCAGCGGCAAGGCAACAAGTTCTATACCTTTTGGTGTCGCGAAGTTTTATCTCGTCTTATTGTGGTCCTAGTTGTTGACAACTCTTTCAATGGATATCCTGCTACGCATGCCTGTTATCGGTGGATCATATCAGCCACAAGCAAGAAGCAGCAATGAGCCACAGAGCCCACATCTTTAGTGTCAACAACATTTATTTGATCCTCTGGTGTTCTCGTTATTGGCCAATTGATTTCAAGAGCCCTCTTCACCGCACGTATCTTATGGATGTATCACATCAGCAACAAACAACAATGTTACGTGTCCTTTTGGTGCTGTCAAGGTGTATCCATCTCTCATGGTATTCATCATCAAGTAGCGCTTGGAGAAACGGCTACCAGGATTGGTCACTGTGTCGGCATCTCTACAGCAAGGAAATGTGTTCTCATTACTGGGTGGCATCAAACATCGTGGATTCTCATATGACACTGGCTAAGTATTGTTACCATTACCTCAAAGATAAATTAGTGATATGCAGTTTTATAGGGCCATCATTCCATCAAGCTATAATTTCGCATGCTCTTGGTGCCATCAAAGTCTCTCCTTACAGTTGTCAATGGCGAACCCTATTGAATTGGAAGTCGAAGATCAACATTTGAATTTGGGTGGGTGTCTCAGAAGCAAGCAAGCGATCTCTATCTTATAGTTGGGGTTGTCAAGGATACCGTTTCCATGGTTTTGGAAATCAGCTACCTGCAAGTCGTCTCTTTATCGGTGGATCTTCAGAGCAATGTTTTTATCAGTGCCATGGCGGATCTCATTCCTCAAGTACTTGTATGGATACCTTGGACGTTCTCTTGGCTTCTCGCGTATGCTTTTCATCAAGACCGGATTTATTTGTTGCAGTGCATGATGTGTCTCTCTGATGATGCCTACCCAAGAAGGTCGCTTGATGGCAGCTACTACTGATATGGCGGATGTTTATTTGCTATGGGTAGAACGGGATGGTGCCTTACTCTTTTGTGTAAAGCATCGTTGGCAGCTATGATTCATTTGCGACAGTGTGGTCAGCCCTATCATGGCCCTATCAATTGCATTTGAGGATTACTGCCTTAGCCGTTGGAAGTTAGACTGTTACTCAGTGGCCTTGTGGTAGATATGGGATCATGTATTGCTTTTCGCTCTTATGGGTCGGCCTCTGTGGGCGTGGGATGCTATCCTTTTATCAGACCGAACATGTTGGCTCGAGCAGCACCGATAGAAGATGCTGTTGTTTACAATGGCAGCCCCCGTTATCCGGCTTGGTGCACCGTAGGGGAGAGGGTGACGGCAAAGCCTTCGCGTGGCCATCCTTGTCAGTACATGGGTTTCCATGGAAGCTAATTTGCCACCTTGTCATTTATATACTTGTTACGCATTCATGAGCTTCACTAACAGTACTCTAAGAGCTATACTTTGATGTTGGAAAGATGACGAATAATCTACAGCATACGTCAAGATAATACCATGGAGCAAGGCTTTCTTTGCAATCAGTCAACGTTGAAGATTGCTTTTGATCATACCATTTATCACTTGATTACAATAGTGTTCTCCATCAGGCGGTGAAAAAGGCAAGTTGGGAGTATCCCTTTCACGTCTACTCTTCTTTCTCCTCAACTGCATTTCACTCCGCTGGACAATGACATCCACAGCAACTTCCTCGCTACGATTTATTCTCAAACGATGACAGCACGTACATGGCACCTTTCCCTACTCGTTCTTTACGCGTTGTGCCGCAAACATGCAGAGAAACTAGCGCCTCGTATTCTTTTTCAAGCTTGGTGACAACGAGCAACTACTTCCAGGGGATGTCTTCCTTGCGTAATATTGCAGCAGCATGTTGTTCAGCTTTATCCATCACACAACATCCATTTCATGTAATCATTACTATCACCTCTTCACCCACCCAAGACACGCGTCATTATCCAACAGCACACTACCACAGGAGATTTGTATCATGAGTCACCCAGAACAAGGTATAGAAGAGTATGGGTAGGTTTGTTGATCAAGGAATGATAACTAATATTGCGGATCGTTCGTGAACCATAGGACGTGATGGTTGGCGTGGAGTATACCATACGGCCATTGATATCCATTATCAAGTATGCATCAATACAAGCAACTCACGCAATGCATGGTATATATCACAACGTGATTGGGCTGCCACAAAGAATGACCAAGCAAGGTATTGACCATTAGCTAGGCGGAAAAGGATGCATATCAGCAGCGATCACATTACCCTTTGATCAACATGTTGGCCTTGGAATGACTATGGATGGATGCAATCAAGCGCAGTGGATGGAAGTCCTGGATAGTCATTTTGATTACTTAGCACGTCATCATCAGAAAGAATGGATCATGCTACGCAGCTACGGCTGTGGATGATGTTGGATTGGATGATATTGTTCAGAAGAAGGCTCTTTGACGAAAGGCGGTTTACAATCATGGATGATCATGGGATATTAGAGTGAAATCAAGCAGCAGTTGATTTGGAACCTTGGGTGAAGATCTCTATGACGGCAGCAACCAAGGACACAATGATACCCATTATGTGTTTTACCCATATTTTTGTATATGCTGTTACCCTGCCTTATTTACTTGATAAATGCCTCTACTGGATGGATATTGGATCAGCATAAGTAGCGTATGATTCCAGCTCATATGTGTGAGATGTGGATCACTTGTTGACTTCTGGATTTGGGAGGGGGGAGAATAGAAACTTGAAGGTTGGAGAGAGGGTTCAAATCATTGCATCATCGCATGTATCATTCGCTAAATCTTCATTGTCCACATGCTATGTAATAGATGGAAAGCATTGAAAATCCTCGAATGGTGGTGTTGCAAAGTAATCAATTTGAGAGTGATGATGCCCAACAACACTGCTCGTTGCATAAAAGCTTAGCTTGGTTCTTTGTAAACTTGATCCATTATGTTCAAGAAAGAGTGAGCTGTGATACAATGTGGCACGAGTACAATGAACTACCATGCACCTATGACAATTTTCAGCTAATAGGGGGAAGCATCCATCATGCACAGCAGACCAATAACGTTGATCCTATTGGCACTGAATCTCGATTGAGTTACACAAACACGCCTCTTCGCATCATACTACTGCTAATCAACGTGGCAGTATAGATATCTTCTTCTTAATTGATCACTGCTTTTGGAATTCGCTTTTTCTCTTGAGGTCAAACAGTCTTTATTGTATCAAAAAAGCTATATAGCTCTTCGAAGACCGATAACGGGAACTATTTTACATGGGATCGTCTAAGCTATGTCCGCAAGCAACAAGAAAGGAAGAAAAAAAGCTTCAATTTACTTCGCCATGGTCGTATTTATCCGTTGTAGTCGCCGTGAGAATCATCCAAGACACAAATAGGAAAGAATAGGATCTTGCATGCTTTCTTCGGTAATCATCATATTGCCAAGAGACTCGTATAATCCTTGTCTTTGTCATTGTAGTCACCGATGTTGTTATGGATCTCCTTATGGTTGTCATCATGTTCTACATCAATTAAAGAAGTCAAATCTGCAGGAATCACATTACCAAATCATTGTTGATGCCATTGTTTTCATGACGCCCACGGGACCAGAGTTTCATCCACTCCAACAAAGAAAGAATGATCCACCATCGTCCTAATCCTCGAAGAGTAACCACCAACATATACATATCATGAGAAGAGCGTGTATTGTTGTGCACTAATGATGTCCAAAAGGTACAGGCTGGGAGTCGAACCCAAGGGGAGATGATGCCCAAAGTTGCACTGCCTGACCAAAGAAACCTATTCAATTCATCATTAGCACACGTACACAATCAAGGCCCTTTTCATTGTCTTTGTTCACTGCACTTGCCTTTTTCATGTACACAAATACCTTTGTTGCTGGTTGCTTGGATACCGAAAGACTATAGTGTCGTGTAGCCGAGTCGAACCAAAGAAGCCTAATGAGCAACGTCTTTTTCCCATCTTGCCATCTATACAAACTAACACGTCAATGGAACAAGCTCTGCTGGTGCATTGGGGCTTTGAATGTACCTGTTGCACCAAGCATGGAGCGGCATAACAACGAACAAGAAGAGCGACGATATCACCTTGACAACGGCACTTGCACACCATCCTTGCCTATGCGTATTCAGCCTTATATTAATACCTCACAACGAATGAGAGCATTACCTGATGGGGTGCCATGAACGGGCTAAGAGTAGAGGGAGGAATAGAAGCGTTCGTCTCCAAGTTGTGGAGCTGCTGGCTCCAAAGTTAAAATTCAGTGAGCCAATTCAATCGCCCGCATCCGCCCAACACACCACCATCATCATTAATGAATCGAATCATCACAACGACGATAATCACATATGGGCTCATTGTCTAAGAGTGACGTATCTCCCAAGTCCTAAGCGTCATCAGCTTTACATCCTCCACAGCTTGGTCCCATTTCACCATCCATAGCAATAATATCCCTTGTGATACTGTCCTGCAGCAGCCAATACATAATAAATCCCATACATATACACGTTATGATAGTGTTTATTGTTCATGTATCTTGATGAGTTTAGCTGGATTTGCCCTTCTCAAGGTTCTCAAGGTCCTGCTTGAGTTTTTGGGTAACCTTCTCTTGGTCTTCCAAAGCCTTACGCAATGCTTGCAACTTCTCAGCGTCCTACATAGCATGCAAAAAGATCACAATAAGTGAAATTATATATGGTACGATGATGGATGTCAAGGAGCTTACGTGTTTTTGTGCCCACTGGTTTTCGTGAGCCTTTTCCTTCTCGCTTAAAGGTTGGCCTTTGCCTTCGGAAGCAGCGATAGAGGCGGTACTAAAGAAACGTTGAGAGGACATGGTTCTTGCAGAAGAAGCGACTTGACGAGACAACATGTGGTGTGTGATGATAAGAGAAAAAGATGAAGAATTAGCCACGTAGGCCGTGCGCTTACATCGAGCTTTTATGAAGAATGGGATGGCTGGGTGTGTCACCAGGTTGGGGCACAACGGAGCTCATATGACGCATACTAGTTCCGATAATAGGCATGATGGTCGGTTGTACGATCGTATATGGTGGTGCGAAAAGCTGACGTGCATTGCTCGTCACTGCTACTACTTAGTTAGGATGATTGCCAAGCGATTCGTCGATTGGATCGGGTTATCGTGGATCTTGGGGGAAAAGCTCGTTGCATTGATGTCAACCATATATCACCGACAACTGCCTAACACAAAGTCAACCGCCGTTGTTGTCATGCATACTTGCATCGAGGAAGGTTACATCCATTTCCCAAACGCGGAGTGGTGAAGGTGAAAAAAAAGAGGGGCATTGCTTCAGTTTAGAGTCTGTGAGCACACACACACAAACATAGAGCATCCTCTTTCATCCTCTGCATACACATACTCCTCTCTCTCTCCCTCTCGCTCGAGCCATTGACTTTCCACCATGGACAGCAATCTATTCTCACCACACCTCGTAAGAGGCCTCACTGACAAGATTTACGAGAAGCGAAAAGCAGCTGCTTTAATGATTGAGAAGTAAGCCATTGCCTTCCCCATCCTGCACTTTTATCAAGCTCATTGAGACGTCCCTCTATAAAGACTTGTTCGCGACAATGAGAACAACCCTGCTCGCATTACTGAAATCATTGAGACGCTTGTACAAGACTTTGTCTATTCCAACAACTCAAACGCGAGAAATGGTGGTCTTATTGGTTTAGCAGCTACGGCTATTGCTCTTGGGCCGGTATGTAGTAGGCACACATATGCACATGTTTGGGATCCAGATAGACTGATCACTCACTACCTTATGTGTTTCATCGCCGTGTGTAGGGCGTTGCACCTTACCTTGATATCATCGTACCACCGATTCTGTCATGCTTCAGCAATCAAGATTCCCGTGTCCGGTATTATGCTTGTGAATGCATGTACAACATTGCCAAGGTTGCCAAGGGAGAAGTATTGCGCTTCTTTAACAGCATCTTTGACGCTTTATGCAAGGTAATAGAGTGCATCATGGTATCGATAAGGGTTCGGATGAGTGACCTATTTGACATAGTTGGCAGCTGACCCGGCAGATTCGGTCAAAAGTGGAGCTGATTTACTCGATCGCTTAATAAGGGATATCGTCTCAGAATTGTCAACCACCTACGTATCAGTTCACCAGCAACCTTACAACCCCGTTGAATCACAGGATGAGACCGATGCTCTTGTTGTTCCTACTTCGTTGCCACGCAACACTGCTTTCTCCTTGCCACGATTCATTCCAGTACTCAGCCAGCGCATCTATGCATGTAATTCATTTACCCGACAATATCTTGTATCATGGATTTCTGTACTCGATTCTATTCCCGATCTCGAATTGGTCTCCTTCCTACCCGAATTCTTTGATGGATTGCTTAATTGCCTAAGTGATCCAAGTGCCGATGTGCGTGTTTCAACAAGTGTGCTCCTCGGCGAGTTCTTGCATGAGATCCAACAGAGTGCTGCCGTGACACGAAATCATGAGCATGGCGAAGGTGCTGCTGGTACAACAACCTCCGATATCGATGATGAGCATAGCAAAGGTACCTATGTGCCTGGTCAAGGTGTCATTGTACAATATGATCGACTCGTCGAAATCCTTGTACGGCATTTATCATCAAAGGAGGAACACATTCAAAAGACCGCACTACAATGGATCAGCCAATTCATTGTCATCGCACCAGATGTGGTTATCAGGTTCACGCCACGTATCATTTTTGATGTGCTTCCATGTCTCGCTCATCCAACCGAAGTCATTCGAGAAACGGCCAATGAAACAAACGACAAGTTGCAGAAATTGGTTCTCAACGCATCACCTGTTCCAAAATCATCCTCCTCTTCCGCCGCCGCCGCAGCAGCTGTAGCAACAACAACAACAGCCCCTCAACCTGAAACAAACGAATCTGAAAAGACCAGCACGAAGCAAAATGATCAACAAGAGAATCATGATGAGAAGGCAGTGGAATCAGCGGCTTTGAAAAAGAGTGGGGGTCCTGTTACTGAAGATGATCCTTTCGATTATCAAGCCACCGTATCGAATTTAAGGTTGCAGTTTTTGAACGAGAATGAAGATACAAGGGTAGCTGCATTGGAATGGTTATTGATGTTGCATGGAAAAGCACCAACAAAGGTTAGGCTTGTATACATGATTCGAAGTCGTGCATGACAACAATGATTGATACGTGTATATGAGTAGATCCTTGTATCAGACGATGGAACATTCCCAGCATTGCTAAAGACCTTGTCCGATTCATCCGATGAGGTAAGAAAGGAGACCCTCCCCCTTTATGCATGCATGAGATATGTGGATCAAGAGCTAAAATAGGATATTGTTTCTAGGTCGTGCGACGTGATCTACAACTACTTGCACAAATCTCATCCCATTCCAAATACGAGTACTTTCGTGATTTCATGACCAATCTCCTATCATTGTTCAGCACCGATCGACGCCTACTCGAATCTCGTGGAAGCCTCATCATTCGACAACTATGCCTTAGTTTGGACTCCGAGCGCATTTATACCACCATTGCAGATATCTTAGCAAATGACGAGGTAAGTAAGGATTGCGGATGGCGTTTGAGAGATCTGATAAGCTCATACAATTACATGAAGGATCTTGAATTTGCAAGCATCATGGTTCAAAACCTGAACATTATCCTTATTACATCTTCTGAATTGGGTGACCTTCGAAAGCGACTTCGCAATTTGGATCAAAAGGTAATGAACATGCAAGGTTGCTAGGGATGGTGTATCTCATCTGACACTTTCTTTCTAGGATGGTCAACAATTGTTCAACACCTTATACCGATCATGGTGCCACAATGCAGTGGCGACGTTTTCCCTCTGTTTATTGGCCCAAGCCTATGAGCACGCTGCCAACATGTTACAGGTCTTGTAAGTGGCTGATCATGCTCGATCCATAACTTAGGATTAACATTTATCTTTTAGTGCCGAGCTCGAAATCACAGTCAGCATGTTAATCCAAGTCGATAAGTTGGTACAGCTTTTGGAATCCCCCGTCTTTACATGTAAGTATTTGAATCATGGCGCGAGTATATACGAGCATGTATTGATCAATGCCTTAGACTTGAGATTGCAACTTTTGGAACCCGAGAAATACCCCTACCTCTTCAAGTGTCTTTATGGTATCTTGATGCTTCTCCCCCAATCTTCAGCATTTTCCACGTTGCGCAATCGGTTGAGCAGTGTATCATCTTTGGGCTTTTTCCATGTCATGCCAAATAAGGGATCTCAGGAACCAACAACAACCAAAACGAGAAGCACCAAAACCAAATCAGCGGATGATGGCATCAAGTTTCAGGAATTGTTACAACATTTCAAGCTGGTACAATCGAGGCATGAACGACAACGGAAATTGGGTATGTGTGGATTTCGGGATAATCAGTGGAAGGAGGAATGGATCGACGCAGAAGTTTAATGACCTTGTTTTTTATATACAACAGCCATCCAAAACGCTCCACGATCCAACCTAAAATCTCGGCGATCACGTTACAATAGCAAGTATACCATTGAGAATAAGAAGTTGGGTAGCCATACAGAGCAACAGACTAACATGGTAGTATAGGTGAACCTTCCTTCCAGTATATACGTGACGATGGTAGCGGCAATACTCCTCATTCCAATGGTGTGCATCCCAAAAATGGATCAACGAACAACAGCAGCCACCTCCTTCATATGAAACAAAACAACAACATGCTGATGGGAAGTTCAAGCGGATCAAATGGTGGTGGAAACCATGGCAACAGTGAGCATGGTCGGTCATCATCATCCAATGTGAATAGCAGCAGCAATGGTGGTACGAGCAATTTCATGCGAGCAGCCGCAGGACAAAATGCACGGATGATCCCACGTAAAACAACAACAACAACAACACGTAAATGAAGGGGGAGGGACGAGTAGGTCATATATAGTGTACAGCATAGTATAAAAAAAGAGATTGCATTGTTTACAAATAGAGAAAAGGAACTTCAAAGTAAGCTATATACATATAATATAGTAGTGATCCAATAGCATTTACACGTTGTTTGTGCTTGTGTGGGTGTGTGTATGTCTTTTTTCCTTGCATGTTACAGATCATCGTCGATCCATCGATTGTTCTTTGCCATGTAAGCATCCCAAATAACTTGGAAATCACCGAGCACAGTGGTGCACACGATTCGGCCAAGGGCTTCAGCGCACATGCTGATTTTACAAAGAATACGCTGATAGATGTCAACAGTGGATGCAGGAGACACGGCAACAAGATCGCTGTATTCGCTGTACCAGCCATCTATTAAGCACATGGTAAAATGACGGATCAGTCATGGGGAGTTACCATGTTGGGAAACCATGATAGGGAGTACTTACCAAGGAACTGGGCAGTCGAAAATAGTTTGATCAAGGTACGAATGTACATTGGATATCGGTCATCTCTATGGGTATGGGATGTATGTAAGTGAAAACGTGTTGTATGGAAGGGGGGGACATCATTACAAAACACACGTACATGGATCGCTCATTTCGTATTATTTCAACAGGTCGTTTGGACCATTTCCATGACGCTCGCCAATGTTGCATGGATCCCATGGTAGATTTAATACTTGATGCAGCTGATGCCATTGTGCTGGATACATTGTTGCTTGTGCTACCGGTTGATGATGTAGCAGTGTTTGCGTTGCCGATATCGGATGGATTAACGTAAAGCGCCGTTTCAAGTCGATGTAATTCCTGCATTGTTAAAGCGGGGTCAAGGGGATCATGTCTTGTGGATTTGAGAACAGACAATAAATATTCAGCAAGAGCAAGCTTCTTGTCCAAGTCAGGGAGCATCTCAACCTCGGGTTGATGCCACAACTCTTTGGGAGCGTACAATCGATTTGTGATGTATCCACCATCGATCATACTTTGTCGTAGCTTTTTCATCAATGTCCAATGATACAAGTGTTCGGTAAGTGAAGGAGGATGTGGCGATGATGATCGAGGTGGCATCACATGTGCTTCTTCTACTTGTGGTGGTGGCGGTGTTATATCACTAGGGCAACAGGGTGCAAGTGGTGAGGAGGGTGGTGTGATCGAATCTTGGCTATTGCTACAAAGGGAAGGTGTCCGCCCTTCCTCTTCACCAATTGTATGTGCGGTGCTTAAAGCGACAATCCGATCTGCATAAGCATCATGCTAATCCCGAACATTTTCAATTGGGGGTTAGAAAACAAGAAAGGACAAGCGACAATAATTGTAGAGTGGGCTTACAATATGCTGTAATGGTGTAGTAGTGGTCTCATGCTTTACTTGACAAAGTAATCCAATTGTTTCGGCATAGGCTTCCAAAGCTAGTTGTACTTGGCCTTCAGCATCATATTGAACAGCTGCCTTGGCACGAATAAAAGCCGCGTTAATTAAAGCTTGGTCAGCAGCTTTCTCGTTATTGGGACGTAGGAAAAGACGGCTGGTGCTGCGAAAAAGCCCGCGTTTTTTGTTTTGTATCATTGTTGGCAACGTAAACACGTGATGATAAAGGAGCGTGGATACAAGTGAAAGAGTGTAAGGGAAAAGGAACGGCGCAAAAGTACAAAAGAAAGCTGTGGAGGGGAAGAGAGAAAAGATCGTATTGACGAGTAGGTGGATGTGGTGCAAAGTGGACCCGCTTATATATACTTGCCGATAGATTTTAATAAAGCAAATGCATCTCATTTGGGGTAAAGAAGGGGGAAAGGGAGAGAGAGCATAGGAAACAATGGGTCGGGCCAAGAGTACAATCCCTTGTTTCAGGAGACTTGCTTGACTTGACCTTGTATACCCATGGATGGATGTATATTTGAATGCTATTCCGGTAGGGGAATGAGGAGGTTTCTTTTATAGATCATGATGATGATGATGACCTTATTACCCACACGACATTGTTTACAACCACGTTGAATGTGGATTACCCTGCAACATCATTGATTCTTCGCATGGCAAGCTGACAATGATCGGCACAACCCGATTTCTTTTTATGGGGGGAACAAGGCCAGGATAACAAAAATGGTGTAGATAGGTGTGTCTGAGCGTATAAACAAGGTTCAAGAGCCAATTTGTCCCAAAAGCTCGTAACGGATCACCAGCAGCATGCAATGCACTTAAGGATACCTTCCGAGCACTAACCACCGGAACGTTTTTTTTTTCGTGCGTTTGACAGCACTGATGATGTTCCTATTTACCTTCATGATCCATCTCCTTTATGCCCTTCTTCGTTACTGGAAAGAAAGGGCGGTGTTTGGTTGCATATGACGTCTCCTCCTTTGCAATCACTCTCAGATCCGGCTGACTCGCTATAAGCACACAACGGACATGTTGCGTATATGACATTTCAAGCAGGAGGATTTGTTGGATGATGTACATGCATGTGAAAATACTTTTATCGAGGATCATGATGATGGTGGCCGATGTCCGAAATAAGGGATAAGATGTCACTTTAGAAAGGGCGTGGTGTTGTTTGCAGCATTGAGTGATTTATTGATTCTAATCAAAGAGTGTATGTACATACATGTAATGATAATGGAAGCATCTACCATCTCCTTTAAACAATCCAATGAGCATCCATCTTTTACTGAGCATCTATCCAAGGTAGGGCACGGATTGAAGGAGACAATCAATTCACCCCGCTAATGTATCATCCATTCCTCTTCCCTTCTTCATATTATGACCCAAAAGTGAAACATCCGCCACTGCCTAAAGTCATCCGTCATAGGAGTTAAGCGTAACAAAGAAACGGATGTAAACGTCAGAAAAGGAGAATGAGTCCATTTCCCGCTCTTATCCACATAACAGCTCCGAATACACGAGGTCTTAACGCACATCAGCATGAACCGCCCAATGTTGTTGCGGATCATCCTTTCTCCCATAAACATGTATGTACGCGTTCTCTCTCACACATACCCTGCATTATAGTCAATCTGAGATTGGTATGCTTATGTTGACAAATTCTTGCTCCTTATGAGAAGTGGGCGAAAAAAGGTATAAGAGTGTATGTAAATGCTTTTTCTCCTGCATTGATTTTGGAATGTGAAACTTGACAGAGCATTATGGAAAGAAACAGATGATCTCGGAAGCCCCTTAGATTTCCAAATAGAGATGAAAATAAGCATTAGGCTCTTAGTTATATATAATACGTCGCGGGGTGCAACACATCACGATCATTGCTATTCTCGGGAATCTTGTTGTGCATAGACCAATAGGCTCGTGCTTTGTTGACCAACATGGTACATAGCAAAGGTGGATTACACAGCTTTATGATCGAAAATAAGGGATGACAATATCAGGGTATTCCCCACCTCGAGCGCGGGACCGCATGTACCTTTCTCTTTTTGGAAGGCAAGGTTGCATTACAATACACATTACGCTTGCCGCGTTTTTCTCTCCTCATCGTATCCATGCACATGCCACTTTTCTTCGAGTCATCAAATGTCACTTGAGTATCACTTGCATTGAATCTACATATGGCGTGTCGATAAAAGGAGAACATCTACTATACTTGGTCATATCGTTTTCAAGGGGCGGGTCTCAAAGTGAATGATTCATAGGTCAATGCATAGTTAAACTTTTAACATGCTTTCATCTTCATGCATGATTTGTGAGCTTATCTTGTCACATGCGTGTAATCAACTGTAACCCAATGCTTGTTTTCAATAAAGTAAGCTTGCTTTCACAGATGCTTTGCGTGTATATATTATAAATCCATTCTCTGTAATACATCATTCCATATAATATACAAGAGCGAACACTAAATTTGCTTGGGATAGCATATAGGGCCTGAATGTCCACCTCCATAGACCATGAGCACGCTGGTACCAAATTCGAATGGATTGCCATTGTATGCCACAAAATCAGCCTTTCGTCCCTGACGTAGCACACCAGCAGGGCTAGGGTTCTCTGGTCGATCCAATCCAAAAATTTCTGCCACATTCCAAGTAACCAAACCAATAGCCTCTTCCTCTGACAAGTGTGCATTGTGTGCCAAATTCCATCCAGCTTCCCAAATCAAGTTGCGAGCATCCCCGTTTTCGAATTCAGTGCTGGCAAGACCCACGTTGACACCATGTCGCAAAAGAACATCCAAGACCGTCTCTGGTGTTAAGGGTGGACCATACAAGCATAGCCTTGATTGCCAAGTGGATGCATAGCAACGAGCTGGCATCAAAATAACAGGGATGTGATTGCGTGCAAGGTGCTTGGCGACCAAATGAGACTCGGCTCCACCCAAAATGATAAATTGCACCTTGTTCAAAACCTGTTGCTTCATCTGGATAATGGATGCAATCTCGTCCTTGTCATTGGTTTCCACCACGACCGGTAATTTGCCTTGAGCTGCACGTGCAAACACATTCGACTCATCATCCTTGTCAGCATGACGGAGTAAAAGTTCACGGATGCCTGCAATTTGCTGAGACACTGTAAGCTTCGAGCCGTGGTTGATAGTAAAATGCAAAGCGGCTTCCTGATTGATGATCGTAGCGGTAGAGTCGAGCACTATTATCAACACTATTAGCACATTGATACATGGCTATAAGAATTTGTCTACTCACATGTGTTGGCAACACCTGTACGGAAAGCAACCGATACACCAGCAAGTAGTTCACCATAAGCGATTGGCTGAGACACCGAAGTTGTAACGCCTAATCAATTTCTTGTTAGTAATGGTCTCTATTCGCCATCATTCCATTAACACGTACCAGCTTTGAATGCTTTCTTCAAATGAAGACCATCCAACTTGAGGCCGTCAATAGCACGGACAACGTTTTGAGCGAGATCAGGACTTGCAATATCATTCTCAGCATAGCCATCCAAAGTACTCGACTCAGATCCAATCTCACCCAACCCTAAGGGAGTGCCGCTAGAAACAATGCCCTACATATATCCCATGGTTAGCCACCAGCGTCATTGTTGTTGCTGTAACAATCAACCCTGTTATACTCACTGGAATAACAATAGCACCATCCATTTCGAAAACAGGACTCGACGTTGGCCATGGAACTTGATCATTGCCGCATTCAGGACCAGCACATGTAACTTCGCCATCCTCCACGACCAAGTAGACCGATCCATTGTATAGTTGTCCAGGGCCCATATAAAGTCGGCTGATATTGCGTAATACAAATGAATCGGTATCAGGCGCACAAGCTTGATCCATTGTATTTGGTGTGTTGAGCTTCATTGTTCCTGTGGATCGTGGTGGTAACCAGCTGCGAAGATGTTCGGCGTCATTGTCGTCGGATACCTCAACAGGTGCATCGTCACCAATTTGATCTTCCTCCTCAACGTGTTTGCCCCATGACGCCTTGAAATCGAGCTCTTGGCCATCCACAATAACATGTTCTGGTCGAGCACCAAGACGAAGAGGATGACGATGCCAAATGACGATATCTGCATCTTTTCCAACATCAAGGCTATTTATTCCATTATTAGCTCAAAGACGCATATGATAATAAACCCGATCTCTTACCTGCCAACACGATGATCCACTGCCAAAGCTGCGGCGGGTACACTTGTCAAAGCCTGCAACGCCTTGTGTTCATCAAATCCATAATGATAAGCTTTTTGGGCCTCATGCATTAGGTCACGCTATAAGAGAAAAACACATTAGCCATGATGTCAACTTCCCATGTGATGATTACGATTGCGTACCGAATTCATGACCGGATGATCTGATTTGAAAGCGACCGGGATTCCAGCTTCGGAAAGGATATTGGGTGCATTGACATTTTGATCCCAGGCTTCTTGCTATTCACATTATCATGGATAATCAGTCCGAGTCATACCAATCATTCATGCATCCTTATATACCTTGTATCCCCACATATCTGAAAACGCATACCATGAGCATACTTTCAAAGCACGAATAGGACAATGACTTACCAGCAAATGTAGCAATGGTGATATTGGTCTTTGCGCGCTTGATAATTTCAGGTACCTGCCATGCGCTTAAAGCATGATGGAAAGCTGCAATCTCAAAGTCGAATTCCAAAGAATGATCCACCATAGCCTCCAGGTCGTGAGGAAGATAGCAATGTACATTGAGCTTCACTTGGTGTCGTAATAGTGCCACCAGGCTTTCATGCTTGAGAGATTCAGGGAAACGTTCGGACAAGCGAATCATATTGTCTTCGGTCGCATCAGCAGGCATTGTGTTGTTGATACGCTTGGCAGCATCACACCAATCATCTTGAGCACGTAAGATTTCTCGTGCCTCTTCAAATCGACGGCGGAATAACCAACTTTCTCCCATACCTAAATGTGTTCAAACATTAGCTCCTGGATAGCAAAATAAGCGTAAGAGCATCTTTATACTTGCGTGTCTTTGGCATTTGATTGAGTTCTGCTCCGTAGTAAGACCTAATTGCATCATTAGCACACTTCCCACACATACATTAACACGCAAATAGTCATTTTTTACTTGGGGTTTTCGCCACAGGCCATCTTCATGTAACGCCACACTTTTTCATTATCTTGTTCGGTGACATTGGCAGTAATGAGCATATCTTGTCCTGACAAAGTTGGTACAGGCCGTAATTTGACAACAGCAGCTTCACCACCCATCAAGTTTCCAGATCCAGGAAGAATAAGGGACGTTGTGATACCACCACTCGCAACCACTTTGAGGGCCGGGTCACCGGGATTGATTGAATCAATAACACGTACCTGAATATCATGTGTGAATACATGTTGCTTCTTGATATCTTATCCTTGATACTCACATAAGGTGTAGTGGGATTGGTCATTTCATTTTCATCCGCCAAAGCATCCAAACCAGGGAAGCTTGCAACCAACATGTGGGAATGCATATCCACAATGCCTGGTGTGACAACACGGCCTCCTGCATCGATCACTTGATCACCGCTGTTCATATCAATGACGCCTGAAGGTTGAATATCACGAATGATGCCATCTTCTACAAGCAAATCACCATCCAAGTATCGATCGCCTAACCACATGTGGCCGTTCTTGATCAACAATTTGCCACTATTCGCTGAACGAGGATTCCTTCGGCTTTGTTGTTGTTGCTGTTGTTGATTGTTGTTGTTGCTATCTTGTTGTTGTTGAATAGACTCACATTGTGAAAGCCCATATTGAAACGAGGACCATGAGATGCCAGGGCTGATAACTGGAGATTGTTGGTTGCCGTTGCCCCATAATCCTTGGTCGTTGATATCGCGAGTTGCAAACGTGGTGTGGGTAGGAAGATAGCCACTCAAATAGAACACGCTGCTGGCACCAAAGACAGCAACACATGCAGCGACGATGCCGAGGTGAATGCGACGAGACTTTGGTTTGTGTGCTGTCGGTCGTAGCAATGGCAGCTCGTCATTGCTTTTCCCCAAGCTGTTGGAATGACGCGCCATGCTCGGATCGTGTGAGAGAATGTAAGAAAGGGAAGAAGAAGACGTTGCTTATCTCTCTGTTCGAGCGGAAACGAAATAGGGGATCAAACGCCAAACACCTTTACATTTTCAATGCCGCATGAAATGAATGCAGACGATATTATACACAATAAACAGCCATCCATGGTTTATTAGTATTCGTGTCCAAGCATGCTTGCTATTCGTTCTTCCCTTGACAATGATAATTGTATGGTTTTATTCATGGTGCTGCAGCTACGGGCAAACCAACACCCGCGTAACACCCAATGTGGTAAGTTTCGCCTGATTAGGTTATGCAGATCCCCAGGTTTGCACCATCACCATCGTCATCACCCATCACTCTTTAAACATCATGATGCAAAGGAGTCATTTATCCAGTGTTGATGAAAATTGATTACATGAGCCAACATGAAAGTCGTATCATAGCGACAGCCCCCTATATTGAAAGAAGTTTCTTTGAGAGCGTGGTTCATCGAATGTATGTAGCAATGATTGCCTTTGCACCTTTCCAAAAGCCACGCATCATAGTGGTAACATAAAAACAATGAAAAGCAGCAGGGGGAATAAAGGATACAACATTGGCATTACAATGCATTCAATTTAATCGGTCACCTAAAACGATACGATGTACAAGATAGTAAGATTCAATTTTGGTTTTGTTTAATACGACGAAAATCCTGGACGACAAAATGTATATAAAAGATGGTGTGAAAGGGATACAACGAGCAAGTGATCAAGGGAAATAAGAGAGCAAGCGAGAAAGAGTGAGATAGAGAGAGAGATTAAGCAGCCATGTAAGAGTTGACATCAACGTCTTCAGGAAGAGGGGTGATATTGATTTCGAATCGGCTTTGGACATCGTTCAAGACCTCGGTGTCTTTTTCATTGGAAACGAAGGTGATGCCGAGACCCTTGGTACCGAAACGACCAGCACGACCGACACGATGAAGATAAGTATCAGCGCCATCAGGCATATCATAGTTGATGACAATGTTGACACGCTCGATATCGATACCACGACCAAAGATATCAGTGGCCACCATGATACGCTTTTCGAAATCCTTGAATGATTTGTAACGCTTGATACGTTCTTCTTGAGTCATTTGAGAGTGGATACAAATGCTGGGGAAGTTGCAGCTGGTGAGGATACGGTTGAGTTCGATAGCACGAGGAACGGAGCGCACAAAGATGCAAACTTGGTTGAATTCAAGGCTGTCAAGCAACTCGTTCAACTTGCGATTCTTTTCACGTTCTTCAAGTTGGATGTAGAATTGTTGCAAACCGTGAAGGGTCAACTTGGCTTCATCATCAACGTAAATCTCGAGTGGGTTTTGCATGAACTTTTTGCAAATGGGACGCATCTCCTTGGCAAGGGTAGCAGAAAACATCATCACTTGCTTGTGGTGAGGCGTGGAACGGAAAATGTCTTGTACATCACGGCGCATGTCTATCATACAATGCCGTTATTAGAAAAGCCCTTATTACGTGTATCCATGGCAACCACTTACCAAGTTGTTCCAACATCTTGTCACATTCATCCAACACAAAGTGCTTGACATTGTTGAGCTTCATGTGCTTGTCACGAACAAGACCCCAAACACGACCTGGGGTACCAACCAAGACATGGGGGCACTTTGACTTGTCCTTCAAGATCTCAATGTCCTTGGAAGTGGGCACACCACCATAAAACACCTCGGTACGGATATCAGGGATGTACTTGCTGAAGCGGTTGTATTCGTTGCGGATTTGGAATGCAAGTTCACGAGTATGACAAAGGACAACAACGGAAACTTCACCATCGACAGGCTCAATTTGTTGAAGAGTAGCGAGGACAAAGACGGCAGTCTTGCCCATACCCGATTTGGCTTGACAAAGGACATCCATACCCAAGATTGATTGAGGAATACATTCTTGCTGCACTGATAGAGTAAGAGTGGGTTGGTACACAACGTTCAATATTGAAGAGGGCCATATCCGTAGGTAGGTAGGTAAGTGATGATGATGATGATGATGGCTAACCTTCTGAAGGATGTTCGAAACCACAATCGACAATGGAACGGAGCAATTCAGGCTTCAAGAGGAAATCACGGAAACCGGTGGAGCTGACACCAACATAGGAACCTTTCTTGTCCTTTTTATCATCGCCTTCAGCCTTGCCAGTAGCATCGGCATCATTAGTAGCGGTGGTCACGGCAGCGGCTTCTTGTTGAAGGGTTTGATCATCTTCCTCCTCGTAGTCAATAAGATCATCGGCGTGGTCGGCAGTAGACATGGTGAATTAAACTGATAGAGAGAGGGCGAGGCGGGTTTTAGTATTGTGAATCAAGACGCTTTTGTCGGGTTGGATACACCACTCCTCCCCAAAAGCATCTCATCCATATGCGCTTTCTCTTAGCCGGCATCATCGTTTCGTGTTGCATATATAGGAAAGGTTGCTGATCCTTTTTTTGTTGTATATATATATACACACTCGATACGATCGAATAGAAAAAAACACACACAACGTCGATTCAACCGTTTCAGGATGACGTCCCATTGCTGTTGCTGCTGCTGCTGCTACTACTGCACGTATCTTGATGTCCCATTTTCTTCCCGATGCTTCAACTGAGAACACCCGTCAAACGGAAATGGAGAATGGCAAGGCAGACATTGGCGAGATGAAAGTGGGGAATGTCGATACAACCCAAGAGAGAGATGTGTGTATTGAAAGATGATGATGCTCAGCCGCGAAAAGGCATTGGATGGTGCCAAAAGAGAGAGCGCCGGTGTTTTCCCCAACTTGCAGTGGAAACAGGCATTTACCTTGACGTTGATGGAAAAGGATATGTACAAAGATGAAGATGGATGGATGGATGGATAAATGAAGTGATAAACGAGGAAGAGAAAGATGTAAACAATATCTCCCCCAGCACAATTCGCACCGCTCATTCGGATTGGCTCTGTGTCGTATGGCTGAAGTAAGATTTCCCCCCTTGACGACGACATCATCATTCATGACCATTGCCATGACAACGTATTCCCCTTTTGCTTTCATTATAAGCTATCCACCCTCCCTATATAGTACCTAGCACAATAAAATGTCATCATAACATAGCAACAGAGTTACACCAATTCTTCTTATCCAAATGTGTCAACTTTATGTCTCCATTGGTACCTTAAAAGAAAACAAGATAGCAACAAGTGGTGCATGGGATTTTTATATAACAATCAATCAAGCTATCTCTAATAGGCAAATGTGTATGTTTTTCTATATATCAACATGGTCATTTGAACCTGAAGAAAAGATCATTGTGTTTTATTGCAGTCATTGATAAAGGGATGAAGGGGGAATGAACAAGTCACGGTAAAAAAATGTGGAGGTAGCCAAGGGTGCACCCCTGCCAAACTACATGTCGGAAGCACAATACAATTTTGCACTCGCTCCCTTCCTCTCTTTTTTCTCTTCTTTGAGAAACACACAAAACCATGTACCTCCCTCGTGTCATTGCGGCTTCTCGCAACGCCGTTCGCGCAAACAAGGCAAACGCCCGCTTCCTTTCTCGTGCTGCTTCCAAGCCTCTTGCCGTCAAGGGTGAGTTTTTTCTTGCATTTGTTTTGTTGTTTTTCACGCCCATTGACCCAAAACACCTTGCACATTAGCTCGTTCTTACGCCACTGAGGCCACCAGCACTGGTCAGATTCGGTATGCTCAACGACTTTTTATCAACACCTGAACGACCTTGTATGCTTATTTACCTATTCTAGCTCTGTCATTGGTGCCGTTGTCGATGTTCAATTCGACCAAGAGAACTTGCCTGCCATCTTGAACGCTTTGGAGGTCCAAGATCACACTGGCGGTCGTCTTGTTTTGGAAGTCGCCCAACACTTGGGTGAGAACACTGTTCGTACTATTGCCATGGATGGTACTGAAGGTAAGCTATTGTTGTCTTTTGGAATGGGGGAAAAATGAAACATCAGGGCACTAAAAGCTACTTTTTTTAAGGTCTTGTTCGTGGCCAAAAGGTCGTTGACACTGGTGCTCCCATCACCATTCCTGTTGGTAACGAAGTCCTTGGTCGTATTATCAACGTCATTGGTGAGCCCATTGATGAGCGTGGTCCTATCAAGTCCAAGGCCACTCGTGCCATTCACGCTGATGCTCCCGAATTCGTTGATCAATCCCCCACTCCCGAGATTCTTGAGACTGGTATCAAGGTTGTCGATTTGCTTGCTCCCTATGCTCGTGGTGGTAAGATTGGTCTTTTCGGTGGTGCCGGTGTCGGCAAGACCGTCTTGATTCAAGAGTTGATCAACAACATTGCCAAGGCTCATGGTGGTTACTCTATCTTCTGTGGTGTCGGTGAACGTACTCGTGAGGGTAACGATTTGTACCATGAAATGATTTCCACTGGTGTCATCAAGCTCGAAGGTGAATCCAAGTGTGCTCTTGTCTTTGGTCAAATGAACGAACCCCCTGGAGCTCGTGCTCGTGTCGCTTTGACCGGTTTGACCATTGCCGAATACTTCCGTGATGAGGAGGGTCAAGATGTGTTGCTCTTCATTGACAACATTTTCCGTTTCACTCAAGCTGGTTCCGAAGTGTCCGCTTTGCTTGGTCGTATTCCCTCTGCTGTCGGTTACCAACCCACCCTTTCCACTGATATGGGTGGTATGCAAGAGCGTATTACCACCACCAAGAATGGTTCCATTACCTCCGTGCAAGCTGTCTACGTCCCTGCTGACGATTTGACTGATCCTGCTCCTGCCACTACTTTTGCTCACTTGGACGCCACCACTGTGTTGTCTCGTTCCATTGCTGAATTGGGTATCTACCCCGCTGTCGATCCCCTTGACTCCAAGTCTCGTATCTTGGATCCCCGTATCGTTGGTGATGAGCACTACTCGGTTGCCACTGGTGTCCAACAAATCCTTCAAAACTACAAGTCGCTTCAAGATATCATTGCCATTTTGGGTATGGATGAATTGTCCGAAGAAGATAAGCTCGTTGTCGAACGTGCCCGTAAGATCCAACGTTTCTTGTCCCAACCCTTCGCTGTTGCCCAAGTCTTCACTGGTTATGAAGGTCGTCTTGTCAAGCTCACTGACACCATCCGTTCCTTCCGTGAAATCTTGGATGGTAAGCACGATAGCCTTCCCGAATCCGCTTTCTACATGCAAGGCGATATCAGCGATGTCATCAAGCGTGCTGAGGAACTTGCCAAGGAAATGGGTGCCCAGTAAAAAAGATAGCATTGTATTGTTAGACTGTGTGAATATATTCCAATCCTCTTTGTATCGAGAAAAAGTGTGTGCGTGTTGTTGTTATCATGTGACCCTGTCAATCTTTTGCAAATGATGGTGATGCTGGTGCATCGGTAAGACCAAATACGGTGTTTCCATTTTGGTGTGTTTATTATGTACACTTGCTCTTTTCTCGCTTTACTCCTTTTTTTTCTTGTTCTTTCTTTCTCCATCACATCCAATCCATGCTCAAGTTATTCGGTCATAAAAAGAAGAAAAAGTTGCCATCATCATCATCTCATATCCCAATGCTCGCTAAAAGCGCATCAACTACCACCACAAGTAACAATAACAACCACCAACCACCAATACAAATCAGTAAAAAGGACTTGAAGCGTAGCCCCTCGTTAGACGACTGCATGATGCCTACACTCATGATGCCGAAACCACGCCACATGCTACCTCCCACACGCAACATTCTCAATCCTCACGAGTACGATAAGACGCAAATTGAGAATACGACACCAACACCATCACCATCATCCATGGTGTTGCCACTCACCACCACAAATGAGAATAATGATGACGACGTTGTACATGATACATCCAATAATAGTAAACTTCCAGGTAAAAAAGTGTTACATGCACACACCCTCACAAATGTTTACTAACTCTTTTTTTTGCATGCAACGACGAAACACAAGTTTCATCACACTCACCACTCGTACCAAGTAGTGAAGATTCTAACAGGGTTTATGAATCTGCTCTCGAATCACCCATAGCATCACCAGCTCCACCTTCTTTTTCAATACCACCCGCTTTGTCCATGTTAACTTCAGCCCCATCGACTGCTACCGTTAGCACTACCAACACAGCACCTTTATCATCATCCGCCCCAGTAATCGTTTCACAACAACAACCTCCCCCACAGCCCTATCCGGAACAAGTGACAGCACCAACAACAACACTTGCCGCGCACCCACATCATCACCCACAACCACAACCAGCTCCTGTTGTTGCACCAATGCAACACAACAACGCTACTACTTTTGCATCTGTTACACCAAATGTGGAAGCATTACAATGGCAAGTTGAAATGATCAAGCATCAATGTGAGCTTGAAAGAGCTGAATGGGAAAAGCGTGAACATGAACATCGTATCCGAGAACGTGAAATGCTCGAAAAGATCAGCCAAACACAAGAACAACTACGTCAAGCATTATTGGCTCAACATCACCAGCAACAGTATACACGTCCTCGATCTGCCAACGATAGCGGCTATTGGGAACATGAAGAAGACAATGATGATCTAGATGAGGAAGAAGACATCTATCATCGACGCCATTATCGACCTCGTGGTCATTCTTTGCCACGCATGATGCCCCATCGACGACGTCGTAGCAGTGTAAAAAGTCGCAGCAGCTCACGATCTTCTCGACATGAACAAGATGAACGCCGTTCCATTTATGATGAAGATCATGACCACAGTGATCACGAAGAAGAAGATGAAGAAGAAGAAGAGGAGGATCCTGATTTTGAAGACCATGAGGATGAATGGGATGCTTACATGGATCGACATCCTGGTAGATACTATTCACGTTGGAATCATTATAGACCTACACGACCCTCACCAAGCGTATCCACGCCAACAAGCTATCATCATCATTACCCAGCTTATATGGCAATGCATGCAGCAAGTAGTCGTCGTCCTCGTCGTCCTCATCGACATCCTCATCATTATCAACCTTCTCCTTATCACCATTACTACTACCCACATTATCCATTTGATCCTTTGCAACAATGGGAATAGAGAGCCTCAATGACATTTTTTACATTTCACATGGGATAGATGAAAGAACATAGCATATGGGTTCATTGTTGATAGGCACGTGATATGGGATGTGTGTGTGTATTTCAGGTGGGTGAATTATAGCTTTTTGTTACAGATTGAAGCAGAGTGACACCAACAGGTGCATACCGGGTTGTTGGGATGATAGCCAATAGGGATAAAGCATCTCGGGATCTCTATGTCATACCATGTCAAAAGTGAAAAGCCACGGACGGAGCAAGATCCGCAAGTACAAGGGGTGGAGATTGGACGCCTTTAACGTACTTTCCCTCTATCACCTACCTCTACTACCAACCACCCATAGACCAACAGTATGCCGGCGGCACAGACACCACGGCATTTTCGTATCAGTGCACCATGTACGTCCGCCAACATTGGACCTGGATTTGATGTACTTGGCATTTCGCTTTCACTCTACTTGACGCTGGATGTCAAACTGTACCATGAGGATGCAACGGCACCATTTGAAATGACCTATTCGGGCGAAGGGGCTAAGGATGTTCCACTTTTTCCAGAGCAAAACTTGATTACCAAGACCGCTCTCTACGTCCTTTCGGCGAATGGGATTGACAACTTGCCTCAACCTCTCAAGATCCATGTTGACAATCCGATTCCGTTGGGCCGAGGTCTTGGTTCTTCCGGTGCAGCCGTTGTTGCTGGTGTTTTACTTGGCGACGCACTTGGCAACCTTCATTTATCCAAGGATCGCATGTTGGATTATTGCTTGATGATTGAACGCCATCCAGATAATGTGGCAGCTGCATTGATCGGTGGATTTGTCGCTTCCTATCTCCGTGATCTGGATCCAGATGCTACCAAGGGCGTCCCTGCTTCAGAATCTTTCAATGATAATGGATCCCCCGCAAACAACACAACCCCTCAACCACCCATTGGCATTGGTCATTACTTACGTCTTGGATGGGCAAAGGAAATCAAGACAATTGCTATTGTACCCAACTTTGAAGTCGCCACTGCAAAGGCACGCGCTGTCCTTCCAGATACCTACAGCCGTCAAGATGTGGTATGTTGTCTATTTATGATGAATGCTTTGGATCGGATGGGATCATCGATTAATTACAAGGGGGTGGGGTTCATGTCATAGATCTACAACTTTCAACGTTTGGCCGTTGTCACCACTGCTCTTAGCCGCTCACCTCCAGATGCTGATTTGATTTATAATGCTGTTCAAGATCGTATCCATCAGCCTTATCGCACCACCCTCGTAAGTAATGCTTCATGGATCCATGCATTGAAAATAACTAACATCCTATGTAATTAGATCCCTGGTCTTCCTACCATTCTTTCCAGTATCACTCCCGCTAAACATGAGGGCCTTCTCGGTATCTTCCTTTCTGGAGCTGGTCCCACTATCCTTGCTTTGGCTACTGGTAACTTTGATGCCATTGGTCAAGCCGCTCAGGCTGTGTTTAAGGAGAATGGCGTTGAAAGCTCATACCAGGTCTTGGAGGTCACTCAGGATGGCGCATCATGTGTCGAATTGTAGAATATAGAACCAAGTAATAAAATTGCGCCACATGCGTTTTTTGCTTCGCCCCAAACATGATAACAATGGGATCGACATGATCCATCTCTTTAAGGTTTATCATTGTGTTACCATCCGGTTTTTATATATCGATCGGTTCTTGGATTTTCGCTATCAAAGCAAATGTTTTTAACTTCCACAGCTTCTTTTTCTGTTTTCTTATCCTTCCTTTCCTCCTCCTTTCTTTGATCATGCGGCTGTTATTACATTTCGGTCTCCTAGCAACAAGTATCCTAGCCAACCTGCCATCATCTTCAGCACTACGCTTTGGTGAACAGTGCGATGCTAGCCCTATCTACACGTAAATTTGAAACCATCACAACATCATTAACGAACACACGAACTCACGATGATGATCATTACAGCGCAACATGGCAATACGACGACTCTTGTGAAAACATCTATTTATTCTGTGACCCTGCGAGCAACACATGCAAATACAGAGGATGCACCAACTCGGATTACCTTGCAGGGTGAGCAATCACGACGATCCCTTTCCATCAGCCACATGATGATATTTACACACACACACATTTCATTTAGATGGGATACCAACACACACCCATTCCCAACTCGATGCACAGGCAATACGTACTGTCCCGATGATAACTCTGAGTGCAAAGAAAGGATCGCACCTGGCGGTCATTGTGAATTGGTAGGAGATAAGACGACTTTTATATTGGTTGGATCCATATCCTCCTAACTTTTTTCATTATCGACATGTAGCAACGTGATGATGAATGTGCAGGCACCAATCCTATTTGCTTGAATTCAACATGCTATGTCAAGGCGGCCCCGTTGGGTGGTAGCTGTGGTGCCGACATGTAAGTGGCTCCCATCTATTTTTTTCTTTTATCTTTATGTGGCTAGTAGCATTAATACTAAATGTGTTTGTACCACCCTCCTTAAATCAACAACAGCACCATGTATGTCACCTACGACGCCGATAATTATGCATTCCAACAAACGATTGTACGTGACAACTGTACCATGGGCACCTACTGTGTGGATGACCGATGCATTGATTCCAAAGATTTGGGAGCTCAATGTGAACAAGATCGTGAATGCCTATCGGAATATTGCAGCACAGAGGGTGTGTGTGTCAATGGCCCAGATGTTTTCCACACTATCCCCAATTGGCTCTGGGGCGTTGTTGGTGCAGCCATTGTGATTTTTATTCTTGTCGTTCTCATCTTGCTATGGTTCTTGCATCGCTATCAATCCAAAAAGGAACGTGCAAAGATCGCCAAATTCTTTGGTGACAATGAAGAGTTTGCCAAATACGCCATGTTGGAAAATGACGCCATGCCACTCTTTGGTGATGATCCAAACAGCAACAACTCAGGCGCAGTAACACCCTCCCCCAATAACAGCCGTACAAGCATGGTTTACTTGACGACGCCCGATTATTATGAATCAAGTGCACTCTCCACCCATGCAGGTCGCAAGAGCTTCCGTAACTCATCCGCATCCAAACTACGTGAATCCACTGCATCATTGGGTATGGTTAGTGGTCGAGAATCAGGTCACTTTGGTGGGCGAACTTCAACCACACCTGATCGCAGCCGTACTCCTGAACCATTTTAAGACACCCTTCGATAGAACAATATACCTTTAAATAAAAAAAGATTGAATGAGACCTATTCTCAAATACAATGTGTGAGGGATGTCATTGTTTAAGGTGCCTATGATAGGGTCACAAAGAGCCCTCATGCATCATCATGTCATTGTTCCCATTTTCCAGCTGCTCATTGAATTACATTGCCATGGTACATGAAAACTTGAATTCTTATTATCAATGACAATACATCTACAAACGACTAGCTCGACACAAAGGACATTCACCGTGCCAGTTGCTGATACAATTGCCATGGAAACGATGCTTGCAGTTTTTGGGAGTTGTGTAATCATCGTCAAAAGGACACAAGCACACAAGGCAGAATTCCTTGTAGTAGCCTTTCTTCAAAGGTCGCGTTTGGATTGCCAATCGATCCCATTCGGCCTGATCATCTCCATCAAAGACGTTGTAGTCATCATTGTCGATGGTTATCCAATCTGATGAATGCTGAATGCCGTTTGATTTGAGCCCATGCGTGCGATATTCGCATTGGTGGAAGCCAACCGTGACAGGATCAACATTTTCGCTATGGCAAAGAGGGCAATCAAGGACATCCTTATCCAACTCGTATAGTCCATAACCCTGCATGCAGATAACATGGTAATCGGGAGTGCATTTGCAATTCACCTCAATATTCATGCCTTCACATACAGTACGTCCTTCAGGGGCATCATCCGAGAAAACCACGCGATCCATATGGCCATGCTCGACATCAGCAAACAACGATCCACCACCTCGTTGCTCTATCATCATATCAACCATTGAGCCATCTTCAATGCCGTAGTCGACAAGACGCCTTCCACCAAGTGCTTGGCCTTTGAAAATCAATCGCTGGCTGTAGTATCCAATGCCCACGCGTTGATACATTTTCCATTTGATGTCCTCACCGGTGTTTGATTTGGAAACAGCGACTTTATACAACCTTCCCGAACCACTGCTGATCAAGATGTAGAACTTTTGCTCGCCAGGAATAGGACTTGGACGGCCCACAGGAGGTGCTGGTTCATGCATAAAGTTCAGCGTGATCAAATTGCCGTACACTTTACACTCATCGATCGTCTTTTTGGTGTCAACAATGCCAACGCCATTGAAGTGAATTGCTGTGCTGTGAATGAAGTACTTTGAGCGTAGCAAATTCTTCGCACGATCCATGAGCATGCTGACCGGTTCGTAACCGAAATAAGGGACAGAGAGGGTTTCACCAGGGAAAGGTGCGAGAAGGATTTCAGCTGCGCTTGCCATGTCTACGCGTTGATAATGAAAAGGAACAAAAGTAGTTGAAAGGTACCAGCCACATCAAGACTATTATGCAAAGCTGTATTCATATGAAAGCCTCACACGTGACACAATCCCAAAACGTCGATCTCCATTGCCATGGCAACGTGATCACTCTACTGTACATGCGCATAGATACATGGTGCACTTTTTGGGTATACCTTTGTTAGTAGCTTTATTACTCAAGCAGATAGCATGTTTACGCCTCGAGGGGTAAAGGCAATATGTATTAGGATGGACACGATAATAAAAGCCAATTCACTTTTCAAGCTGCATATTGATTTATTTTCATTGAGATGTTACATTGAAAACTGATGCTATAACTACCAATGACTTGCTTGACATGTGGGACATTCACCATGCCACTTGCTGATACATTTTCTATGAAAGCGATGCTTGCATTTTTTCGTTGTGAAACGATTGCCAAGAGCTTTCAAGCAAATAACGCAAAGCTCGCTGTCGTATGTTTTCTTGAGTGGTCGACTTTGAATAATCAAACGTATCCATTCGCATTGATATGATGAATCGAACAAATTGTAGTCCTCGTTTTCAATACGGATCCAGTCCGAGGAATATTGCGATCCATTCGTTCTGATACCATGCGTCCGGTACTCACAATTGTTGAAGCCAACAGTTATTGGCTTCACGTTTCGAGATCGACACATGGGGCAGCGAAGAACATCTTTGCCCAGCTCGTACAACCCATGTCCTTGCATGCAGATGACGCGATAATCAGGTGTGCATTGGCACTCTGCTTCAATGTTTGTTCCTTCACACACGGTACGGGCTATAGGGGCGTCATCCGATAATACGATTCGTTCTTGGTATCCATTCTCAATGTCGGCAAATCGAGGAGGTCCGCCGCCACCTCGCAACCTCGTGATAGCATGAATTACGGCACCACCTGCAATCCCATTGTCCACAAGACATCCTTTTTCGAGTTGTTTATAATTGAAAATCAACCGTAGATCACAAGAGAGTCGCAAATCCTTCTTAATTCTCCACTTGAGATCTTCAACAGTGCTTGATTCATGCATAGAGAGCTGGTATTGTTGTCCCATCAATGTTTTCACAAGGATGTTGATTGAATTTTTTCCAGGCCTTTGGCGTCTTTTTGGTGGGGCAGACATATACTTGAAGTTCATGCTGATAACGTTTCCGTACACCTTGCAATCGTCTATCGTTGCTTTTTCATTGCGAATGCCAATGCCATTGAAGTAGATTGTCTCGCCCCCGATCAAGTATTTTGCGTTGAGCAAATTTTTCGCGCGTTGGATAAGGAGGTTGACCGGCTCATAGCCGAGATAAGGCACTGAGAGCGTTTCACCGGGGAAGGGAGCAAGAAGGATATTAGCTGTACTGGCCATGTTTGCGCTGAAAAAAAGGAACAAGGATGTCTAAGGGATTCAGTCATTCATTTGATCACATACGCAATTATGCAAAGCTGACATTCAATAATCAAAATGATGCATTTTATCGACGTTTCATGAAGATAGCGAGCTGCTACAATCGTGCTATATCTTAATTGGAACGATAAACAATATGATGATGGGTGTACGTATATGAGAGACATCACTACAGAGGTGCTTTGCAATTGGGACATGTGGGGGTTTCCTTTGACCATCGTTCAAGACAATGCCGGTGGAAATAGTGCTTGCATTTTAGCGTCAAGTGATCACCAAAGCAGCGTTCGAAACAAACAGTGCAAGGATCATGCGTGCAAGCATAAAACTTGATTACATTTCCTTCAAGTACAATCCGCTTTAGCGAGTAGTGATCTTCAGGTAGAGCGATCCATTTGGACGACCTTATATGACCATTGGCTTCGGGAACACGCATCCTAAACTCGCATCTTGAAAATGGCATTGGCATATCCGTATCCGGTTGATGTCGCAAAGGATAGCATTTGAATTTAGTTGTACCATGCTGAAGTCCTTCCATATTGAATCTGTATCGAGAGCACCCACATCTCATTTCGATCTGGGGGTAAAGTGGATTGCATGGGCTGGCTCCAGGATACGCAAGACAAAACGAGATAACGAGAATTGAAACATCCGCCAATTTAATGACTTGTTGGCTACACATCGCTCCATCTTCGTTAAAGTTGACCTTGGGAGTATCCCATGGAGCACGCTTCATGTAAATAGTCACGTTGACGCCGTTGCGGTGTTCCATCAGAATGCGTTATGTGTCGTTGGATGAAAGAATGAACGAAGATATAAATGCTGGGTCAAACAAAGAAATGCTTTCATGATCGATGATGCATAAAGTTGCCGCACGGTGTAACACTGGTGATGCATTTCAATGTTGAAAGCTCTCGTATACGCATCACCTCACCTTATCCATGACACAACCCACCACTGGATACCCACATTCGCTTGTGTAATAACATTTATAAATAGTACGGTGGTCTACATTGCTCATAAATCCAAGAGGGAATTGTAATGGGCACCTAGTGAATATAAATGCTTGTGATAGCTAATAGAAAAACCAAGCCATTGCATTAGCATCCAAATGGATAAAATGACCAACAAGGAAAGATGTCACTTACGCAAGCTTGAGAGGCTCCTTGCCAGGGAAATCCTCCTCATTGACCTTAAGTACTGGAGCACCCATTTGAACGATATGTACAGGAACCTCCTTCACCCTTGACAATGCCAAAATCTACCCATCATCATCATCCCATCAGCGTGCTATTCCTGCTTTTTCCATCCACTATATCCGGGACTCACCTCCAATTGACCGCCCCACCGAGGAGTGTTCTCGATATCATTGCAATACTTTTCAAAGTCATCTATCAGGGAAATATTAAAGGAGTAAGACCTAATGCATATGATTTCTCTCTCTTTTACGTACCTGCGGTGAACATGTCACCATCATCCTTATAAAGGAAGGGAATGAAATCATCAGGGTGTTCTCTCATGTAGCTAGCTGCGGCCTGCCGAAGCTCCTGGTGCGATACCTAAATCATATCCACCGTCATCAGTATCCCATTGTAGACCCGATATCCATCATAATAATACGATACCTGTTGGTTGTATCTTTCATTCAACTGATTTGAGATGGCGTTGTAAAGGCTGATATAGAAGGAAAGAGAAAACATGAGACGCCACATCCATAATGAACTCCTTAATACAGCCACCCCGAATCAAAATCCTTACCAGTGACCATCAGCAGTGATTTCACGCACACGCAGTTTCATTGGGCCAAGCAATTCTCGAATAGCTTCCTTTTCAACGGCACCCATATCCACTTGTCCACTGGCTTCCTTTTCAGCTTCATCCCGCATACGTTGCATCTCAGCTTCTCGACGTTGCAATCTCAATTTTGCCTTGTTGGGCTTCTTTTTCTTTTGAGCAGCTGCTGGTGGTTGTGGAGTAGAGGAAGACTCTGGGGCGGTGGATGTGTCATTGTTGTCGTTCAATGATAAGGCGTCAATGCGTTCAAGTGAGATACCATCTTGACCTTCTTGATCTTGATCCTAATCCCATTGTCATTTTAAATTTAGAAAACAAATAAAAAAGATGGCGCGTATCGTATGTGTCAATCATCCATGTCTCCTATCCAACGTGCAACAAGCTGCAATGCCATCATACACATACACGCACAATCCCCCTTTTTTCTCTAACGTCTCTCCCCCCCCCCCAACCAACCAACGCATAACATACCTCCAGTTTACGTATTTCCTCGTCATGCTTGAACTGCAGCTTCGATTGCATGTCACTGATCCGAGAGTTCATTTCTCTTTTCTTTGCCTTGGACGCCTTTTCAACTGACTTGCGCAAAGACGCGATCTTGGTCTCCAATTGCTTCGTTTCCTTTGCATGACGTTCACGAATGGAAGCGAGTTTGTCGATGGGTTGATCTTGAGTGGTTGAAGTGGGAGGAGCAGATTCTTCTGGAGTGCTCATTGTGAGGTGTGTAAAAAAAGGTGGGTGTGGTTGTCTGTCAAAAGGGAAATGCTGAAACAGGAAATTAGGCAGCGGTAGTCCAGGATCCCGTTTCATTCAATACAAATTGTATCTCTTTGTCCGGTGGGTGGTGGGTGGATGATGTCTCTCTCTCTCTAAGAGTGAACCCTTTCTTCTATAATACATTTACTCTCCTTTGGTCCTCCTTTCTTGATTCATCATTTCCTCCTTGTTTATCCATCCATCATCCATCATCCCATCCTATGTAAACCATTCCCCCAAATGATGAGAGTGAAAAAGAAACTTTAAGGTTCTTTATCTTTACATGATGTTGCTGCTGTGTGTGTGCACACCCAAAAAAAGGGACTAAAATGCCAAGACTTTTTCAAGGAGCAAGCCCAACTCTATAAGAAAGGGGGAAGTGATGTTTGTTGGTTCGTGGAGGTGGAGGTGGTGGTGATGGGCGTGGATAGAGAGAGAGATGTGGAAAATCAGGTTATATGTATGTATGGAACAACGACTTCTTAACCGCCAACGCCGCAACCGCCACGTCTTTTTGCTACTCCTTTTTCCCCCCAAACATGTCGTGATATGGATCCCACATTGGGTTCTTTTTTCCTTTCCGACGACTGCAGCTCTCCCCTGCAGCTTCGAGTTGACACAGCAGCAGCAGCCATGTATCATATATCCACGAGCTTATCAAAAGGAGTCATTTTTTATCATTGATACACGTAGTAACAATTCTATTATTGACCATGTATGGCTTTTTTAATACAAAGAGGCTTCATCAATGCGCAATGGTAAATGCTTTTATGTATAGTAGAGGGGAAAAAGTAAACAAGGAAGGGTGATGTGGTAGGGTGTAAAAGGCGTATGGCTGTGGAATGTGGAGTGGTGGTATGATGTGATATGCGGTGACAATGAGAATGTGTGTGCGTGTATGTGCGTGTGTGTGTGTGTACCATTCTTTCGACAATGAGTGTGGATGTGCTTGGGCTTGAATGTCGTTTGTTTCCTTGTTACTCTACAAAGCCCTTCTTGTGTGTGCACACACAACACACACAAAGCACACGTAAAAGGATTACTGTGGATGCCGTGATGATGTATGCTGCGAGGTGGAATAATGGCTATCGTTTGATAAATGAGATGCTTCCAATGAAAACTCAGAGGTAAATAGCGTTGAATTGGTATGATTGCCGTGTTGTTGGCTGGTGATATCACTGCTTTGACGCATGGTTTGTCGCGATTCATTAATGGCTGAACGATCTTCAATCATGGTTGCTGATGTTGGTCGCGAAGGATCAATCTCATCGTCCAAAAGAATCGTTTCCATATGATGTCCACCATTCGTCTTGGTAGCTGCACCTTGATGCATATACTCAATAGCATCATCATGTTGTTGTTGCTGCTTCTCGTCGTACGTTTGTTGCGTCTTTTCATCCGAAGTGCTATGATGTTTGCCACCGTGATCAGCTGACAAGGTGTATGGCTTGTTGCTCAACGTTTCGACAGGTGATGGTGAACGTGGTGGCATGTCATCGGCATGGTCTTCCTCGTCACGAGCAGGTGGCATTTCCTTTTCTTTGGCAGCATCACGTTCGTTGCCCTTTTGTACCCATCGTTTCAAAATGTCAACTTCAATGTTGCCAAGAATCAATTGCTCAACATGGTACAAAAGGAGAGGTGTAGATAAAACACCCACTGTGCCTGGATCACCACTCTCATACAAGACATTGATCAATGGCACACCCATGGCAACCGTTTTGGTAGCACCGCAAAACTATGATTTGAAAAATGGATTAGCCTGGTGGTCATGGATACGGACTTTACAATGTGATAGTTACCATGACAGCAACGGTATCCTCACGAGAGAAGCGCATGCGCTTGACCCAACGTGGTTCCTTGAGCGATGATGGAAATGGAATGTATGCCAAGAACATGGCGAGCAAAGAGAAAAGAATGTAAAATCCAAAGTTCATGATAACGACAGCGACAATATCAGTGGCCGAAACCGAATTGAATGAGCCAGCGTAAAAAGCGTCGCAAAAAACGGACCACACCATGAGGAGCAAGCATACGCTGCTAACATCTGACAATCGCCATTTGACCTTGATCCTGGCAACTTGCTCGGTAAAGATGAGTTGAATGATTTGGCCAACAACCAAAGGCACCAGCACAGTAAGGCCAAGCTGTTTGAGCACAGATACAAAATCAACGGATCCACCGGCTTGGGCCGTTTCATTTTCGGGTGTTGCTTCGATCAATGGTTCCTGGAAGGTGTCCACAAGAGCGGGTGAAATAAAGATGCCAAGCACGTTGCCCAAAGCTGCATTCATGAGTGCTAAGGAATAAATATTTGGTGAGTTACTTTTTATTTGTGTATTGCATGCATGCATGTGTGGGTGTCGGGAAAGTAATGTTTACCTGTCGCTTCATTTCCCTTGGCGTTCTTTGTCATGACAACATTGGATGAGACGGTGGTGGGTGTACTAGCGGCAATGACAACACCCATCAACACCAACGAGTTCATGGGCGTGTGTAACTTGAATAACAACAACACAAGACCAAAGACAAAGAATGGGATGATGATAAGATTGATGATCTGCACAAGCAAATGCAGCCGTACGCGTAGCAATGTTTGCGTCAAAATCTTTGTGCGTAGCGAGAGTCCCGAGATCAAAAAGATGATGATAACAGCACCTGTAACAACAACAACATCAAGATGTTAGCTTGCTCGTGTCAACAATCGCATGTTTGTATGTGTATTATTTACCCCACTTGATAGACCATTCTGCATGAATGTAACCGCCTTTTCTGGCAACATCGGGTGCCGCCCTTGCAACTGAAATGACAATGGCAAGGCCAAGCAAAAACCAATATTTTTTAAACAGCTTTTTAGCTAGAGCTTTAGCTTTGGCACCCTTGGTTTGATCGTCGTTGGTGTTGTTATCAGTAGTGGGTGCAGGGCTTTGTGCAGCGAGTGTGGTTGAGTCATTGTAGGAGGGTGGCAACGACGGCTTTTGTGAAAGCGGTGATGGTGAAACCAAACCAGATCCCTTATGGCCAAGGGTGGCTTCACTTGCAAATGACGCTGTTGCTTTTAATCTCGAATCATCCATATTTGCATATAATTAGAAAATAGGTGTTGGTCGTGGTCGTGTGATTATTGTTGGGTAGATTGTGAGTGTGTGTGAATAAATGGGTACGTGCGTATATATGTGTATTAGTATGAAACAAAAGATAGGGGGACTTTTTCTCTCTCCTCTGGATTAAAAACAACGAGAGAGAGAAAAAGAAGAAAAAGATGACAAGGAAACGGCAGCAATGACAGCACAAGCAAAGACATCCTTTATAAAGCTGCAAGCTAGCAGCATGCCACTCTACGCTCTTTTGTTTGGGGGGAGGGATTGGATCAAGGAGTTGAATAACGAAGGGATGGGAGATAAAAAGGGCGAAAAGAAAGCCACGATGGAGATCTTCCCAATATGGGGGGTTCGTTGGGGGATACGTGAGTGAGCGAGTGAGTGAGAGGGATGGGATGGGAAAAAAAAGGTCCAGTTATGCAAAATGGCGATGTCACTTTTTGTTACTTTTGACCCAATCATTTTTCCCACAGGATACGATGTTTATCATGATGGATGTTGCATCCATGTTTCTCGTTTCTTTTTCGTTTTTGATCGTCTTTACGCATTTAACGTCCGCATCTTGTTTTGTGCATAACATCAATGACAATCGCAGCCGCCACACCAAAAAATACAATCCTATCGACCGGAACCGCTGGTCAATCCTCGTCCACATTACCCCTTGTTCCTCCTCTATACGCCTTACTCCTGGCCGATGATGGTTCACCCGATAAATCCAATACGGTGAGTATCGTTTTCGCTATAACTGTGATTGCGCGCTTTCATGCTTTCTCTCCCCATATCCCTTATCCTATTGCCTTTCATTTGATCTATTCCGTGAGCACATGTTTGCTGTTGTTGTTGATGGGACATGATGGCTGCTATATGTTGTCGCATCCATGTGTGTGCATGTTTGTTGCGTTTGGGTGGCAAAAGCATAGCCAGATATATGGGAAGGTTGATGCACGTTGTTGACACACCAACATGCAGTTTCAACTATATACACATACATACATTCACACAGCCTGGGCTTACTTTCTTTAACTTCCATCACACCCCTCCCCCCTCGCTCTCTTTTCGCTTGCAGTCTAGCAAGCTGATTGAGTCCCCCGCTTTCTGCAAACTCTTGCATGGGAACATTCTCTCCAGAAACGAGCATCTGCATATACAAAAAAGAGAAAAAGCCCTATGTGGTAACTCCCTGTGATGATTGTATTTATTGATCCTTATATGCTCTCCTGCTACTCAATAGTATGTCCGCATCCCGCTTGGTAATCAGCCTTGTATCCTACGTTTCGTATTAAGGAAAGGATCTCTTGCTGCTACATCATCATCCACTTTACCACGCTTGCATACGACGTATCCCATCCAAGGGTAATGATCAATGGTGATGGTGTCAATGTTGGCTTTAATCTTTCCTTTTTCCTTGAAGCTGACACATTCTTCTTTTCGAGTTAGACCGTTTGATCGAGCAACGTTCCATGCCGTCGAGTAAGTTTATTCTCCTCTTTTGGTCTACATGGGCCTTGTGCAGCATGCACATATCTTCTGTACTTCTATATACTTTCACTTTCCGGCTGCTGAGTGTCAGCAGCTGAAGCACGCGAGTCTCAACTTTGACGCACATACAATAAGGGGTGGTGTATACGTGTGTGTGTGTGTGTGTGTGTGATGAGAGAGACCATTTGCAGATTTTCATTGATAACGGGAAGGATCAATGATGTGTTACTAATGACGCCTTTTTTAGATTCGATGCCGATGGTATATGTGACATTCCCTTGTTGACACCTGGTGCATTCGAATACCATGTTACGTTCGAGAACAACACAAAGAGTGAGCGTGTGGGCTATTTTGTGGTGGAGCCACGATTGTATCAATCCTCTTCTCATAAACAATTACCGCTGGATGCCATTATGATCGAATCAATGATCCCAAAATGGATGGGCCCACTTGCTCGGTGGCAACCGCACATCGATCTTGTCCAGCGAAGTGGCTACAACATGATCCATTTTGCACCCATGCAACAACGTGGATCATCCGATTCACCTTACAGCATTCGCGATCAATTGCTGTTTGCCGATGATTTGTTTGATAACCCCAACCTCTTGTCGCGTGAGGATCGTCTCAAAGAAGTGCGTCAAACCATCTTCAATATTCAACATGAGCATGGCATTTTATGCTTGTCGGATGTTGTGTGGAACCATACAAGCCATGATTCCGTTTTCCTTCAAGATCATCCAGATGCAGGTAACAAGCTCAATTTCGGATGCATGCATATGCAATAAATAGTACACTCCTTCTAACATGGCAAGGCATACATAGGTTACAACCTTGAAAATTCACCCCATTTGGTACCAGCTTATGAATTGGACACTGCATTGCTCGAGCTATCGAAAAGCATAGACCAACATGGATTACCACAACGCCTTGAAACGAAGCAGGATGTCGATAACGTCATGTCGCATATCAAAGATAGCATCTTTCCTCAACTCAAACTTTGGGAATACGACATCATTGATGCTGAAATAGCCATTCAGGAATTCTCATCAGCCATTACGCAATTATCGTCATCGTATGAAGCACACAAAGACGTGTACAAAGGAGAGGAGGACGTGGCAGAAGAACCTATCAAACGACAAGCCGAGCTATTTGGTGCATACGCAATCATTGAAGGTACCCATGGAACACGTTTTCATCGATCAGTTGATATTCCTCGTGCCATTGCTTTTGTACGATCCTATGCAAAAGAAGACCAATACAAGGCTGTGTTTCAGAAGTTGATCGAACAATACAATCTTGTTTGGTACGAGTTGTATGACAACGACGTCAAGATTGCATTGGATAACATCAAGAACCGGATTACGTATCTCCGAATCGATGACAATGGGCCCAAATGGGGTGAGATCAGTGAAAGGTATTGTTGCTATCCACTTTTATGGGGCCAATGACTAACACCATGATCATGGTTATAGCTCTCCCCTTGTAGAAAGCTATTTTACGCGTGTTAGCGAGAGCATTCAAGTGGCCAACAATGGATGGATTTGGGATGCGGATCCTTTGGAAGATTTTGCAGGTCCAGAATCTCGTGCGTATCTCCGGCGACAAGTGATTTGTTGGGGTGATTGTGTAAAGCTGCGCTATGGCAAATCATTTGATGACAATCCATGGCTCTGGGACCACATGCGCCAGTACACCGAACAAGTGGCATCACTCTTTCATGGTATTCGTATCGACAATTGCCATTCGACACCATTGCATGTAGCCGAATACTTGTTGGATTGTGCACGTCGTGTAAGACCTGATTTGTATGTCATTGCCGAATTGTTCACGGGTTCACCCGAAATGGATGAACGTTTTGTATCGCGTCTTGGCATCCATGCACTCATTCGTGAAGCAATGCAAGCTTGGGATCCTCATGAAATGTCACGCCTTGTCCATCGCCATGGTGGAAAACCAGTGGGTAGCATGGATCAATTCATTCGTTGGAAACGCATTATCAAGGGTGGCAACGAATACATGCTTATCCCAATTGAGCATGGTAGCATGCCCCGTGCCCTGTTCATGGATTGCACCCACGATAACAAAACCCCATTTCAAATGCGTACGGCAGAGGTAAGTAATACCATCGGAGTATCATAGCAACGCCTTGTTGCTAACCCTTATCGTACAACAGGATGCATTGGCCAATTCGGCATTGGTGGCCTTTGCGGATTGTGCAACAGGCAGTGTCAAGGGATACGACGAGATTTATCCACACCTATTAGACCTTGTTGGTGAAAAACGACATTATTCACCCAATGTGGATACTTCCACCACAGGCATTATGCGTATCAAAGAACGACTACAGCACCTGCACATGAAGATGGCATTGGAAGGATATCGAGAAGTGCATGTACATCATGAAGGTGACTATGTATTGGTGCATCGCCAACATCCACGAACCCACGATGGCTATTTCTTGGTGGCACGAACCGCTTTCCCTGATAAACATGGATCCATCGACCCCATTCGTTTACATCGCACTCGTTTATCTTTTATGTTTGGAGCATCGTTGCATGTTGACACGGCTACAGCTGCTCCCTTGGATACAAAACATCTTGTTGGCTTACCAAGTGTGCTAGCAGATTTGCCTGAACCACCTATCCACAGCCGCGAAAATGGTTTCATTGAGATTGAGTTACCCTCTGATTTTACACCAGGATCCATTCTTGTGTTCCAAACATTTGCACAGATCCATGATACGAGCAACGTTACACAGCTGGTCACCACCATGCCGGGATCGGTATTGGAATCAATGGATGTGCTTGATTGCAACGTGGTGTTGTATCGTTGCCAAGGCGAAGAATTTGACGCTACAAACGGTGGTGGTGTATATGAAGTTCCAGGATGGGGGAAAATGACATACGCTGGATTGGAAGGATTCATGGCTGTATTGCGACCGATCATCCGTGACAATGACCTTGGACATCCATTTTGTGATAACCTACGCAAAGGACATTGGGCTATGGATTATATTCAAAATCGGCTTGAGGAATATCAAAACAACTTTGAACATCATCATTTGAAGCCATTGATTGAATGGTTTAACTCACGCTTTGGTGTCATTCGTGGATTGCCTGATTTTTTGGTGCCAAAGTACTTTAGCATGGCTGTGCATACTGCATACGAACATGTGCGAGATCATGCATTGCAATGTATGGCACCATTTGTGCATGCAAGTCTTGATCCGTTTATCCATCAACTAGCACTATGTAGTGTGCAAATGCTAGGTGTTGTCCCATCCACCTCACTCGAACCAATCAAGATCACCCCCACACTCGCTGCTGGATTGCCACATTTCACTCATGGTTGTATGCGTACATGGGGACGAGATGTTTTTATTTCATTACGTGGCTTGCTAATGGTCACTGGTCAATGGGATGCTGCACGACAACACATTCTTGCTTTTGCATCAACATTACGCAATGGCTTGTTGCCAAATTTATTGGATGCTGGTCGTAATCCTCGATACAATGCACGTGACGCTGTTTGGTGGTTCATGCAATCGGTCCAAGATTACTACAAACTTGCACCTAATGGCGCTGACATCTTGAAGGCCAAAGTCCAACGCCGATTTCCTCGCGACTATGAATGGGTATCACACGACCATGGCTATGATTGGGAGTGTACACTTGCCGAATTGATACACGAAATCATGCAGCAACATGCCAAAGGAATCCATTTCCGAGAACACAATGCTGGACCTACTATCGATCAACAGATGAAGGATGAAGGATTCAATATCGATATTGAAGTTGATTGGGAATCAGGTGGTGTGTTGATCGGCGGCAATATCTGGAATTGTGGCACGTGGATGGATAAGATGGGCGAAAGCGAAATGGCTGGCAACAAGGGGTATCCTGGTACACCACGTGATGGTGCTCCCATTGAAATCACTGGATTACTCAAAAGCGCCTTGCGTTGGCTGTCATCATTGTGTAATACTGATGTCTTTCCATGGAAGGGCGTTGACCGAGGTATGTAATTGTATACAAGGTTCATTTTATTGACATTGCATTCCCTCCCTCGCTCACTTACTCACTCACTCACTTTCACCTCCTTGTTGTTGCCTTTGACCTGCATAATTTAAGCCAACGGAAAAACAATTACGTATTCTGAATGGAACGATCTATTACAAAGCAACTTTGAACGCATCTATTTCGTGCCAAGAGGTATGTTGTGTGCCAACCATTTCTCCCTCCCCCAATTCTACCTCCTCCTCCTCTTCCATTTCGCCCATTGATTTATCACCTCCTTAATCATAGAACCCGACCAAGACACAAACTATGCTGTCGATCCATCTATTGTTCATCGTCGAGGGATATACAAGGACGTCTATGGGGCTACTGAACCATATACTGAATATCAATTTAGACCCAATTTGTGTGTTGCCATGGTTGTTGCACCTGAATTGTTTAACCGTCAACATGCCAAACAATGCCTACAATTGATGCACAAGGTGTTGCTCGCCCCCTTAGGCATGTGCACCCTTGATCCAGCGGACATGCGTTATCGCCCATATTACATTAACGGTGAAGACTCTGACGACTTTGATACCGCTAAAGGGCGTAATTACCATCAGGGACCTGAATGGATATGGCCCGTTGGCTACTATTTGCGCGCTGCTTATCAATTCGGTGCTCTTTCCTCTTTGGCTATTGCTCGCGTGCTTCATGCCCATCGTCAAGAAATCGAAACGAGTACTTGGGCCGGCTTACCAGAACTCACGAATAAGAATGGCGAGACATGTTGGGATTCATGCTTTTCACAAGCTTGGTCAGCTGCAACCATTTTGGATCTTTTGCATGACATGCAACAACAATAACCACCTTCTTCTCCTCTCTCTCTCTCTCTCTTTCCCTCTCACTCATTGTCCATATCGATGGATCCACCCCACACACTCCAAAATAGTCGTATGTATGTGTACAAAGGGTCGCATTGGAAGCGTAAAAAAGTCACATTCGTTGTTTTTGTGCCATGATTGTGGGTGTACGGATGAATGCATGTGCAATTGCGTTGTGCGTTTGTGTGTGATTGAGTGCGTGTTATGCGTATGTGCGATGGGGATATATAGATGCAATTCATCCATTGTTCTTCATGCAACGGTACATTTCTTCAAAAAGATACTGTGTTGTGCCTGGACATTCTCGTTCGGCTTGTTGAAATGATCGTCGTAGTGTTTCCAATGCTGCTTGCGATTTATGACTCCTGGTGCCATTCTGGAGCTGTATTCATTCCCACATCCATCATTAGATTTTCTCCTTTCATAATGGTATTGATAAATGATGGATTTACCTTGATAAGCGCTGGAGCAACAGCATCTCGTAGAATCGATTCACTCTTTAACGAATGCATGCTTCGAGTAGAAGGGCTGCTACTGGGAAGTTGTTGGTGGTGGGTATAATTGTGCTGCTGCTGCTGGTGATGGATATCGTTGCGAGACATGAACTTGGGATCAATTGCACGAACAGTGTTTTGGCTTGTTCCATCATCAGATTCACTGTACAACGTATTGCTTGACATGGAGCTCTATAGATGCACACACAAACACGTGTTATCTTCATATCCCACACTCTTCAAATACTCTCTCATCTTGCGTCTTACCCGAGAATCACTAGTACGAGATAAACCAGGTGATTTGCTCATAGGTCGTGCACCACCTAGTTGACCTGATGGTGATGCTGGAAGTGGACGACGTTCATTGCCAAGGATCGACTGCGTAGTGCTACCAGCATATGAATTAAGCGAATAACGACTTGAGGCTGCTGAGCTTGGAAGACCCATTGTGGGTTTGGGTGCGGGTGGTAAAGATTGCCGAACCGTACCAAAATCCCATCCATCATCGTCGGCAGGTTCCATGCTAAATTGTGTAACACGATTAGACATTTATAAAACTCCCGCTACTTTGCCTTTTTGTCCATTCAACCGAAAACATAAAGTATACTTACGTTGATTCATCTTCTGAAGCATCACTTTCTCGTGTCTCATGCTTGGATGCCCATCGTTCATGGTTCTCAATCAGTTCTGTGAGATAAGAAATCTTCTTGGCGCCTTTGATGAACTTGTGCTTCAAAAGATCTTTGGCAGTCGGTCGCTGTTTGTTTGAAAAGCACGCGTTTTAGTGCTCTAGAAATCTTCCGTGATACAATCTTTTTCCCTCACTCACCATCTTTGGATCGGTCTGCAAGCACGCATTGACGAAATCTCGAAAAGCTTGTTTGTAAGATCCTGTCAATTGGGGTGGTTGATTCTTGGGTATAAGGAAAAGAACTTTCATCGGATGCATATCAGCATAAGGCGGTTCTCCTTTGGCGAGCTCAATAGCGGTGATACCAAGGGACCAAATATCGGCCTATATAGATATACCATCCACATTCAATATATGTCTAAAACAAGCCATTACCCTTGCTCACCTTGTAATCATAGCCTGATTGTTTGATAACTTCAGGGGCCATCCAAAACTATCATTGAAATGGTAAAGTCAGTAATAAGATCATGGATCACGTCCGTGCTCACTATCCCCAAAATCATATGCTCCAACTGCTTCCCCCCAACCGGGTATGATTGACTTACCGGTGTGCCGACGAATGTGTTTTTCTTTGTCAAACTTGCCGTGAGCTGGATGTAAAACCACGAGGTTAATTTGTTGTTCATTATGATATAGGTCATAGGTATACCTGTCCAGACACACCAAAATCAGCCAATTTCACTATAGCAGGTCATGTCAGCCCTCAACTTTTAGGTATCATTATCATCAATCAAGCCTTTACCTTCACCATTGGAACCAAGCAAGATGTTGGCAGCTGCAATCGTTTACGTTATGTTAATCATCCATTCATCCATCTCCTCGCGTTCTCCTTTCTTTCAGATATGCCTCTCCTTGCTTACCTTTGATGTCTAAGAAAAAAGTCAATTTGTGAGTAAAAATGATAGTACCAAGCCATCGGATATTCTAATCTTACCTCTGTGTAATTTGCCTTCGCCGTGTAGATATTCGAGACCACGCAACAATTCACGTAGGATGATGGCAATGTATTCCTCCTTCATGGGACCCGATTTCATCTATGATTCATTCGATTTAGCAACCACATGGACATATGCGGTGAAAATGTTTCACTTACGAGATCGCTGCATGAACCACCTGAGCAATACTCCATGACGATCCATAATGAGCTATCCTTGAGATAAGAGCCATGGTACCTAATAACGATAATGGGTCAATGCGTTGTCATTATGTAATACTCCACTAGAACATACTTTGTCACGTAGAGTGAATCAAGTTGCGAGAGAATAGCTATTTCTTGTTGAATATCGTCAATCTCGTCCTCGGCACTCTCCAAATCGATAATCTTGATAGCAACAGGTCTTTGCGTTCGCTTGTCGATGCTATAAAAGAGAGCGAGAAAGGGTGTGTCGTTAGCAACAGTTGTTCCCACCCCCCTTTCCTCATTGCCGTTCACTTTTTCACTTTTTCTCTCCTTCCTTTACGCGCGCCCCTGTTCCTGCAATTCATCTCCTTGCCCTTACCCTTTAAACACTTCACCAAACGATCCCTTGCCTATAAAGCGTGTTGGTTTCATTCCAATGTCGTTGGCATGGATACTGTTGGTGCTTACCGATGCGTTCGTGTTTGGCATAAAACTCTTCGGGATCAGCTGTATGTCGTGCAGTATTCTGGAATGGGCTCATTAGTTATGACAAAGAATAAAGTAGTAGTAGTGACGTTGTGGTTCTAACCATATGGCGTGTTTATTTGGCGTTGCAGTGACCAGATAGAGCGTGTAAGGTGGGGAATGTGAGTTGAGTGAGAGAAAGAGAAAAGAGGAAGAGAGAAAGTAAAAAAGATAAAAAAGGGATTGAAAGTAAGAAAGAAAGAAGGAGCAGTAAAACTACCTAAACGAGGAATCTCAAAAACACGGATGGGAAATGATCACATTTGAAATAGCAAGCTTGCAGCCAAGTCTGGGTTTCCTGACGCCATGTCAAGCGCATGGATAGCCTCCTATATATGGTTGCAGATAGTGTGTATATAAATCAGTCATCTACAATATCAGCTCACAATTCATTCATCCGTACCTGACGGCTGACACCGAGATTCATCAAAATACTAATATGATCCTCCGGGTATTTGCTTTCTATTTCATTGTTATCAATGTTAGACTCTCTTTGTTGCTTGCATGTTGATGTTTACTTGCCTTGTGATGATGTCTGTTGCTGTTGTTGACCTTGTGGTTGTTGTTTTTCCTGTTGCTGTTGTTGCTGCTGTGTTTGAGCGGTACCTCCTGATGATGTTGGTGCTGCATCTCGGGATGAAGACCCTACAGCATTAGCTGCGGCTTGTGGTCCGGCAGTTCGTGCTTCAGTCGGCATTTCATCTTCTGCACTGCCATGAATCTATATAATCCCGCATCCCGTTCTCCTTGTAAGGATCCAATGATGCATAACACACACTCAAAAGCCCGCCTCAACAACCTCCCCCCTTCTTGTCTTATCATACCTCAATCATTCGCTGCTTCTCCGGAAGTTCGTGTTCATTCAAGAATGGTATTTCACAATCATCAAATGTCAAAGCATTCCTCCGTAGATCAATGCATGCCTTTTTTTATGATAAATTAGTATACTCATTTCATAAAGGGGAAAGTAACTTACACGATGCCGTCTCAACATGTCTAAACCAAACAACAACTCCGAGCCCTTTCCTTCGACAACGATAAACGAGCATGCAATAAAAAAGTCCTTTGCCAATTTCATTTGTGCGCTGTGAACACGTCCAAGAATGTTTGCTGTGCCCACGCCTTTGGCCACACCGCTAAATCGGGTATCCACCAACCGCATCAATCCACACATCTCGGCAGTTTCCGGACTCACTAGTATAATAAACAAGGGTAAGAATTTATCAGGAATAAGAAAAATGGCAATGACTTACTAACTGTGCTTTGGGCACCCGAGTCAACAAGTGCCACGAGTTTGTGTCCATTGATCTCCACATTGATGTACAAACGTGTGACCTAGATAGGTGATTGATTAGTATAGGGTACAAACCTCTCAGCCACACACATACACATCCAATACACTTACACGAGCGAACGACTCTGGATTGTATTCCATGGCAGCTTCCAAGTTGGCAGCGATGTTTTCTTGACGAATGGCTTCCTCAATTCGTTTTTGAGCTTCGATATCAAATGGATCACTGCTAGCAGCCATCATGGTTTGTCGTTGTTGTTCAGCTTGTCGTCGGCTTTGCTCAAGTTGTTGAACCATAGATGAAAACCTAGCGGGGTCATTGAGTGCGGCACGTGCAAGCTCGGGGTTGGCCTGTGCATGATTAAACGCGATATTAGTTACAAGATCATTGATTCCATTCCATTCCATGCTCTCCTCTCCTCTTGCTTTTTGAGCCTAGGATGGTATCCAAGGAAATGGTACTTACATTGGCAAGCTGTTGTAAGAGCCTTGGATCACGAAGCACATGTTGACGCATCAAGTCAAAGTTGGGGTTGCTATAGAAAAACCATATCAATGAGAATCATGTGTCTTTGTTGAACGTAGATGATGGAGATCTTTTATATGCATCAAGAAAATGTACCTTGCAGGAGAAGCAGCACCAGCACCAGCACCAGCTGCAGGTGTGCCAATTGCTTTGCGTTGCATCAGAATGAGATCGTCTTGGGCAACACCATACTCTTGGAGCAGTTTCTTGGCTTCATCAAGCACTCGACCATTGTGCACAAGTTCTTGTTGTTCGGGTGGGATCCCTGACTTTGACGTACAGAATCAGCAAGCGCTCATTGTGAAAACGACAAGCTTCTCTTTCCTTCCATTGTGACCTACCTCACTTTCCAACAAGGCCTTCAAGTCTTCAACGGCCATCGAGCTGTCAATTTCAAGGTTGTAAAGCTGATCGGTATCTGTCGTGACAACGAGTCTCATGATATTTGGATAAGAGGAAAGAAAGAAGTGTTACATACGCGCAACATGCCGTCAAGGGCTGACATTACCACAGCATTGCCCAATCAAATTCCCTTTGCATCTCCATCGCTTTGACAGGAAGTTGATCCAACATCCTCACTATTACTTGGCCTATTACACTACAGCTGTCCACTCTTATTACTACCATGCGACATGTATTTGATCCCCTTCCTGTTTGAGCCCATGTATATGATTAAAACACGATACGAGCTTGCTATATTGTTTCTATAGCTCGCTTCATTCGTAAACTTTTGCTTTCTTGTTGATCTTACAATAAGCTTACGCGTTTACATAACACATTTCATTACAACTCGATTGTATTCATATTTACAGGAACCTGCAACTCTTTGTCATCCATATTTACAATAAGAGGCTACCTCTACAATAAGCTGCCCTGATCCATGTACATAGTAGCGACATATCGATTGAACCTCCAGCTCATAAACTGCCAGCTAATAGCCTCATTTTCCTATTTCAACTGTTGCCTAATCCACTGCATGTGAACGATTCTCCTGCTCCAGCCTATCATGTCCATCATTCAAATACTTTGATCCGAGGGGTTTTGAGCTAGTTACGCTCATGCACAGAAGTACCATCCGACATTAGAAAAAAATCAATCGATTGATTATTTGTAAACTGCCACTTGATAGCCCTTTCCTCCCATTCACCTTTTTTGCCCAAATCAATGCATGCGAACGACTCAGCTGCTCCAGTCCATCATGTCCGTCCTTCAACTTTCTTGATCCGAGGGGATTTGGGTGAGTTACGCTCAAACACAAAACATCATCCAATTTCACAAAAATCATTTTGCAAAGTCATTTGTAAACTGCCACTTGATAGCCCATTCCTCCCATTCTCCATTGTTGTCCAATCCAATGCATACGAACGATTGTCCTTCTCCATCCATCATCTCCATCATTCAACTTTCTTGATCCGAGGGGATTTGATTGAGCAACGGTCAAACAGAGAAGTATCATCCAAGCATCAGAACATTCAAGTTAATTTGCAACTCTTCCACACCCAGCCTCTTCCCTCTTCCTCCCATACTCAACTGTTGGCCCATTCAAGTATACAACTACCACCTGCGAACGATTGTCCTGCGTCAACCCATCATGTCAATCCAACAGCTGTCTTGATCCGATTGTCTTTGACTGAATGGCAAGTCCATGGCGTGTACACGGCCTTCTTGTCACTCTTCTACAACACACGCTCTTGCACACTCGTCTCCCACAACCAAACGTAACAGCTATTTCATTGTCTATACTCCATCGCCTCAAGTTACGTACAGCAACATGCCTGACAGCCTTTTTGCATCGACAGCAGATAGCCAATTGTACACAAGCAGCTTTTATTACGCGTAGCAACTTTGCTTTGATGTATACGACTTCCCATGGATGATCCCCATATTAGCTATCAAGCACCCCGCAATACAAGGATTCTTCACCTGATTGAGCTGCAATGAAAATGACCAAGAAAGAGGTAGACCAGCAGCTGGATGGAAAGGAAGCGATCAAAGGAGCTCTTTCTATCAACATGTTGGACTTGCAATGGTTATGGATGTGTGGATGCAATCAAACATAGTGACAGGTGATCCTGGAATGTCGCTTTGGTTGCTTGGCGCGTCGTCAGCAGGAAGGATGGATACGGTTGAAGATGATGATGGATTGGATGAATTGGATGGCATGGATAAGAGGGCTTGTATCTTTGATGAGAGATGGGTTGCCACCATGGATGATATTGGAAGGCTGGAATCAAGGCACGCGCAGCAAGTAGTTTGCAACCATGGATGAGGATGCTTGTGGTGGCAGCAACCAAGAACACAATGACACAACGATACCCGCTGTTTCTATGTGGTCCACTGGTTGGCTTTTGGAATGAAAGGATGGATAGGAATTTGAAGGCTGGAAGGCGGGATTGGATTACCTACATTATTGTATCGAGACGCTTTTGTTCCTTTTGTCATATTACATTCATTAAAGCTTCCTTATTCATATGCTGATAGACAATATACAGTGGCAATTCCTAGCGGATAGTACATAGGTTTACATAGACGCTTGTATTTCAAAGATAATAAATCCATAGTAATGGTACCCAACAACAGTGCTTGTTACAGAAGCTAGTCATTGTAAGCTTGAATCCTTACGTTTAAGAAAGAGTGGGCTCTGGTACTGTACAATGTGGCACGAGTACATGCGCATGCTTACCTATGAAAATTATTAGCATGTGCGCCACCTTGTATGTATAACCTTATATGAGAACGAACTCTGGAGACAACCAATACCATTACCGCTCATAGTCTTGAATGCACTGATCACTTTGGCTTGTTATCCATACCATGGTTCATCCGAAAAAGTTGCCAAAAGGTCTGCTATAGGCGGACCTTACTATAGGGAAAAATGTCAATCATGCACTCTCCACCAATAAGAATCCTTCAAGCCCTGCACCTCTCCGTTTTATCACACAAGCGAGTTTCTCTGCGTCTTTTGCTCTGTCAGGGTCCAGCTACTTGACAATGAACAAAGACCAATTCTCGTATAGCATCATGCTTACAGCATATGTAAAACATGAAGACGTCCATATCTCAAAACTTTACAATCAACTGTGGGGTTTTTATTAGAGCAATGAGCTCGGCTTGGCCAACAGCACCTTGTGTGAAAGTTTCGCGTTCAATGTCGCAAACAGCCCAAAAAATATTTTTTGGTCGTCGTCGTCGAAGAGGTCGACCCCCAGATCCAGTTTGGCTGGTAGCGACATTGCGAAATCTGGGATTGGCAAGCTTGATCGTGAAACTTTCACACTAGGTGCAGTTGGCCAAGCCGAGCACATTGCTCTATTCAAAACCCCACGTTTGATTGTAAAGTTCGGAGATACAGGCACCTTTATGTTTGTAAACGTGATGCTATATGAAGAGTGGTCTTTGTTCATTGCCAAGTAGCTAGACCCCGGAGAGCCAAAGATGCAGAAGGACCTCTTTGGGTAACTCAGCTAAAAAGTCAGGACTTCAGGGACAATGCACGAAAGGTACGCAACCCTCACTTTGATGGCATACATTGGCAGCTAACGGCCACTTTTATCCATTCATCATTGTTGCGAGATCCACTGTATGGGAACGATGCTCCTGCTCTAGACATTCATTTCCAAAGTAGGTTGATCCGAGCTGATTTGTCTGAGTTACGCTCACACAAGATTACATCGGTTGAGCTACATCGAGCGTGCTCTATGTCCAGAGTGACGTAACCCTTGTCCACAGCTCAGTCAAATCAGCTCGGATCAACCTACTTTAATCATGGAAATGAATGTCTGGAGCAGGGGCATCGTTCCAGTGGATCTCGCAACAATGATGATTGGATAAAAGTGGCCGTTAGCTGGCAATACATGCCTGTTCCTAGATGATCCATAAAGTAATTATACATTGACCCTTCTATTCATGCAAACGTAGTTGTGTTACACAACACGACCCTCTGCATCTTTTGCTCTGTCAGGGTCTACCTACTTCACAATGAACAAAGACCACTCTTCATATAGCATCACGTTTACAAACATAAAGGTGTCGGTATCTCCAAACTTTACAATGAAACGTGGGGTTTTTATTAGAGGAATGGGCTCGGCTTGGCCAACAGCACCTTGTGTGAAAGTTTCACGTTCAATGTCGCAACTAGCCCAAAAAATATTTTTTGGTCGTCGTCGAAAGAGGGTGAGCCCCGGATCCAGTTTGGCTGGTGGCGACATTGCGAAATCTGGGATTGGCAACCACGATCGTGAAACTTTCATCCAAGGTGCAGTTGGCCAAGCCGAGCACATTGCTCTATTCAAAACCCCACGTTTGATTGTAAAGTTTGGAGATACAGACACCTTTATGTTTGTAAACGTGATGCTATATGAAGAGTGTCTTTGTTCATTGTGAAGTAGATGGACCCTGGCAGAGCAAAAGATGCAGAGGGACCTCTTTGTGTAACTCAGCTGTTTTGCATGATTGAAAGGGGCAATGTATGATACTTTATAAGAGATCATCATTGGCAGCTAATAGCCTCTTCCTCCCACTCTCAACTTTTTGTGCATTCTACTACATGTTTACGTTCTCCTGCTCCAGCCGATCATTTCCATCATTCAAGTTTCTTGATCCGAGCCGATTTCACTGAGCTACGCCCAAACAGCAAACATGAAAATTAATGAATCGCAGACCCTGCGAATGTCTCCGCCTTTCAAACTTTTGGACGCTCCCATTCCAAATTTTCAAATGAAAGGTGAGGTCTTTATTACCAAAAAGTTGATCAGCATGCTCGAGAGCACCCTTCTGACCAATTGTCAAATTGGAAGTGGACAACTTCGGGGCGGTGGGCCGTCCGCTCTTTTGTTCCCTTCATCCATCATTTGGGCCGCCCCACATTCTAAGTCTTTGTAATGAAGTGCACGGTTTTGATTTGAATGGAGTTGATCAGCATGACCGAGAGCACCTTGTGTGTTAATTTCAAGTTCAAGATGGGGAATCCCAAGGTAATACATACTATTTCCATAGATCATGAATCCGGGGCTGACCTCCATTTCCGACTTACATAGTAAATCCTACATTGTACCCTCCCATTCCAAATTTTCAAATGAAACATGAGGTCTTTTTTAGATCAACGTGATCAGCATGTCCAAGAGCACCTTGTGTGAAAGTTTCAGGTTCGAGAGAGGTAATCTCAATATCAAGGTTTGGATGTACAGTGTTCATGCATTTATACAAGAGGTGTGTGACCTATTGAATTTCCACTACTTCCACTTCTTCCGCTCCCACAACTTCTTGTCTCTTCCTCCCATTCCCAATTGTCACCGCATTCAAGTATACAACTACCGCCTGCAATCCATTGTCGTGCTTCAACCCATCATGTCAATCCTACAATTGCCTTGATCCGAAAGCCTTTGACTGAATGACAGCTTCATGGCGTGCACACAGCCTTCTTGACACTCTACTCAAACACGTGCCTTTCTTGATACAACGTAACGTCTTGGAAGCTCCTTTACCACGATCAAACGTAACAGCATTCGATCCAGCAGTTGTCAATAGCGATGCCTTGACTACATTGCTTCCAACAGCGTTCTTTATTTGCAGCAGCTCGCCTTTCAGCCTTTTTCACGTGAACAGCATGCAGCCATTGTATAGAAGCAGCTTTATTTACGCGTTGCAACTTGTTTAATACATACGACTTCTTATGGATATGAATGTGGATATGGATTATGGTATGGTGCATGGGATGGAAGGAATTGGTTGTATCTAACATGTGGAAAAAGGGTGTATCCATTGTCAACTTGACTTTGATGCTTTCATCCTGAATAAGTGGTGCATCCAGCTATCGTACTTCAAGCTATTGCATGGCAGCTACTATCATAATCCAACTGCATACTTCAACACGTCATGGATATCGTTCTCTATCACGCATCAAGCACCTCCTCGCGACCATCCACTCACCTTTGTCCCTTTTCGATGTATCTCTCCCTCTTTAAAGCAATTCCTTGTACCTCTCTATCTATCTCTTGTGAACGATGTTGGATTACATAAAGGGCTATGTACTTTAGCGGATACGAAATTGTGTTGGCAACCATTTCTAAGCTTCTATTGTGTAAGAGACCTTACCTTCTTCCTGAATTAAGCGTCGTTGTGTGGGCACTTTATGCATTGTATTATAGAAAGATTCACGAAGGATTGTAAAAGTACATCCGCTTGTCAATGCTGTGTTAAAAGGAAGAGCAAGGAAGAGAAAGAGTTCGATTGATTCATTGTGTCTTGAACAAAGACTGTATGTATTCAATAGTTTAACCCATCTTGTTGTGATTAGAAGATCTTGCCAATAACGTCATAACACACGTGCCTGAATTACGGATGATTATGCGTGAGCAGATTAGCCACATCTACTTTATGGAATAACTTGATGGATGCAAATACATAATAATAGGTGGTGGATGAAAAACAATAGTACTAACAAGATCATCTATGATATACTCGTTTCACAAAGGCTCAAGGTAATAAATGATAAAATCAGGCCCTCTTAGCCTTGCTAGTAGTGGTAGCTGTAGAAGAATCGTATTGATGCGATGGATATCGTCGTCGACTTGCTCCTCCAATAGAAGTGAAGAAACGATACGAGATAGGTTGTCGTTCTTTTAGGGGTGATAAAAAGTTAATATCGATATGCATGAATGAGGTGGGGGAAAGAGATCCATACCTGCTCTGCTAGCCGTGTTTTGAATAATGGCCCCACTCGATCGGGACGCTGTCAGCATGGGAGACTGCATGAGATCCTGCTCTGAGCGACTCCTCGATTGATGTTGTTGTTGTTGCTGTTGCGAAGGTACTAAATTACCAACATCAGCCATCCTGGTATGTCTAACCCTTGCCATCTCTCTGTTTTTACCATTTGACAAGCGTGTTGCCTTTCCCTTTCGTAACTTGACAGCTTTGGCAGTTTGTGTTCTAGATTCGGATGGTTCGTGTCCACTACGTCGACGAGCAATACCTGCTGATATATTCTCAGACAAATCTCGTAGGATACTCGATCGTGAGGGTGCTGGAGCAATGAAATCGCTTGAATTGCTACGTGTGCTTTTTGAACTACGATCCGACGATGTGGAGGGTGTCTTGTTGAATCCTGAAAACCATGAAATCTCAGGATCCTTGGCAATCTTGTATCCACGATCCACAATGCGTGTAAGAATGCCTTCACGTGCTCGTGCCATGGGTTGCATAAATTTGGGCGATTTGTATGCGGCGTATTCTGCATTGATCACTAATTTATGGATGATGTGAATCACATGTTTCAATAAAAGCATCATTGCATCGCTAAGGGACTTACGTTTTGCCAATAAGAAGGATTGTAGTTGAGATTCGTCAAAAAAGATAGCATTGGCAGGCAATGGGGGACCGAAGCTAGGTACACTGTCAATTGTCACCACCTCCACCCTTGTTGCAATATGCACATATTAGTCAACATGGTTAGGAATGCATATATAGCTTATATTTTACCTCCATCCGATTTGACCTTGCCACGTGTCTTCATGCACAACAATGAACACATGCAGAAATTGTGACTTGATAGCTGCAGGATTGAATGGTTGTTGCCCCTTGACAAACACAACACAGACAATATCTAGATCCTCACGTGTGTAAGTTTTTCTTTCCATCATCGAATGTTGCCTATTTGCTCACCATTTCCGATATGTCGTTTCTTTTGTATTTGCTGCCTATCTCCTGGGCGGGATGGAATCAAGCTTGACACATGGTATGCAATCTCGTGACCATGCCATTCATTGACATAGGTATATTCCCCTGAATCCCCACCTAAGAAAAGCATCACAATCAATAAACCATTTTTGGTATCCAATGGTATTGGTACACGTACTTTTGGTATCAAGCCCACCAGCCCATCCTGTGTATCCATTCAATTCGACTTTGTGACCAAGAATCCCCAAAAATCGGTCAAACGCTTCCGAGTCATCTGTATTGGCGAGCCATTCTTCCTCCCTGGTTTGCCCATCCTTGATGTATAGAACACCACATTTGTATCGGCGATGAACCTGCAATACACACACACATTGATGAACAAAGGATCACTAGTTCAGGTGGGAGATGTAACTTACAGCTTGCTCATCAAGCATTAGCAACTCCTTCTCCAATCCAGAGGATACCATGGTAGCAGCGTCAATTTTCTTCATGCGATCAAAGGGTAGGTCGAGCATGGTCTCCGCAATCGTTTTCCAAGTGCCATCAGGAACATGGAGGCTTTTAGCGGGCACTGCTCGTAAAAGCAATGCATCATTGATAGTCTTGCGTACATCGGGTCCCTGTTGTTGTTATAGAACAATGAATACAACACGTACGTTACCCTCACTACTACACACATACCTGCTTGTCTCTCACAATCAAACGAAAGAGCTTCTCGTTTTGATCACAAAGAGCAGAGAACATGATGGGTTCATTGTCGCTGCGGTATCCAAGAAATGTCGCATAATCTTTGTTGACAAAATGGTTTCGAAACCAACATGCATCATGATCCATATGCTCCAACTTGCCATCCAAATACTCTTGTAACAAGGGACTGGTGTCTTGATCCACCACATAGTCATCCATCGTAGACCCAAACTTATTCTTGCCTTCGACCTTGTATCCTTTGCAAGGAATCACAAGTGCCTTTTCGGAAACCTTGTGGTATTGACATATACACAATTCGACCATTTGCTTCATCGAAGATATCTACAAAGCATCGTAAGTCATATTGTTGTAAAATGGTGTTGGTGAGAGAAACTTACAATCTCCTTGACAACAAGTTGAATGTCATGTTGCTGCTTATTTTCTCCCTTGCGTGCCTTGCTTGTTGCTGTTGTTGAAGAAGGAGCGTATGATGAGCCTTGGGAAATCTTATCATTGAGCGCTTGGAAGAATTGAGTCACCGACTTTTGGCTAACAGGGTTGTTGTCATCATCGGATGCTTCCCAGGTGACCATGTCTGACATTTTGCGTAGGTCACTTGCAATAGTCAACAAGGCGTTTTCGGGAAAGATCCGATGAGATTCCGAGTTGGTGGTGGTGGTGGTGGTGGAAGAAGGAGGAAGCATGGTAGTCTCGAGCAGGTGGTCACAATCGCTGATCAATTTACTGTGTAATGTTGTGAGGGTAGCAGTGACAAGAATGGTGTGGTACGAGGCATTGTTGTTGTTGTTGTTATGTTTGGCAACAGCTGTCTTTTGAGAAACAAAGGGAGGCACGCCGTCATTGTCGTTTGTTGAAGAAGGCTTCATGTTGTTCACAGGTGGTGTAGGGATAGGTGGTATATGCGTATCCAATACAGTGTTGTTGTTGTTGGACGATGCTACTGGATATTGGCCGTTGGCAAGTTGCCGAAGGGAAGGAATCCTTCCAGTTTCCTATACCGTAATTATATTTATATAAGTAATCGAATAATGATCATCACCCCCCTTGCCCTATTATCGCGCGCGTCGTCCAATATTTCTGCATGACCCCCTTTTTTCACGTACCTGGTACGACTTTGCCCGCTTATGCTGATCCCAAATCACCTCTTTTGATGAGGATGATGCTGTAACATGATCACTCTTGGCATCTGTATACCCGCGTATTAATAACATAGCCTATTGTTGTATCATTTGCCTCCAATGAAACTTTACCTGATATGATACTAGACGCTCTTGATCTTGACAGATCTTGGTCAAAGAATTCCAAGTTTTCAATGTCGACTCCAAAAAGTAGCTTTCCAATGGCTTTTTCATCATATGCTGTAGCTGTCTTTTCTTGTTGGATCACATTGTTGAGTTGACCATTTTCTTCTTCCTCCTCCCCGTTATCATCATCCACTTTCACGTCATCAGGTGTCACTTTTACGTCGCCAAAAGCGGATGATACAGGACGATTGTCGCGTGGTGTTGCATGTAATAATCTAGCAGCCACATCAAGTACACTATTCCTCCTTTCAGCCAATCGTCGTTTTGATGATGAAGGAGGACGTTCTTCATCCACAGCAGCAGGAGAATGAATTGAAGAGACACTTGGGCTGACATTGCTATTTGCACAAGACGCTTGGGCATTTTCTTTGGAAAACATGCTCGACAATCCCATCACACTAGGAGCTCGTCGTCTGAATCGTGAAGCGAATGAATGATGATGATGATGATGCTCATTGTTGGATGATGATTGTGGGCTTTGTCGACCATTGATCATAGCGGTGTTATTGGGTGTGGTTGGGCTGTGAATCATTGTACGTCTACGGTGCGATTTTGCAGCAACATAGTCTTTGACTGATACAAGCGACGACTTTACAGCATGTGGAAACTTTGATATCTTGCTGGCAGTGCTGAAGACCGAGCTGGTCGATGAAAAGTTGGATCGTATTGAGTCATCCGATGGACGTTTGTAAATGGCGCGATTAGGTGACTGAGGAGGTGGTGGTGAAACGGTGCGTTGTTGGTGTCGAGAAACCTTGTTCCCCAATGCGTGCAATGAACGTCGTATCGATCGATGACTGGACTCAGGTGGCGATGCATTGGGTGGTTGTTGTTGTTCAACAAGAGAGTCATTTGGGTCGCTATGGCAATCGTCGTTATGGTCCTTTCCAACAGCAGCCGTAGCTCTATCCAGTGTTGACTGGGATGTAGCCGAGTTGGAACAAGAACCTTCAGCAGTCAACATGGAAGCGTACCAGAGTGGAAAATAAACCACAAAGGGGGAGAGAGAGAAGGATAGGTGTACACTGTCAAGGAAAGGAAAAAAGAGAGGAGGAGGAGGATATGAAAAAGTGGTGTCAGGAACTTGTAAGAGAAGAAGAGATGCACACACACAACTTGGTATCTCCGGTGAACCAAACTTGATCTGTACACAGGCACGCTACTGGGGGTTTCGTTGCTGTGCATGACCTACTACTCTTGTAGCGCGCTACCCAATAACGATTTGTATTTCAGACAAAGAACACGTGCACTTGCCCTACTACAACTACTACTTTACCGCTGTTGTGATCTTTCTATGATAATGATAATGCAAGGATATCTTGTCACGTAGTAGTATTACTATTTGCTTTCAACTCTACATCTTCTAATACAACACCATGTGCTTCAAAACAAATGGATCGTGGGTATCAAACAATACAAATAGTTAGGGACCACATTTTTTTGCCACCCACCTCGTTTTTCGGGTTTCATCCGAGCACAGGAACGGTCCCTTGAACATTAAACATATATGTAAAAGGAGAGGGGAGGCATAAAAAGACTGTTTGGTTGTACCGCACGAGACACTCACACACACGCACAAAGCAGGACTCTCCATCATATACTTGCCGAAAATGTCGTTGAGCAAGATCAACCCCCTTGAAGATGTTCCAATTATAGACACTTCATTATCCTTTGAAAAATGCTAGAAACAGAATATAGAAAAAGCAATTGGAAGTGTAATTTTGTGTCAATGTTACACGTCTCGGCGATCCATAAAGAATACGGGGGCCATCTGATCATCACACACACACACACATCGCTCAAAGCAATCCTATTCCATCATGTGCCTTAATAAAGTGTATCCAGCATTTGGTATTATATGGCTTGTAGTGGCTGACACAAGTTGGTTTGTTGGGTTGCATGGTCGATCGGAGTGCTTCCTCGGATTTCGCTTATGCACACTAGCCATGCTTTGTTACACCAGCCATACATAGTTTCTCTCACACACACAAATGTCAGTCGACTCTTAGCTCCGATCTATCATTTGCTTACCATTAAAGGTGCTGATCATTATGATTAGCGATGGGATTAGCAACGACAACAGTTTTACCCTTTGTGATCCACATGTGTATCCCTCATTTGAGGAAGTTTGGGATGGGTTCCTGGATTCAGGATTTTTGTAACACGTATACCAGCAGCAGCGGTTGCTGCATGTTTAATTATCACAACATCATGTACTTTACCCTTATCCTATCGTTTCAAATGGTTACCATATGGGTAGTGTGAACTTGCGAAATGGTACGTCGTATACATCTTTGAATACCACGCAAGATGTATCCTGTGAGGATATAATGCACGCGTGTGCGCATTGGCCATTGGGCTATGCGGGGCTTTGAGCGGCATGAAGAGAGAGTGATTTACAACCACCTCCTTTTATGCATGAATGACAGCTTGTTGCATGACAGGTATACAAGATGGGGATTTATGACAGCATTTTACCACATGAATCAAGGATGTTTATCTTGTAAGATGATCAATAGAAATAACAAAAGAGAGATGGAATGATAACAACGGCAACACTACTATTACTATTATACTAGGACGTTTCATTTGACATTGGATGGAGGTCCACGGGGTATAGAAAACAAGAAGAGATAGCAAAGTGCTACATGTGTTTAGTAGAACGGAAAGCAAACTGATACACATATACCTATTGCATCATAGCAGTAAACAAGGACGTGCATGTAGTGTGTGTGTGTGTGTGTGTATGCATGGAATTTTTTACGCGTCGACCACATTTTTACTTTGTTGCTCTTCTTTCCTTCCTTTTTCCTTTCCCCCCCCAAAAAAATGCTCACCGAGGAGAACTTGCTTTCAGGCTTGACATTACACGGCCCAAAGTGTTTGCGATTGCCGAATGCTGTACTTGAGAGAATCTTTGCCATGCTGCCAACGCAACGCGATCTCCGCGAGACGTGTGTTGTCCATCGGTCGTGGACCATGGCTGCCCTGAATGTGCTTTGGCGCGAGCCCCAATTTGCAGGACCTGTTGCGTTTCGAAGTTTCTTGGAAGCTATCCACAAGAACAAGCAAACAGCGTTGCGTGTGAGGACCTTGAATCTTTGTGTATCGTCTGCCGAACAGCAGCAGCATCATCATATCGCAATGAGTGGATTTCGTGCTTCTATGAGAGTCATACAACAATCACACGTCAACCATGCTCAATGTCCACTTGCCAGTCCTCAAATCATCTTTGCAGTATTACAACAATGCGAAATGGTGGATACTTTGAGCTTGTATGGGTGGCATTTACAATCGACACATTTACGGCTGATTGCATCTCATCTGCCGCGTTTGAAAAGTTTCCGCATCATTGGTTCGCTACAAGGCAACAGTCAACAATCATCATCATCATCATCACCAACCATGGTACCACTTTTACCTCCATCTGTTACACATATCGAGTTGTATGGCAATTACTTTCTTCATCCATCGCGCTATCCAGCTCTCAAGGTATTGCGCATATCAATCTCCAATACGAGTCAATCCAGCAGCATTGAAAAGTTCTTACAAGGGGGATTGACCACTTTACAAGAATTGACGTTATCGGGCGCCACTGATGTACGAGATGAGCATTTATGTCAACTCTTTGATGCATTCCCAAACTTGCACAGCTTCTCGCTTGAAGATCCTCTCTATATCACAGGTCAGGGGATTATTATGGCTATCAAGGATGCACAATTTCTCACGGACTTGATGATACGACAACATCCTGATGCTGTAAAGAAGCAACCTATTTATCAACAATACGATCACATGGCGCCAACCCAGCACATGACGTTTCGTTTACGCTCCATCACACTCACACAACTTTACATTGACGATCACCAGCTATGCCAAATCCTTGAACCATCCTTGTCGCATATTCAACACATTTACTTGTCCAATTGCCCATGTATCACAAACCAGATTTCAACAAGCCTATTACAGCACGCGTCTCGCCTTGAATCATTGACCATCATTCACTGCAAAAGCGTGGGAGCCAAAACACTCAATGTCTTGCAAGATTCTGCTGCAGCTCACAGCTTGCGTTTATTATCTTTTATCGGCAATACGTATAATGTTCAACCTACCGACATCCTCAACTTTGTACGATCTGCTGCTGCTCATCATCTCCAAAAACTTGTCTTACGTGGATACGATGAGATGGTCAAGACACCCTTTATCGCTCGACACGCACGCATTTATCGCCATTCACGCTCTACAATGGATACAATGGATTTCGATCGGGAGGGTATACTGGAACTTGCAAAAGAGGGATACACCCCAGAGGATCGTGTGGTGACAGGAAAGGAATTTGTGGAATTGGCAAATGCTTTGAATATGGAGGTAACCCAATTGGAAGCAATCATGGATGGTATCAAGGTAGGTATTAAAGGGGGGGAAGGTTTGTTGTCACCATTGCACCGATGTCTAACACATTGGCATTCATAGGAAAAGTCAAGACAACAACATGAGCAACAAGAAGAAGAGCCATCACACGACCAATACCCTTTGACAACAACCACCACCAAAGCAGAAGATAACAACAGTGATCTTCATTCAGCGACCACCAATCATGTGCCAGCGACACGGCATGCCATTCTTGATATTGAGTCGTCAGAGGATACGGATCGTAAGTTGGCTATAAATATACATGGGTAGCTGCTGATAACGATACAATGTAGCAACCTCGTATACTTCACCAGAGCCGGCATCCACCTGTGAAGAGGATGATGATCACGAGTCAATCACAAAGCACCTTGACAACTCCATTGTGCAACAACAGCCACAACAACAGCATGAAGAGAAGACATCACCATCTGACGACAGCATCCATCAAGATGATGAATCAGCATTTGTATCTTCGGCATCTGGTGGGGATCTTGGAGGCTGGGGATCCACTCTTGACATTTCATGGCAATCATCACGTTCATCGTTTGGTTCTCGGTCAACCAGTGATACCAGTTCCCATGGATCATCCTCTGTCAATGGACATCCTTCTGCTGCTGCCAATTACGAACATGCATGGCGTCAAGTTGCAAAAGAGGCACCTATCATTACTGGTAAACGTGTATCTATGGCGAATGAGATCATGCCGGATGGATGGGGAACACCCAAACAAGTGGTACAATGGGAGGATGCACGACTTGCCTATGCGCATGATGTTGTGGAGAAGCAAAAGAGCACGACGTTTTGGATTAAGCGTGATGATGGAGAATGGACCAAGGCAGCTGATGAACCAGCTACTACTACTGCTACTACTACTGCTACTACTACTACTCCTAGTAATACCCCTCGACCACACCGTAAGTACTACGATGAGGAGGAGAAGAGCCCCTTTCCCGGATTCGGATGGGAAGAGTCGAAGAATGTCCACCACTCAAGCTTATGGGAACTTCCAATACAACCACAGGAACAAGAACAGAGCCCAGCAAACACGCCCATTCCCGATCCAACAAACGTGCGTCCAACACGGAGACACAACGACGAAACCCATCCGAAATTGATGTTGCAGGATCAGAAGTTTCAGCACGATGGGTCGACTTTGCTGCAGGACGGCCTGGCTCACAACAAATCCCTGATTTGATCAATCTCGGCTCAAAGGATGACGCTCTTTTTTCATTTTCGCCAACAACACCCATTCCAACAACAAGTAAATCACTGCAACCAGTATCATCATCATCATCATCATCTTCACCAAAATTGAGTCAGCTTCATCATGCCAAAGATGACCTTGACGAACTTCTTCATTGACAACATGTAAGCATATGCGATGGTGTGGGCGTGGTAGATTCTACATATACTAAGCTCTTTTTTTCTTTCCCTTGAAGGTATCTTCAACATCATTCATAATGACAACAGCAACCTTTTCTCTTCGATCGAATGCGACGAATAGCTCTCATACGTAATCACATCCAGCTACAGGTTATCTCTACTTTACCATGACAACACTGTCACTTTGAGGTCCACCATTGCCTTCAAGAATTTTGAATCGCGCGTCACCATCAAGATGATATCTAGCTTTATCGACATTGGTTATTGCTGCTGAATAAAGGCCATCATGTTCACCGCCAAGTATCATTGAGGATATCGTTGATTTGATCATGTCAGCAGGATTCACGGATGTTTTATACGGGTGGTGATCGTGGATTTGTTTTATGCTAGATGAGTCTCGTGGAAGGGTTTAGATCATGAGATGTCACCACCTTGTTACTGTATCTGATGAATGACAATTGGCAAGAAGAACAAGTTTATACCCAAAGGTGGTAATCCATTGGCATAAGGCTAGGCAATGAACGCGGATTTTCAATCCCAAAATATCTCATCACCATAAATTCAATGTGATACAACCCATGTCAAGTCCCGACACGGCCATTATTTGTCTTTGCTCATTTAAAGTACTTGCCCACACGCACACACACACACTCCTTTGAGCTATAACCAGGCCAATGCAAATAATACATATGAACCCATCTTTTATGATTGCATTCAAATTTAGTATGGTTGACATTTCAAGGGAACTACAATGGCTGAGAAATCCATCTACCATAATCTCAATGCTGTCATTGTCGGTTGCCAATTAACACACCTGCGCATGTTGCCCAACTTGTGCGACATTAGCGGTCAACATGCGCTATTTCTACTACAAACAGGTGGTTTCTCCTTTTCTTTTTTTCTCTTTATTCTTCTTTGTTGCTGCACACACAAACACGGTTATCCTTCAAGGGTCCTCTTTTTCCTTTCCCTCTTTTTCTCTCTCTCACACATACACATACACATACAATGAAGTTCTCTCTCGCTGCAACTACGACTCTTTTGCTATCGACTTTTGCTTCCTTGGCTAGTGCTGACGCCTACGCTGATGCCATTGCCGAGTGGTGTAATGGTAATGATTGATTGTTTGCTTATGACCACGGGTCCTCCAACACCTCTCACTCACACGTTGTTGCTAGGCTTGAATGTGACCGCACCCACCAACGAGACTGTAGTTGTTGCTGGTAGCAATGCCACTATCACTGTTAGTAAGTGTGGAATCTACAAAACAAACAAAGCCGGCGTTGTTTACCAATGAATGGTGTTCTAATAGCTCGCGAACCCAATGACCACCAAAAGACCATCACTGGCCTCGATGTAAGTTGACAAAATGTTTTTGTTTCACTGGGTTTTGAATGATCAAGGCTAACCCCTTTTAATAGTTGTACTCGGTGATGCCTAATGGTACCGCCCAATATGTTCAAAACGTGTGGGCAGGCGAATTTGAATTGAACAAGCAAGCCAGTATTAATGACACGATGCCCTCCAATGCCACGGCTGGTCTCTACTACTATCGGTAGGTGACACAAATGCACATGTTGTAGCAACAAATCACTGATATTTATATATATCTATATAGCGTGTGGGTGACCAACCAAATCAACGGCATGCATGGTCCTGATTGTCTTGAAACTTCAGACACTTTCAAGGTGACTTCGGGTGTGCATCAAGATGCTGCTGGTATCAGTTATTACACCGAGTCGTTGAATGATGTTCAATTCTATCACCCTGAATACTTTAAGGGCTGCTTTGGTCTTCAAGTGACCCAACCCAGCAAAGATAGCACTGTCCAACTTGGCAAGCACGTCTCCATTACTGCCAAGCGTGATCGTAACACCGCACAAACCGGTCTTGTCAAGCAAGTGGATTTGTACAAGGCTTCCTCTGATGATAAGAACAAGGCCGAATTTGTTGACACCGTGTGGACTGGCAACACTCGCTTCACCAATGACTTTACGCTCTCGGACCATTTTGTCCTTGATGATGAACATATCGATCATGATGCTACCTATTATTACACTCTCACCGTTGCATCCAACAAGAACTCGGATGAAGATTGTACTTTCCATTCTGAAGGCTTCAAGATCAGCGCCTAAATTGAATGAGTGTGTATTATTTGAAGATTCCCTCCCTGCCTCCCTCCCATCATTCATCCAATATCGATCCTTTTTGTAAAACCAATTATTCATCCGCTTGTACCAATATACATAAATTCCACTATTTCACAAAAGGGTTGTATTGATATCTGCTTTTAATCGTATGCAAGATTAAGGGGATCTTGAGCTTTGACGTGGCATTGATGAAGAGTAGGGTGGCGGTGAACGTGATGCATTCGAGTTATGATGTTGAAGATAATGAGGAGGAGGAGGAGGAATGTCATCAGGACCATATTCACCACGACGCACTGGAGAACGCGATCGATAACGATAAAGAGGTGGAGGTGGAGGTGGAGAACGACCTCTTGGCGAAAGTGATCGACGATAATATGGACTACGTGATCGACGACTGTTGTAACGAGCAGGAGGTGGAGGTGGTGGACTTTGTGAATGTAAACGACGATTTGGAGGATCGAAACGCCAACGAGCACTTGGTGCATTCCTAGCCCACTATCATGATAAAGGTAAGTATGTATGCAAACCTTATCATCCGTGTATACCACACTTACCTGGACACTAATGGTACGTCCATCTATACGACGCCCATGCATTTCATTAAACGCATCTTCAGCATCACGTGCATCTTCAAATTCGACAAAGGCATAACTAGGATTGTTCTATATGAGTCATCCATCCTGACGCCATGTGATCCATTACTTACGGCTTGGATGATGCACTCTTGGGTGCTGGTATATCACAACGCACCAAACGGCCATATCTTTTCCGTGTCATGTCGTTAGTCGTATTGGATCATCGTCATCGAGTAAACACAAAGGGAAGAGAAAGGGAATAGGGTCGTTCGTCCGTGTCCTGTCGTCGTCTCGTCGTCGTCGTCGTTGTCGTCTTTGTCAGGGTATCACGTTGCATGAAGCAGACGATGGCACTGATCGAGAGAGCGTTCATTGACAATAAAAGATACTGTTTCCCATCTCAATTGGCATGCATTTCCTCGTAGTCGTTCAAGTTGTCTCGACAACGCGCAAGACGATAGGTGTATGTGTGTGTGTGTATGTGTACGTGTAATGTGTGTATCGTGGAGGGGTGACGACAAAGCTTAATACCTTTCGAATTCGTATGCAAGATCTCGAGCACGTGTACTGGATTCAAAGCCTGCAACAAACAAAGTTGTTTTCATTGTTGGGAAATGGGATAGAAAAGAAACAAGTAAAAAGAGAGTCATCCCAAGCCGATCTCCCCATTTTATCATTACGCGGAGTTGATGATGATGATGATGATGCGTCAGGCCACGCGTTATGCATGTGATGAATTTAATGATATTTGCAATAGTTAAAGTTGAGGGAATGAAAAGTAAAAGGGAAGAGGTGGCGGTGGGGGGGGGGAAAGGGGAATTGATGAAATAAGGTGAAAACTATTCTCGCCATCCAGCATTCAATTGCATCAATGTAAGAACAGCATCCATCGGATATTCTGGTTTTTTATCATCCTGTTGTTGTTGTTGTTGTTGACCATCTTTTGATTCCTCTTCTTCGCTCTTGTCTTGTAATGGAGAATTATGCGCGCTATTGGATGCACTGGTGGATGATGATAAACCTTGCTCTTCGTGCGTGGATTCTTGATTGTTTGGTGCAACTTGATCTTCATCCTGTGGTTGTTGCTGTAGCTGGGCTTGACTTGATGAATCATCATTTGATGTGCTCGATGATGGTAATTTTTCCCCATTGTTTGTCATGGCCTAGGTACATAAAGAGACAATCAGCACAACGGCTCATTTTATCTTCCATTGTTGATACATACAATCATGTTGTTCAATTGTTCAAGTAGTTGTCGTTGCAATTCGGGAGGGAAATCCAACATTTTGGCAGCAGCAGCAGGATCCACTAAGGGTGGAGCTTGTTGTTGTTGTTGTTGCATGTTGTAATAACCAAGCTGATCTGATACACCATTCAATACTGATTGCTCTGATAATGATGACATCTCTTGTGGTTTCTCAAGGTGAGGACTACCAGGAACACTGAGGACGTTGTCAATGGCATTCTTGCGTCGTTCCTTTTCCATTCGTTTTTGTCGTCTCTTTTCAAACTCTTCTTGAGCCCACGCTTTCTTTTCTGGAGTATCAGCAGTGCCATACAATTTGGTCGCTCGCTTATTGACTCGGCACCTTAAATCATTGTCTTTGTCTGAATAATGTACACATTTGGTCAATGCAACCATGAACATAGCGGCGGTGACTCAACCAACCCCATCCATCCACCCATCCAAGACCCCTCCTTCTCATATGTTGTAAACTGGACTCACTTCGCTCTTCATTATGAATACGCCATTTCTTTTTTCTCTCTCGATTGGCTGCCCGAATGCTTTCTCTCTTTGTGACATCCAATTCATGCAACGGTTTGTGTTTGCTGTGATGCACTTGGGGTGTTGTTTCAGACTGGGTAATGGTGGTGGAGGAGGCGTTTGCTGTAGGTGAAATTGGCGATGCGTTGGGAGTTGAGGAAGAAGAAGCTGCAGCTGCCATTGCTGCTGCCGCTGCTGCAACAAGACCATGAGGAGAAAGAGAACCCACCCCGTGACTGTTGACAGCTGCTAACATTGCTTCGTGGAGCTGCTGATAGGAGGGTTGCTGGATCGACTCGGACGTAGGATTATTACTAGTCACGGCTTGGTGATGCTCGTCACTAGGATGGGCGGTATTGTTGGCGTTGCTGTCAATAAACGACGACGTCTCATGTGGTTGCTGGATTTCCGTATCTTTTGCATTGTTGTTATCGTTGCCCATGGTTACGTGTTATGAAAAGAAAATAAAAAAAAGTGAAAGAAGGAAAAGCGGAAAATCTTTTACGGTGTTGGTCTGGTCAAGAAAGTGTCCAATGCCTCTCATTCACCCTCACAATCAAGCGATGGCAGCCTCTAAAATTTGGAATCCAGTAGCCAATAATGTCCATTCATTTTCCCTCCCTTTCTGCTTGATGCTTACAACCACCACCACTACCACCACCACCACTACGATGCTGCATTATTGTAATCATGGATACCATCTAAGCTTTTGATTCATAATAAAAGATGACGCATGTTAAAAATGAATGACTTCATGAATGAGGTAGATTGATTAGAAACAGGATCAGATGCTTTCAGCGTGGATTACATTTCATAAAGGCTCTCGGCATGTATCAACCAGTGTGTTGATAGGTTGGGTTACTCAATGATCCCATTAGAGATGTTCATAGTACTGTGAAAGGCTTTCAAGATTGCAATTGTGATAAGAACATTATCTCCATGAATCGAAAACATCTCCGCCGATAGAACCAGCGCAAAAAATGATGGCCCAAACCCTCTCTCACACGGACACACACTCCCGTATCCATCCACAATGTATCCATAGCAACGTATAGTACTCCGCATAAACTTAACCGACCATGATCCATTGACAACATTTCATTCATTGTGATAGTATCGAAACGGCGAACGAATCAAAGATGGCCACGCTTGGTATAGGGTGGATATACATGTATTGATCAAATCTATTCTCCTTCATCCTAAAAAGTTGACGCAAAAGAAATGAAGCAAGAGAGAGCATACAACAAAGTCGGCAAAGGCACTAGCAACAGACATTAGTATCTTGCAAGAAGCTGCATATACATGGATAACTTTTACCGTTCAGGTGACACAGTCTTAAACATGTCCTTGTTTTGGGAGTTGGTTTGGATACGCAAGTTGGCTATAATTGATGCACGTGTTATGGGTGGTTGCTAGTCAATATAGAGTAATAAAAATGTACCTGCAAGCACAAAGCTGCCTACGGTGCTAATGAAGCCTGAGAGGAAAGCATTGTACGGGAAGGTGCCAGCTGCAAGCATATAGATGAACTGAAAGATGCCCGAGAGCATGATGTAGGCGAGGTAAATGTCGACGATCTTCAAGTTAGTGGGTGTGTCCCGTTTGTAGGCGACCATGAATTTATGTGATGCGCTCGCTAGACCGTCCATGTTGAAAAAAGCGTGTTCCGTGGAAGCGAATAAAAATGGGGGGACACTTGAAGAGGCACCGTGTTGGTCTTGAATGTCGACAAAACTACTCCGAGGTACTGAGTGAGCACAGGTGGCGCTCCTTGAGCCTAATATAGTCCCATCATCTGAGGATATAAGTGGGGTGCTTCTATCGAGATCTTTTCATATTACAAGTGACCTTCTTCCCCCTTCCCTCTACTATTTTTTTTTATTTCTTGCAACTTTCAAGAATGCAATTACATCGTCGACCCAATTCTATTGCATGTAGTAGCAATAATCATCAAGAGACTACGAGGACTACTACTACTACTACCATGATGGAAGAGGATCAAGCTGTTATCCAGTTGGATGATTGCCCCTATCAAGCACTTCAACAGACATTACAGCACCGATCTGATCCTAGCATAGAGCAACAAGACCTTCATGGCATCTCATCAAATAAATCACGGCATCAAACTGCTGTTGTACCCATCACCACTACAGCTCCCCGTGAAAGAACCATTAAACATGCTAGTCCTGGCCCTATCTCTGAATTCGTACAAAAGCTCTTTCGGTAAAATATCAAAGCGATATGCTGGAGAGGCCCGTGCAATGTTACAATCAAGCATCTTGTCAACTCACTCCTTATATTGCTTTTTTTATCGTTTTTGTACTATATAGAATGCTTGAGGAGAGCACATCTAATCAAGATACTTTATGTTGGGGTGCAGATGGTGCTTCTTTTATTGTCAATGACGTTGATGAATTCTCAAGGACGATGCTTCCAAGACATTTTAAGCATGGCAACTTTGCTAGCTTTGTCCGTCAATTGAACAAGTATGGTTTTCACAAAGTTCGTCATTCAGATGTTCATGGGCGGCGTATGAGGGCGACAGGCCGTGATCAGGTGAGTGTACTACATGCACCCTTTTCCCCCTTTTCTTTTTTACAAGTTGTGATACACTCCTACTTTCCCGCGCCCTTATCCAATTAGCCGCCATTATTTCTTTGTATCATTGTTCATTTCGACCAACCAGAACAGAGGTCATGCTTTTATTATAGGTTTGCGAGTTTGCACATGTAAACTTTAGACGAGATCGTAAAGACCTCCTTGGTACCATTCGTCGCAAAACATGCTCCGAGAAGACAAAGCGTCGTTTAATGTATGCCACCACGGCCACAACAAGTAATCCATATCCAACAAGGCAACAACGACAACAGCAACAACAACGTAGTGCTACTACTACTGGTGCTGGTGCTGCTGAAGACATGGATCAAGATAATCATGGCCATCAACAACATTGCAAAAAGGATGTTGAGACGCTGCGGGACATGGTGGAAAAGCTAAACAGCCGCCTTGATGGGCTACAGGAGTCGCACAATCAAATGGAGTCCAACCTGGCGCAGCACAGTGAACGAGGAGCGATTGTATTAAAGGAATTTCTAGAACTTGAAAAGACAATGGCCACTCAAGACTCTTTGATTCGCCAAATTTTGAAACTTGTGGGCAATACAAGTGACCAACAAGGTACAGTAATAGTATACTTTGATTCTTTGATTCTTGGGGGTATAAAATGATAGTACATGTAATAGTAAGCTGATATACTCCTCCTCGTTGCAGATACTACTACACCAAGTCTTGCTGGTTTGTTGCACAATAATGTATCGGTGTCATTGACGACAACACACACGCTTGCAAATGCGTACAACAAGGTTTCACAGTTGGGTTTCGATCAGCTAAAGTCGATTGTCAAGCATTTGGGTCAATCACAATGCAAAGATCCAGCTTCTCCGTCGTCGGTAAAATCACAACCGGCTGTATCGGCTGGCTGTGTTGTGGGGGAAATGACGCCTGAGACACCAGAAACAACCCAGGGCTCAGCTTGTGTTACACCGCCTGGTCTTGTATCACCTGCACAAACTTGCATTGACGACAACAACACCAACGACCCAATGACATCAGTTCCCAAGGATTCACCAACCACACCACCCTCCCCCAATGTCGAATGGACAGTGCCTCCCCATGTATTACTTGTGGATGATGATCGTGTGTGCCGTGATTTGAGTGGCAAGCTCTTACAATTGGTGGGATGCACCATTGACCTTGCCAAGGATGGCGTCGAGGCCCTTCACAAGCTCACTGTCAAGAAATATGATCTCGTCTTAATGGTATGTTGTAATTACATAAATCATCATCCTAGTATTCTTGTTGCTGACATGAGGTTTAATAGGACATTATGATGCCAAACTTGGATGGCATTTCTGCTACTCGCAATATCCGACAATATGACAACTTCACTCCCATCGTTTCTATGACATCCAATTTTACCGATAAGGACATTATGCTCTATGCTGGTAGTGGCATGACCGATATCCTTCCAAAACCTTTTACTGCCGACACCTTGTACAGTATTTTGGAAAGGTATTGTGCCCATCTCAAAGAAACTGAAGCCCTATGCCATCAACAACAACCACTGCTGGATCTCTCCTTGAGCAAAGATAAATCAAACCAGGACCTCGATACAGCGCTTAGTTTGCTTGCAAGCATGACTCATCCTGACACTGGTGACACTGCACCACAGGCCGACGCCCTGTATTCTGAGAACATTGTCAACGTCATCGATAGCTAGCTAGTGCATATTATTGCCTCGTTTTTCCTTCCCCCAATCTCCATTCACTTCATAGCCCAACATCATAACCCATATTGTATATACAAACACACATCTATTCATTTGCAAAAGCTGCATAACAAAAGAGAAGCGTAGAATCAACTATACTAGTTGCACAAATTAAATATAAAAGAGGCGTATATACAAATATGAGAAATCATCATGATGCATTGTATACATCCCGAAGCACAGGCCTGTGTTTGAGGAATGCATTCAGGGGTGAAAATGTCTTGTGTTCTTTGCGTTGCTTGCTCGGTGGGGATGATGGTTCAATAGTGTGAAGTTCATGGGCCTTGGGTTGCAATTCATAAATCTAATACACATCACGTATGTCAGCACGTTTTAGTCGTCATCTTGTAAGACCCTATAGACCACTCACCCATTCGTTTGACGCCATCAAATCAAGAAAGCTCTTAAAGAGAGCGGACGTGTGCAATGTTTGCCTCGATCCAAACACAATCAATTTGCTTTTTGCTCGTGTGAATGCCACATTGATACGACGCCAATCTCGGAGTAAGTCACCAGTCTGGAAAGAGAAAAAGTGTTAATAATAGAGATGCCACACATACATACATACACACATACGCGTATCCTCACAATCACACACACACGCACACAAGGAGAGGTATACTTACATTGCCTTGTTCATTGCTTCGTACAAGTGATACTAAAATACATTCCTTGTCACGTCCCTGGTACTTGTCAATGGTAGCAACTTCAACATCAGGGGTTCCGCGGAGACCAGGTGAAATCAGTCGCAGCTGGGATCGGTAAATCGAAATGACGGCCAGCTCTTGTTGAGGAACGCCCGCTGCAATAAGGGTCTCAGCTAGCTGAAGAACCATCTTGGCTTCTGATGGATTTTGCACACGCTCCATTACCCGTTCCTCCAATGCTGGAATCTTGTCCGTGTCAATAAAGACCACTTTACGACTAGAATGAATGATGAGCATTCAAATAGAATGAAAACAAGATGAAGAGTGTGTCTTACTTGGGGTCAATAACATCTTTGATCCAACATGGCGATTGTGTGCATTCATTTGCGCCTGTGTGAATTTGGGCCAAGGCTTGATTCAATTTTGGCAATTTGATCTGACGCGAGGCAACGGCTGGATTGGCGCATTTAAGTTTGTGGTCGTAAACAAGAGAGTTGGTGATTGACATAATGTCACGATTCATCCGATATTGATATTCTAGAACAGCCACAGCTTCTGGATGATCCTCTGAAAGTAATTGGAAAAGGGACTTGTCCATGCCATGTTCCCTAGCAATGTCGTTTCGAATCTATAGCACACACACGTGGATACGTCAATTGGATAAAGAACAACATGAACATTTTGGGGGGCCACAATCTTACCAAAGGAGGAAGTTGATATTGGTCACCCACAAGCACAAAGATATCTGCACACCGTAATGGGCCAACACATGCAGGTAATGTAATTTGAGATGCTTCATCAACGATACAGTAATCAAATCGCCTTCGTTGCAAAAGGTTGCTATTCATCATCATTGTTGGCTTAGCTTCTCAATGATACCAGCATGCTTACAAGATCCACTTACTGTCCAATACCAAGGCAAGTGACACCCACCACCTTTTTGGAGCTGTAAAACTTTTCTAGTCGCTCAACGGTGGTCAAAGTAGGATTTCCATTGGGCATACAACCACGAAGGGATGGCATGACCTGATTGAGACACATGAGTGTGTAAGAGATAGTCGATAAAACATGAGATCAATGCACTCACTTTTTCAGGATTGCCAAGTCGAAGGACATCGATACCGGACGCATGAACTTTGGATAACACGTTGTCAAGAGCGCTGTGGGTATACGAGGTCAAAAGCACCGTTTTTCCACGTTCAACAAGAGTGCGGATAATATGGGATGTGGTAGTTGTCTTGCCTGTGCCTGGCATACCCAAAATGATGGCATAATCCTTGGCTATTATTACAAGGTCAGCATAGCAACCAACCATGGTATATCCATACTTACCACTCAAGACCTTTTGTACTGCATTTTGTTGAGCTGGATTCAATGTTGCTGGCAATTCAAGAGGTGGCAAAGGCATAAAACTTGGCTTTTCGCGATCGACGATCAATCGCTTGTGTCTTGTGTTCTCATCACCTTCATTTGGAGCAAGCAAGCCGACAATATTGCGTCGCATCAAAGCAATACCAGAAGCCATCTCGTCTTTATCGATTCGATAAGTGGTTGGATTGTGTGTATGTACAAAGACCTGGTTTGTCTCCTTGTTGAAACCATGATCACGACGTGGTATTTGACGCAAAGGTGAAGTGAGGTTGACCATGATGTAACGCTGATCCAAGCGAAGAATAAATCCCATTCCAAGATTGATATGACCCTCAGTGCCGGATATAACGATAGGATCACCAACATTCAAACTCGAATTCGTAATGAATTCGCCATTGCCATCTTGTCGAATAAACTTGTACACGCTTTCAGAATCTTGTTTGTATGATGGATCGATAATCATGTTGCTGAGACATCTAAAAGAGAAACATCTTAGTATCTATCGCATCATCATCATCAACGACAAAGGACAACCTACTTTCCAGACAATTCACGCATTTCGGCCGGCTGTCGCCATATATCTTTACGAACATAGTCGATATCCTCCTCTTCAAGATCAATGAGTCTTAGCCAGTGTCGGAAAAAGTTGCATGCCGCTTCATCCATATGCTCGATCTTTTTGTCAAAATAACCGCCAAGACCACTTGAGTCCCCATCACCGTTCTCCACCGCTTTGTGATATTGCAAACAAGCATCATTCATGGTACAACTTTGACAATGGTGCAAATTCTTCAGCATAGGTGGTAAGCTGTGTTTTGATTGCATGGCTGAAGCAAGGTTGTTGCGTGTCGTTAAGAGCAATCGTAGGTCGTTGCGTACTGCTGGGACGATGTAAAGGCTGTTCATCTTCGAGTAGTAGAGTGCAGCAGCATCGATATCAATACCTATCATTCAACCCATAAGCCAATTGTTCCATATGGGTCATCCAATCCAAAGCTTACCATAACGATCACTCATCAGAAGGATATACAGTGTCGTTTGAGCACGATGCGAAATAAAGCGGGTACTTTTGCCAGTTTTGAGCTCAAGAGGTAATGTCAACACCTTGGTATTGGGATGCATCTTCATTTCCACTGATACATCGATCATGCCTTTGAGACCAAACGTCGGACTCCACAAGTGTTCTTCCACGTCCAGAATTTTGCTGAATGCCACCGTTCTGCATCCCATCACCTTGGCAACGTCGACACCCATATCCATAGCAACGCGTGCATTGGGCTTTGGTTGTTCACCAACATACGTATCACCAAATGCTTTGATGCTTGGAAGCTGCTGTTGAATGAGTTGAAGTGCTGTTTCCTCTTGTTGATCGATTGCATAGAGTTCATCCAACGACGAGTAAACAACACGCCGTGCTTCTCTTTCTAATCCCTCCATGCTGAAATCTTGGGTGCCGAGCGCATGCTGGATAATTCGGTGAATCATGTTGCCATGCACCAGTGCCTCGCTGTAATCTCCAATCGCTTTGATCTTTTGCTGTAATACAGATTTACGAAGACAAAACGTACTTTCGGCGACGGCAGTGCTGGATAATAATCGATCAGGGTGCACGACGATAAAACCTTGTGTATTGTTGATGATCGTAATGATGCCGCTTTTGGTATTGGTGTGCAATGTGGGTATATGAACAATGTCGCCTGGTGTATAATAGCATGTGAGTACCAAAATGCATGATTCACGTAGTACAGAGATAGCTTACCGATTTTGATAACAGTATGCAGCCATCCTTCTCGAAGTGTCACAGTGGCAGATTGCTCTTTTTCATTGATCAAGTGTAAAATCTAGCGTGGTATATGACGTGTAAGTACCTTGAAATGAGCACAATTCCATCACCAACCTTCTCAGGCAACCCTTTCTCAGTCTCCGTATCGTAGCATGAAACTTGTATATTGGCAACCATATAACGATGGTATCGCGAAGAATATTGATCAGATGGCTCATCACGTGATGTTGTGCATGCTAATAAAGCTTCATCCAAAAGCTGTGTGGGTATATCATCACCAAACATGTCGTCGTCGTCATCGTCATTGTTGTGATTTTGAGAAGGGATGGGAGTTGCTGGAGTTTGCTGGAGTTGTGGATGTTGTTGTTGTTGTTGTTGCTGTTGTTGCTGTATTGGATGTCTAGTTTCAGTAATGACAAGCGCCTCTTCAAGATCTTCTAAGGGTATATCGTCACCAAACATGTCATCGTCGTCGTCCTCATTATGGCCGCTGTCGTTTGGTTTGTCTATGGTTGCATCGCCTGCAATGCGTTCAATTACACGTTGAGTGCTGTGTTCTGGTGGGTTGTTGGAATAAGCAATGCTGGAAGATGAATTATTATGGATTGCTGCTTGTCGTTCCTGGTTGAGCTTTTGCAAAAAGCGTTGTTGAATATGCCGTGGTTGTAGTCGTCCATTGACAAAATGCTCACGCCCAGGGCTTTCTAGTTCATCGCTTTCAAACCATGAGCCAAAGAGTGATTCACATGCACCTTGTTCTGTATCCACTTACTCATCAAACAATGGTGTCGACGCATTACGGCTTTTGCCCAAAGGGCTGGGAGTCTTGCATTCTGCTTTGTTGGTAGTGCCTTGAATGTGTGTTTGTGAGCATTGAGACGGTGAAACCAGTTATTTATTGTTACCATAAACTCGTTGTCGTTTGGCTATATTGTATGTGGGCGACGTATAGGCATGATTTGACATTGCAAAAGAGTTGTGTGAAATTGGACGTGGAGGAGGTTGTACAGGAGATAAAGAGGGGAGGGAAATCAAGCGGAAGTTACAGCACGCTACAAGACGCGCTCTTATCAACGCGCCTAGCATTGACAACCCGCAACAACCTGCATAAAGGACTCCCTTCCCCTTGCCAACAGCATCCCATATCAAGACACAATCCCATTGTATCCATAACAAACCATTTCCATATTGATAGCTGCTGCCATTGGGACCACCATGTTGAAACCAGATACCCTATGTATTGTAGCGTAGGAACCAGAGCCAATATTGGTTGTTGTTAAACTACTATGGACTTCCACAATTAGTGATATAAATGACTGGCAGCCCGAGTTGCTCGCATTTCTCGTTGAATGGCTTAACACTACTACTTATGGAGTAATGGTTTACACGTTTACTCAAACACCACATTACGATCTCATAGTATGCGTAGTATTCAAGGTAACCCTTTACTATCCATATTTACAAGATGAAACTACCTCTGTAATAAGTTGCGCTGAAACAACGTTCATGGCAGCGAACACACTACTTTATTAGCAGTATACGCCTATTAATTCTCAATGCATAGACTACCAGCCAATAGTCTCCTGCTCCCATTTCGTACAGTTGCCCAATCCACCACATGTGATCAATTCTTCTGCATCAGCTCGTCATTTTCATCCTTCAAATGTTGTGATCCATGAGGATTTCGTTGAGTAACGCTGGAACAGGGAGCATTAACAGTGTTCAAAGAGGTGCCTCACAGGTAAACCTACTCAAATTCCGGCTTCTTCCACTCCCTGCTTATCGTCTCTTTGTCCCATTCCCAACTGTTGCTCCATTCAAGTACAACTACTACCTGCGAACGATTGTCCTGCTTCAGCCCATCATATCGATCCTACAACACACGCCTTTCTTGATACTCGCACTCTCTTGCACACTTGTCTGCCACAATCAAACGTAACAGCACTCGTTTGCAGCAGCTGCCATTAGCAAGATCTTCACTCCATTGTCTCAAACAGCGTTCACCATCTTGTCACTCTACTACAACAACACACGCTCTTGTACTCTTCTCTACACGACAAAATGTAGCAGCTGTTGCTATTAGCAAGGTCACCATTGTCTCACGTTACTTGCAGCAACATGCCTTTCGACCCTTTTGCGTGAACAGCAGATAGCCATTGTATACAAGCAGCTTTATTCACGCGTAGCAATTTGCTTTGATGCATACAACCTCCCATGGATGATCCCCATATCAGCTATCAAGTACCCTGCAATACAAGGATTCTTCACCTGATTGAGCTCCAATGAAAACGACCAAGAAAAGGTAGACCAGCAGCTGGATGGAAAGGAAGCGATCAAAGGAGCTCTTTCTATCAACATGTTGGACTTGCAATGGTTATGAATGTGTGGAATGCAATCAAGCATAGTGACAGGTGATCCTGGAATGTCGTTTTAGTTGCTTGGCACGTCGTCAGCAGGAAGGATGGATACGGTTGAGGATGATGATGGATTGGATGAATTGGATGGCATGGATAAGAGGGCTTGTATCTTTGACGAGAGATGGTTTGCCGCCGTGGATGGTATTGGAAGGTTGGAATCAAGGCACGCAAAGCAACTAGTTTGCAACCATGGACTTGTGGTGGCAGCAACCAAGAATACAATGACACAACGATACCCGCTGTTTGTATGTGGTCCATTGGTTGGCTTTTGGAATGAAAGGATGGATAGAAATTTGAAGGCTAGAAGACGGGATTGGATTACCTACATTATTGTATCGAGACGCTTTTGTTCCTTTTGTCATATTACATTCATTAAAGCTTCCTTATTCATATGCTGATAGACAATATACAGTGGCAATTCCTAGCGAATGGTACATAGGTTTACATAGACGCTTGTATTTGAAAGATAATAAATCCATAGTAATGGTACCCAACAACAGTGCTTGTTACAGAAGCTAGTCATTGTAAGCTTGAATCCTTACGTTTAAGAAAGAGTGGGCTCTGGTACGTACTGTACAATGTGGCACGAGTACATGCGCATGCTTACCTATGAAAATTATTAGCATGTGCGCCACCTTGTATGTATAACCTTATATGAGAACGAACTCTGGAGACAACCAATACCATTACCGCTCATAGTCTTGAATGCACTGATCACTTTGGCTTGTTATCCATACCATGGTTCATCCGAACAAGTTGCCAAAAGGTCTACTATAGGCTGACCTTACTATAGGGGAAAAATGTCAATCATGCACTCTCCACCAATAAGAATCCTTCAAGCCCTGCACCTCTCCGTTTTATCACACAAGCGAGTTTCTCTGCGTCTTTTGCTCTGTCAGGGTCCAGCTACTTGACAATGAACAAAGACCAATTCTCGTATAGCATCATGCTTACAGCATATGTAAAACATGAAGACGTCCATATCTCAAAACTTTACAATGAAACATGGGGTTTTTATTAGAGCAATGAGCTCGGCTTGGCCAACAGCACCTTGTGTGAAAGTTTCGCGTTCAATGTCGCAAACAGCCCAAAAAATATTTTTTGGTCATCGTCGTCGAAGAGGTCGACCCCCAGATCCAGTTTGGCTGGTAGCGACATTGCGAAATCTGGGATTGGCAAGCTTGATCGTGAAACTTTCGCACAAGGTGCAGTTGGCCAAGCCGAGCACATTGCTCTATTCAAAACCCCACGTTTGATTGTAAAGTTCGGAGATACAGGCACCTTTATGTTTGTAAACGTGATGCTATATGAAGAGTGGTCTTTGTTCATTGCCAAGTAGCTAGACCCCGGAGAGCCAAAGATGCAGAAGGACCTCTTTGGGTAACTCAGCTAAAAAGTCAGGACTTCAGGGACAATGCACGAAAGGTACGCAACCCTCACTTTGATGGCATACATTGGCAGCTAACGGCCACTTTTATCCATTCATCATTGTTGCGAGATCCACTGTATGGGAACGATGCTCCTGCTCTAGACATTCATTTCCATGATTAAAGTAGGTTGATCCGAGATGATTTGGTTGAGTTACGCTCACACAAGATTACATCGGTTGAGCTACATCGAGCGTGCTTTATGTGCAGAGTGATGTAATCTCTCTTTGACCGCAGCTCAGTCAAATCAGCTCGGATCAACCTACTTTAATCATGGAAATGAATGTCTAGAGCAGGGGCATCGTTCCCATGCAGTGGATCTCGCAACAATGATGATTGGATAAAAGTGGCCGTTAGCTAGCAATACATGCCTGTTCCTAGATGATCCATAAAGTAATTGAGTATATTTATCTCTTCCATTCATGCAACGTAGTTGTGTTACATACACGACCTCTTGCAATCTTTGGCTCTGTCAGGTCTACCTACTTGACAATGAACAAAGACCACTCTTCGCAAGCATCACGCTTACAAACAAAAAAGCCGAAATTTCTGCAACTTACAATGAAACGTGGGGTTTTTATTAGAGGAACGGCTCGGCTTGGCCAACAGCACCTTGTGCAAGTTTCACGTTCAATGTCGTGTAACTAGCCCAAAAAATATTTTTGGTCGTCGTCGAAAGAGGGTGAGCCCCGGATCCAGTTTGGCTGGTAGCGACATTGCGAAATCTGGGATTGGCAACCACGATCGTGAAACTTTCATCCAAGGTGCAGTTGGCCAAGCCGAGCACATTGCTCTATTCAAAACCCCACGTTTGATTGTAAAGTTTGGAGATACAGACACCTTTATGTTTGTAAACGTGATGCTATATGAAGAGTGTCTTTGTTCATTGTGAAGTAGATGGACCCTGGCAGAGCAAAAGATGCAGAGGGACCTCTTTGTGTAACTCAGCTGTTTTGCATGATTGAAAGGGGCAATGTATGATACTTTATAAGAGATCATCATTGGCAGCTAATAGCCTCTTCCTCCCACTCTCAACTTTTTGTGCATTCTACTACATGTTTACGTTCTCCTGCTCCAGCCGATCATTTCCATCATTCAAGTTTCTTGATCCGAGCCGATTTCACTGAGCTACGCCCAAACAGCAAACATGAAAATTAATGAATCGCAGACCCTGCGAATGTCTCCGCCTTTCAAACTTTTGGACGCTCCCATTCCAAATTTTCAAATGAAAGGTGAGGTCTTTATTACCAAAAAGTTGATCAGCATGCTCGAGAGCACCCTTCTGACCAATTGTCAAATTGGAAGTGGACAACTTCGGGGCGGTGGGCCGTCCGCTCTTTTGTTCCCTTCATCCATCATTTGGGCCGCCCCACATTCTAAGTCTTTGTAATGAAGTGCACGGTTTTGATTTGAATGGAGTTGATCAGCATGACCGAGAGCACCTTGTGTGTTAATTTCAAGTTCAAGATGGGGAATCCCAAGGTAATACATACTATTTCCATAGATCATGAATCCGGGGCTGACCTCCATTTCCGACTTACATAGTAAATCCTACATTGTACCCTCCCATTCCAAATTTTCAAATGAAACATGAGATCTTTTTTAGATCAACGTGATCAGCATGTCCAAGAGCACCTTGTGTGAAAGTTTCAGGTTCGAGAGAGGCAATCTCAATATCAAGGTTTGGATGTACAGTGTTCATGCATTTATACAAGAGGTGTGTGACCTATTTAATTTCCACTACTTCCACTTCTTCCGCTCCCACAACTTCTTGTCTCTTCCTCCCATTCCCAATTGTCACCGCTTTCAAGTATACAACTACCGCCTGAAATCCATTGTCGTGCTTCAACCCATCATGTCAATTCTACAATTGCCTTGATCCGAAAGCCTTTGACTGAATGACAGCTTCATGGCGTGCACACAGCCTTCTTGACACTCTACTCAAACGCGTGCCTTTCTTGATACAACGTAACGTCTTGGAAGCTCCTTTACCACGATCAAACGTAACAACATTCGATCCAGCAGTTGTCAATAGCGATGCCTTGACTACATTGCTTCCAACAGCGTTCTTTATTTGCAGCAGCTCGCCTTTCAGCCTTTTTCACGTGAACAGCATGCAGCCATTGTATAGAAGCAGCTTTATTTACGCGTTGCGACTTGCTTAATACATACGACTTCTTATGGATATGGATGTGGATATGGATTATGGTATGGTGCATGGGATGGAAGGAATTGGTTGTATCTAACATGTGGAAAAAGGGTGTATCCATTGTCAACTTGACTTTGATGCTTTCATCCTGAATGAGTGGTGCATCCAGCTATCGTACTTCAAGCTATTGCATGGCAGCTACTATCATCATCCAACTGCATATTTCAACACGTCATGGATATCGTTCTCTATCACGCATCAAGCACCTCCTCGCGACCATCCACTCACTTTTGTCCCTTTTCGATGTATCTCTCCCTCTTTAAAGCAATTCCTTGTACCTCTCTATCTATCTCTTGTGAACGATGTTGGATTAAAGGGCTATGTACTTTAGCGAATACGAAATGTGTTGGCAACCATTTCTAAGCTTCTATTGTGTAAGAGACCTTACAACCTTCTTCGTGAATTAAGCGTCGTTAGGTGTGGGCACTTTATGCATTGTACAGTATTATAGAAAGATTCATGAAGGATTATAAAAGTACATCCGCTTGTCAATGCTGTGTTAAAAAGAAAAGCAAATAAGAGAAAGAGTTGGATTGATTCATTGTGTCTTGGAACAAAGAGTCTGCTTTTGTGATTAGATCTTATAGAATAGGTTTTTTATTAATACGTATACGGTGTGATACTTCTATGATGGTAAAAAGTAGACTCTTGAATATGTTGGGTTGTTGAAGTACATAGAAGAGATCGTATTACTATTTGTGGTTGTTATTGGGATCCTTAATACATTGCTGTCTTTTCACGATAATGGCTCTGATTGAGTGAAGCAATATCGGTAGTTGCATCTGCTATGCTACCACCATTGTTGACAACGACGTCGTCGGGGTGCTCCTTTTCGTCGTCAGAGCCGAAATCCAAATCATCCTCGTGCCATGGGATGGGGTTGCCAGTGAAACGGCCATACAAATATCGGATCCATTGTGGGACGAACGAACGGCTGAATGCCGCTGTCCACCAGTCTTCACGAAGGCTGTAATCAGGGCGGATACGACCAAACGAGATCAAGTCCAAGAATAGAATGATACCATTGATGACAATGTAGCTGAGGATACCACCGATCATGCCATCTAATGCACATATTGATATCAGTAATTTGCGTTTTCTTCGCTTTCGTCACTAACTTACAGGCAATATTATACCTATAGGGAAAAAAAAAGAGTAATTGTCAGAATAAACAGCATTGCAAATAATAGGGAAATGATACTTGCGTGAAGCTCATGACCGCAATCGTCAAGAAGGCGGGTATAGCATCTATAAAAGAAACAGTTGAGTGATGTGCACGACCCCAAAATACCGATGTAATGATATACGAACCTCCAGGATAGTCCCAGTTGATATGGCGAACCGAAGTTGTCATCATGCATCCTACAACAATCAATGCTGGACCTGTAGCCCATGGAGGGAAACTAGCAAAGATTGGAGAGAAGAAAATGGAGACAAGGAAACCAAAAGCGATAGTAATGGCAGTGATACCGGTGCGGCCTATTAAATAAAGATGGATGAGTACGACGCTCGTTTTCATGTTGTGCTATGGTTGTGCATAATAAGACTCACCTCCTTCAGCGATACCAGTGCCTGATTCAACATAAGCGGTACATGGTGAGCTACCAAACACGGCACCAATAATAACAGAAAAGGCATCAGCAATGAAAGCACTTCCAGAGTGCTCAAAATCACCAGACTTGTCGGTGAAGCCGCCATAACGAGCCATCGAATACATTGTACCGGTGGTGTCAAGGATGTCGACGTAAATAAGAGTAATAAGGGCAATCCAAATCTCACGTGACGAGAGGTCGAAATGGAATCGGGCAAGGACACTAAAGAAGAAAAGGTGAGCGACATGATAACCTTTTTTGACGTATACACGTACTGGTCAATAGGGTGGATGGTAACCACCTTTCTAAAGTAGTCAAACATTTGGTCGCCGGCCTCGGTGTAAGGAAAGTAGGTGACGGTATTGACGCGAGGCCAAGCAGTGATGGAGATGAAAATGATACCGATCAAAATGGCACCACGCACACGGTACATTGTTAAGATCACCATAATGACAAGGCCAAGGATGCCCATCCATGTAGTAGGATTCTCCATGGTGTGTCCTGTACATGTGCCAGCTTCATCCTTGTATTCGGCAGGGCAAGCAGCTATGTAAAAAATAGCAACATTAGTGGTTCAATTCTCGTTGTAGTTGATAAAACAGCTACCTAAAGCAACGAGTGTTGATGGGTCGGGACCAACAAGACCAATACCAGCGGATGATTGAAGACCAATAAAGCATAGGTACAAGCCAATGCCACAGCCCATGGCCACCTTGATACTCATTGGAATAATGCGGGCCAGCCACTGTCGGATACCAAAAATCGAAAAGATCAAGAAAATGATTCCTTCAATGAGCACAGCTGCCACAGCGGTCTCGTATGCAATGCTGCCACTGCCATGGTAACCGACAACATTGTAGGTGAAGTAAGCATTCAAGCCCATACTATAAATGTACATTGGTGGTAAGCGTATGTAGTTTTTTGGAAGTAGTAATAGGATGATGGATACTAACCCAGGGGCGATACCAAGTGGCAAATTAGCCATGACACCAATCAAAAAGGATGAAATCATAGAGATAATGGCAGTAGCAATAATCATATCGAGCTTGACTTGGAAGACACAACTCATGTATTCAGCATTGTTGTCACAAACGGGATCATCGGCTGTAGGTTCGCAAACACAAGGACCACCGCTATCACTAATGATACTAGCATTGACCGAAATAATGTAGGCCTGCAAAGGAGTCTATGTCAATACAAGGTGTTGTGATGGCGTTTTCAAATGGTGTTGTTTACCATGGCGAAAAATGTTGTGAGACCTGCACGAATCTCGGTCAAGAATCGGGTGCCTTCTCGTTCACGATAAGCACCCGAGCCTTCTAGCTGAAAGAATCGACCGACTCTTGAGCCAGCGACAGCGTTGTTGATTCTTTCAGACAAATTAGCCCAACCCATGTACGTGTTTGTAGTATGTAGAAAAGGGAGTGGAAAGAGGAAGGTTACAGGTGCCCTTGAAAGATCAGAAATGCAAACAAGAAGAATCGAATAAACCCGGTGCAACACTCAATATAAAGAATGGGTGCCACTTGCGGATAGGGAAAAAGGAAAGCTAGGGTACACAAAAGAAAGGCAATTCGTCCGGTTTATCAACGTGACAATAATGCCCATCCTCGGACTCATTCTTGTCGTCGTCTTTGTGTCTCTAGAACCTTTCACACTCAATCAAAAACCATGCGTGGACGAAGCCAAAAATCCATTCTCATCTCTTTTGTGGCCCCGATTCGCTAAACGATCATAGTAAACCATGACATTGTATCATCGAGTACGCCTATAGATAAGATGGCAAGATGTAAGGCCTATGCTTGGTTTTGGTCAGTATAACGATGGTGGATTGTGCACTGATCGGAGGGGACCACCAAGCGAGTGGTAATATCTCCGATGGCCAACGAGAAAAGCTTAAATGGGTTATGTGCTGGCAAAGCACTTGTATATTTTGGGTGAAATGCATATCCTTAACCAATGTCAGACAAGTGTAGCCTCCCAGGAAAATATGCTTTTTTGGGTTCGGATCAGTGGGTGGTACATACAACATTCTATAGATACCCATTTCACTTGTAGCCTTCGGTATATCTTTTTACATGTTCAACTTTAGAAGAAGCATATTATTTATGATTTGAGTTGTGTGGCCATTACCATCTCGATGGCAAAAGATGGTGGGGTACAGATTTGAAACATCAAGATAAGATCCACATTGGTGGTTTCAGTGCGTTGCAGCATCTTGCATTAGCACATCCATTAGCATGGGATCAATGTTTGATTTCGGATGAGACACAAAGCATCTATAGGGAGCAAATAAACATGAGGAGGGCAATAGGGAAGCATCGTGTCTATTGCATACCCATTGCAAATGCCTTTTTTGGGACAACATTGACTATTGGGTGTATGACAATCGGCAAAACACGAGGTGTTTTTGTTGTTGCCATTTGCTCAATGCGATCTAGATCCATGCTAGGCAACGCCGGCATCTTTGCAACATCAACTATCTTGGCGGGGACAACCTCCGGTTACGTACCACATTGATAGCGATAACCAAATACAAATGATACATGTTACAGCAGCTAACAATGACCTGTATTCAAGAACACAGCGCCGCTTTTTCAACCAATGAAGATATCGATGCTTTGAATCCAAGAAGGTTGTGGGGACAGTAGTCAAAACACCGCTCTTTTCTTTGTCTCACAAATAGCTCACTTTACAGGTACATTGACCACCATCCAGTAATTTGAGACATCGGGATGTACATATTCTTGGGCCGTCATCTTAACCCCATTTCGAGTGTCATCTACTTTTATCCCGTTGCCCATAACAAGATATCAATTATGCATGTCATTTGCTCATTTATATAAGGGTAAAGCGTAGGCTACTACTCTTCTTCTTTCAGCTATGTTGTACACATGCCTCAAAGTTAGCATGCCGCAATAATGCACGGATCAGCCCGATAAGCACGACCCTACTTCTTTTGCCACATGGCCGTGCGTATTTGAACCAAGGCACTCTTGCATTGCATCGTATCATATCGTGCAAGATTGCATCATGCTGCATCATGTATGTGTTATGTATGCATAATCTCGATAAAAATGGTGAAAAAAGTCATCCGAGCGTATATTTTGTTGTGTCGCATAGTACAGGGAACACATTACACGGCAACACCATTGTATAACGATTACATGTAAAGTCACACCACAGCTTTTTTCTCGAGGTCAAAAACCTGCATGCATACGTCCGCATCCAAAATGAGGGAGCATGGTGGATGTGTCTGAAAACGAAAAGCATGGCCAAAGCGTGCTGAGGAACCCAGATTTGAAATTGGGGTTCCAAGTGCTGCTTGCTTCAATATCTTTTTCTCCTCATCACAACCCCATCGGTCTCCATCGCAACCACAGCTGCATCAGTCGTTGTCATTGTAGAACAACAACAGGTCAACATGCCAATCTCTATTGAACTGCCAGCAATTGCATTGGGCGAAGGATCCACTTTCTTTTGCTTCTTTACTGCTACTACTACTGCCTCACGACAGCACCATGCGTTTTTAAGGTCATGTATGAATCATTCAGGGTACGAGTACGATGGGTTTTTGTAAGCATGGAGATCAATAGGCATATAGCAACTATGATTGTCCAGTACCAGTCAAGATGAAATGCCGTGTACTCGAGTTGATTGGGGTAGCGCAGTGTACAAAACCACTAGGAACATCGTTTAAGCGTAGAGTGGATCAATGGTAGATAGCATAGCAATGACGATTATCCATTAAACTTTCCCTTCTCCATGGCAACAACAACGAGTTTATGAGTTATTGGATATGAAGTTCTCCTTCTTCAATTTGATTGTCTTGTTGGATGTTTTATACCATGGCTTGTCAACAAAGAAATGAGACAATGTGCATGAATGTTTTTGTTCTGGTACAGTATACCAGGGAGGGACCTGATGTGTCACGTTGACTTACGTGGTGTGGGGGAAATAGATCTCCGCATTAAACAAGGTTTAGATCGATTCAAGTTGTTCGGGATGTTTATCTTTTTCTTTCGCTTCTCTCCTACTACTTCTTTTTGAATTTCTGCAACCATACCCATGTCCAAAGTTGTTATTCTCGGTAATATTGTTCATCCTTCGTACATGTAATAAACCCTAGGCTCATTGCTGCCCTAACAACAGGTGCTGGTGTGAGCGGCCTGACATCGGCTGTCGCCTTGTTGCAAGCTGGCTATAAGGATGTCACCGTTATTGGTCAATACATCCCTGGTGATATGACTACAGAATATACTTCACCATGGGCTGGTGCTTCTGTTCTTAGCTTTGCCTCGGCTATGGATAAGCGTCTTATCGGTAAAATTCAATGGTTGATTATGCAACAACAACATCCTTTTATTTACCACATGTCGTGTGATAATAGAAATTGATACTGATACTCACAAGGTGTTCAAGTACCTTGCTAACAATGTTCCCGAATCGAGTGTCCAACATTGCCCAGGAATCCAATTCTATGATACTGATGATGAGCCTAATGAAGATAACACTTGGGTGCGCCAACTCTATTCCAACGTATGTATGATGATGATGATGATGATAGCAAATGCTAATGTATCGTTACGAACATAGTTTGAAATCATTCCCAAGTCCAGTCTCCCTGCTGGTGCCAAGTCGGGCTATACCTTTGATTCATGCAAGTAGAGTTTTGCCTTAAGGATGCGTGTTGATATGTATTCTCACGCTTGTATGTTTGTGCACCATAGATACGTTAAGCGTTCCCAAGTACCTCAAGTGGCTCGTGGGACGAATCACATCTCTCGGTGGTCGCGTATTACGTGATCATCGCGTGGGAAGTCTTCAAGAAGTGGTGGATCGCTATCAATGTGATATCGTAATCAACTGCACTGGCCTTGGTGCAGCTCAACTCAATGATGTTCGTGACAGCAACATGCACACCATTCGTGGTCAAACTGTGCTTGTGGATGCACCTCATATCAAGAAGCAATACTATCGTGATGGTAAGCATGATACAATAATGCATCAAAATGAAGAGATCAGCTGATGTATTTATTATAGCTGGTGATGTGATGGCATACATTATCCCTCGTGGTGATGGTACTGTCATTTGTGGTGGTACATACGACAAGACCAACAAGGATCTTAATGCTGATCCAGCTATTGCCAAGGGTATCTTGGAACGCTGCTATGACTTGTGTCCTGAGGTTGCATACAACAAGGGCGTCGAAGGCTACAAGATCATTTCCCACAATGTCGGTTTTAGACCTGGTCGTCATGGTGGTATTCGTCTCGAAAGAGAAACTCGAGGTATGGTATCTTGCAATTGTGAGCGTATACGTATAGCACTCTAACACCATGCTGCATATAATAGTGGATGCTGTTCGTGGAAAAAAGTATACTGTGGTTCACAACTATGGTCATTCTTCCCATGGTAAGCAAATCCTATGGCATGCATCAAGGAATGGATTGATTTATTATTGTTTACAATTAGGCTATCAATCGAGCTGGGGCTCTGCTGAGCGTATAGTAAAACTCGTAAAGATGGATACATTGATGGCCAAGTTATAAATGAGAAGGATATAGTAAAGTCATTAATACATTTGTATACAAGCACATGTGTATTTTGTGTCTATGTTATAACTTTATAATGTGATGATGGATGTAAAAAGACTATACGGGTGGTGACAAGTGCTCGTCGTTGTTAAGTGGGGGAGGTGCCAGCCATGTTTCTTCAGCTGAACGGAAAGGTGTACCAAGGGGTGATCGATTAGGGCTTCCCATAGGTGTACGTGTAGGGCTGTGGTTCATGCCTTCAACGGTCGATCCAATGCGTGTCACTGCTGCACAAACACTGCCATTACGTGTGAGATTACGTGCCACCATGACTGATGAACGACGACGTCGCATAAGTTCTTCTTCTTCTTCAGGTGTTCGTAGATGGCTTTCACGAGCAAGTGCCTTTTCAAAGAGCAAATCGGGTACTGTGCATGTGCCAAGAGCTCGACGTGCGTGTGTGTTAAGGTATCCAAGACCAAGTTGGTACGATGAATTCATCCAGCCGAAGCCTTCTCGAGGAACGTATTTGAAATCCACACCAACGTTGCCGTATTCAACCTCAACCTTGTGTGATAAACCAACGACATCAAACTTTTCCGGTACAACCCCATTAAAGTCGACAAAACTCTTGGTAATGCTAATATAAATAAATGTGTGTGAGGAGCCTCATGCATGAAACAAACATGTAAATGTAAAAAAAAAAGCAAACTTACGTGTAAAGCCAACGATAGGCCAATCTCCGAGCGATATCCTTCATACCATAACGTTCAAATCCTTCCCAAGCCATGATCTGATGAGGTGCCCAGCCAAAGGGGAAATCCCATTGTCGATTGGGTCGATCGATGGAAATGTTGCCACGTGATTCCTCTGTGCCTGATACCAATCCACCCAATACTTCAAACTTGGATAATGAATGTTTAGCCATAGCCTTTGCTTGATGTTGACTAGCACAACCAGCCCACATGGCCCAGAACGTAGTGACCGTTTCATAGCTTTCTTGCTTCTCGGTGACCGTATTATAATCAAAGTACAGGCTCTTTTCCTCATTCCACAGGTATTGATCAATTCGTTGACGACGTTCCTCAGCACGTTTTCTCCATACGCTAGCACTTTGCTTCTCACCATCGAAATCGGTCAAGTCGCCATCCAATACATGTTCGATGATATAAGCAAGATCCACCTCATACTTGTATAGCAGCGCATTCAAATCAATCGTTGCGAGGTTGGCACATACACGATCAAAGCGGTAGGTGGTGTCATGTCCAGATTCACGTACAGCGCGATCATGTAAGAAATACTCGTCGAGTTCGGGCTCTTTGATCTTGCCATCATTATACAATTGGTCAAACTCGCTGATGGATACGCCATGCTTTTTGGCATAGGGTGCAATGATATGATCAAAATGGGATGCTTCGGTTTCAGGAGGAATGCCCACACCATCAGGACGATATCTTGACAACATGGTCTTTTTGTCGAGGCGTGGTTCACACATCCACACGGTATGGTACTCTTTGATGGCTGATTTAAGCACCGTGCGTAGCCAATCCTTGTTCTTTTGTTCATTGCTTTGTGGCATGCGTTCATACACCTTGTGGGCCATATCAGTGAGGAAGGGTGGTTGCGATCGAGTGAGATAATAAGAGCGATTGGCGTTCAATATCTTTCCATAATGCTTGATCTCGTATGCAAAGTTCTCAACCATGCCTTGTGCAAGCTCACGTCGACCATCCGCTAGCAAACCCAATGCCACGAAATACGAATCCCAACCGTACATTTCATTGAAACGGCCACCAGGAACAGCAAATGGAACACCATGCAACGTCTTTTTGCCGAATGGATCAATGTGTGATTTCATGGCCAATGTCAATAGACCAGGTCGATCATTGATGCTTTTGACATATTCAGGAGTGATGTCTTTGGGCAAATAAACAACTTCCAAATTCAAATGAGAGCGTTGTCGTGCCACTTCTTGATAATACTCGTACACCTCAGTCTCAGAGTGTGGAATATAGATGCGTGGATTGTGGTTGGCGGATCGATTCTTGGGATCTGCACAAATCACCTCGATGGTATCGGCATCAATACGACGTGTAAGTCCATCCCAGAAATGATGTCTATCATTTACATCATGTATGTAAGTAACTGTATACATCATTATAGACCTGATCCAAATTCTTACCTAATCATGCGTGAGAGACGATCCACTGGGTTCTCATTGAGACGAGCTTCGTCAAGAACAATGTGCTTCCTCCCATAATCATTCGCCAATGCAAGTTCTTGCAAAAGATTGGAGAGCATGTACGTGCCACGAATATCAATCTTGCGATAGCCACCCGAGTCGGCAGTGCCAAGCTGCAACGTCTTTGGACCAAGATCGTTGATAGTGATTTGAAAGTCGCCGTCAGTGTCTTCTTGTTCCAAGATCAATCGCTGTGTCTCTTCCACGTCAATAAGGAACTTGGTTGCTTTGTTCTTATCATCTATATACACATCACATCACATGAGAGTATCATAAAAGGAAGGAGAGACAATGAATGAGCTTGCCATCATTTGACGTCATGAAAACACAATGATTCGAACACATACCGTGTGAAGCTCGACGATAGGGTGGCAACTCCATTCCACGAGGTGGCAATTGTAAACGCCCTTTCTATTGTAAGGATCACGCCCATTAGCTTCAATGAGCTTCATTCAATGACCAATGGGGGCGGGAATGAGAGAAAGAGAGCCTTACAGTGTATGTTCTTGTACGTTGTCTTGCATTTAAGCCAGTGGTATAATAAGTGGAGGCAGGTGCGTGTACATCCGGATCATCTGGATTGATGCTGGGGATACGTTGTTCAGCCATAATGGATCAAAGAGAAAGAAGAAGATTGGAGGAAAGAAAACCGAGATAATCGAGTGGGATGGGTAGAAAAAAAGAAAAAAGCGAAACCAAACTTGCCAGCCAATGTTTCAGCCTTTTTATTGCTTTTGCATAAATTCCTTATGTTTGTAGTAGTGTGTGCAACTCATGATGCATCACCTTTCTCTCTCTCCTCCGATGAATAATACATATCTAGTCATCATTCTCCCCCCAATCTCATTGACCCTTGAGTCCATGTAAGCGTGATCAACATTGCATTATACCCTCATTATACTATTTTTATGCAGGTCTGTGCTTGTTTAGACACCGACCTATTTCGTCTTGCTGCAAGGGATTCGTTTGTTGTTGCTGAGATTCATGCATTTCGTTTGGGCCAAGTTGCTAACTCATTGGCTGAGCGTTAACTTTTTTACCACTTTGCTATGCCTTTGACGCAAATGACGTATTATATCAAAGCTGATCTTTTCAAAGCAAACCATTAGAGCTGCGTGTGTAACCTACTAATGGAATCCGACTACTGGCAGTAGTCAATAGCCCCCCCCCATTTCCCATGATCGAGCATATGTGCTATCTTGCGTCATGAACAATCAAAATACAAAGAATAAGCTGCTGCGATCTTGCCAATTGTGTTTTTGTACCCGTGGAATCCACCCCTTGTTCTGTCACCTGCGGCTGTAACTGATCTTTCAACTTGGGGGATAACCAATGCCTTTCAACTAACAGCTGCAGCCTCTTAATCCATTTTAAAGACAATGATGCATTCCTTGTACAAGATTAACAATGAATATGCAGTTCCTGATGCATTATTGCATGTACTCGCAACATGCTATGTGAAACCTTTCTATGATGGCAAAGTTATGGATCGGCGTCATAACTACTAATCATGTATTATGTGCTGAGCTTAAGATCATCGTCAATCAACCATTGTCAAGGGTAGTCTGCTGAGCATTGGACAACGTCAGTTCCCGGTTGTCATGGGGATACGGATGATGTGTCATGGTGGTATCCATGGTGACGATGGCGCAAAGACCTCCTGATATAAGCCAAGTACTTGGTAACCAATGCAACCAGATTATGTATATTCAAAGTAGATGACGTGTCTTTTATTTGCTTTCTAAATAAGCTACACTACACTAAAGGAATGGAACTAAAAAGGAAATGAGCACTACAATCGATATTATGGTCGAAAGCAAGCGTGATGAGTCAAGTAAATGCTTACAGTAGTTGCTGGCTGCCTGGATTGTGTGAAACGTAACAATGATCATGCTCTCCAAATTTGGGTCTTGGTTCATACGCAGCTCTTTCGATTGAAGCTATGGATACGCAGGGCAGGCTGCAGGAAGACACCGACGATCCCACCGATCCCAACCAGTTTGGCGTTTCAGTATCTGCTTTTCCACAAGCACACTCGATGACGACTTACGATGCAGCACTAGACGACGATTCACGTTACCTTTACAACTCACATGACGATCTATGGTACGATTGGACTACTGGAGAGTTTTCTCGTTACGATCCCGACAATCAAGTATACATTGCAGTTGCCGGCAAAGAGGAAGAAGAGGAAGAAAAAGAAGAAAAGAATGAGACATCATCCCTTCATGAAGAAGAATACGATCCATATGATGATGATGATGATGGCGATGACAACAATAAGCCAGTGAAAGTGGATGCACCATTACTGCGGCTGGCGGTACTCGATTCAACATTGTTAACGGTTGGACACGTGGTGGAAGTTGATTCATCAGGATTGACAGTGGGTCGTGATCGTTCATGGGATCGACATCGCCTTCGTCTTGCCGAGTTGGCTGTGAGCAAGTTTCATTGTCAAATCTACTATGATGGGGGATCATATCACATCACTGATCAAGGCTCCAAGAATGGTACTTTTATCAATGACGAGCGACTTTGTGATCCAAAGACTAGCAGCATTCCTCGTGTCATTCGAGACCTTGACAGGATACAAATTGGGTCATCTCTATTCCAAGCACATCAGCATAAACACGGATGGCAATGTGATTATTGCATAACAGGACCAGAGAATATCGTGGACATCAGTCAAGGCAGCCGTGAAAAGAATACCAGATCAACATCCACTTTTTACAGCAACCAAAGCGATATCAACACAACAACGACGATTGATTTCAAAAGCAAAGAACAAAGAGAAAAAGAATGGATGGATGAACTACGAAGGAGAAAGCGAATGTATGCACCGAAGACTAATCCTACAAAGAACGTCAATGATGCGGCTGAACGACGACGTCAACTTTATTCATCGACGACACTACCAAGTTATTTGAGAAAGACATCAATAACATCAGAGCAACAGCAATGGAATGAAGAAGAAAGGCGAGCAGCAACCATTGAACGTACTACGGTCCATACACCCGTAAAAGGCATTGGCGATTCGATGTTGAGAAAAATGGGGTGGAAACAAGGTCAAACATTGGGTCGTACAGGCACCGAAGGCATCACCGTTCCAATCACACCAAAGACACAAACCCATCGAGCTGGTCTCGGCAAGAACTCAACAACCGAAACGCTAAGCTATGAATCTCCCAAAGCGAAGATCCCACGAATCACACGTGAACGCTATAACGCACTTCATTGATACTACTATATACCCATGCATCCTCCTCCTCCTCAAACATCCAATAAACCCATTGCATCGTGATGTAAATCGTGATATGTTTATAAAATGTGACCTGTATGGATGAATAGCTTTCCTCATATCCCGCCTCAGAGCATATTACAGATAATGATAATGACTACTTAGGCAATGCCTTCCTTCTTCTTTACGATGTCTATATAACACATGTGAATAAACGTTGATATCTCTTCACTCAAACCATATATATACATACCAAAATAAGGATGCGCCATGGCCTCTTGGGCTGTTAGTCGTTCTTGATGATCGTATCGCAAAAGGTGATCCAAAAAGTCCATTGCCTCATCCGAGACAAAGCGATGGTTGTCACTGGTGATGAATTTTGACCATGGCTTGCGTGGATATCTAGGGAGGGTTGGGGAAACATACAATCAGCATTCTTTTTCCTTGATGACTCATTTTTCCCCTTTTCTCACCTTCCAAGAATGTCGTGATATTGCTGATCGAGTTCTATATCGTACTTGTCCAAGTATGCGAAGAGCTCATCTGTTCCTAATACCCGAGCAATCTTGACCAATTGATCATAGTTGTCATGGCCATGGAAGAAAGGTTCTTTGCGGAAGATCTAATAGATGGATCAATATTCTTTGCTGCTTGATGCCTCACTACCATCTCCTTGTGTACATACCATGCTAGCAAACATGCATCCATAACTCCACATATCCAAGCTGTAATCATATTCTTGAAAGTCGACAAGTAATTCAGGACCCTTAAAGTAGCGTGATGCGACACGGACATTGTACTCGGTCCCAGGATGATAGAATTCAGCAAGACCCCAATCGATCAGCCGTAACTACATCATGCAATGTGTGTATGAGTGAGTTACACCACATGTGTAAATGTGATCCTATCCATCTTTACCTGACGCTTTTCATGGTCGATCATCACGTTATGCGGCTTCACGTCACGATGCATGATTCCCCGTGAATGGCAAAAGTCAAGAGCCTAATCTCTCACATTTGTTGGGAAACCATATCATGGATGACCCCCACCCATTCATTCCCCTTTCATACCTTGAGTAGCTCATACATATAGAATCGAATATCGTAATCGACAAATCGTGGATAAAGAATCTTGAAGTCCGTATTGTTGACATACTCGGAGATCAGAGCTGGTGTCTTGGACTGGATGACAACATGTTGGTTATTATCGCTTGGCAACGCATGAGTGTATATACTCCAACCTACCTGAGGATCCCTCACAACATCCAACAAAGCAACAACGTTGGGTCCACCCGCTAGATTCTGGAGGATCTTGATCTCACGCTTGATTTTCTTCTTCTTGACGGGCTTGAGCACCTTAATGACACACTTTTCCCCATTTGTAATGTTGATGCCCTCGAACACTTCTGAATATTTGCCACGGCCAACTTTGCGTATGATTTCATAGTTGTCTTGTAGTCTAAAGAAAGAGAGTTGTTTCAATAAAGGGTATCTCCAAGAAGTTTGCCACCCCCAACATGTTCCGAATGAGCTTACCCCCATTGCACTTGAAGATTGTCGTAATCTGAATAGCTGGGAGGCATCTTGGCATTGGCGTCGACGTAACATCGTGCCACACTTGTGAACGGGGTGTTCGTGGACATTGAGCTGAAATGGAACCGAGTGTGCGAGAACAAGTCAAGTGAACTTGTGCTGGCTTTCAAAGTAAAAAAAGAGAGAGAGAGGCAGAGACCACCGTCTCAGATCATCAAGGCTGCTCGTGTTCTCGTTTGCATGGTGGCATACCACAACAAACATACCTCGTATCAAGAATTACTATGGAGTCTATTGCATATTCATCATCATGGCTTACTTGAAGTTGCTTATCATCCTTATCTGATAAAGTAGGTTGTTGCATTGATGAATCATCTTTTGATTATCTCTCATCATCGGCTTTCATGATAAGATGGTGTTGGTTAGACATTCCCCCCTTTCCTTCTCATTGAGATCGACAACATCCTTGTACACACTCCCCCTCTATGGTTCTTACGTGTCAACCACAAAGTGAATATACAATTCAAGAAATTTATTCTTTCAATGCGATAATGTGTGTAAAGGAGATACAAGATGATGAGTGATGTGTTTGTGGGTATCTCCTCTCTACTCGACAGTAACAGACTTGGCCAAATTTCTGGGGAAATCGACATCGACACCTTGAAGGATGGCAAGATGATAAGACAAGAGCTGCAAGGGGATGATATTCAAAAGTCCTTGGAGGCAGTCAATCGTCTGGGGAACCTTGATGGTCTTGTATTTGCTTTGTAGATCATCGTCTCCATCGTTACAAATGATGATGGGGTTGCCCTTACGAGCCGATACTTGTTGCAATGCACTTTGGACCTTTGGATACAAGGAGTCCTTGGTCATGACCAAAATGACAGGCATGTTTTCATCCACCAGTGCCAATGGACCATGCTTGAGCTCGCCTGCTAGAATGCCTTCGCTGTGCATGTAAGAGATTTCTTTAATCTTGAGAGCACCTTCAAGACATGTAGCATTCTGGTATCCACGACCCATGATCAACAAGCTGCGTTCCTTGGAAAGGGTATCACGTGCCAATGTTTGCAAGTTGACGTCTTGAGCAAGCACCTCCTTGATATGACCTGGCAGACGATATAAGCCATCAATCACTTCTTGACGACGTGTTGTCATGGAGATACGGTCTTCGGATAATTGAATGGCCATCATGACCAATGCAATGTATTGGGAAGTGTACGCCTTAGTACTAGCAACACCAATTTCAGGACCAGCGTTGATATGGACGCCACAATGGGTCTCACGGGAAATAGAACTGCCAACCGTATTGGTGATACCCACACACAATGCACCGCGTTCCAAGCAATAACGCATGGCGAGAATGGTATCGGCTGTTTCACCCGATTGAGATACAAAGACACACACATCGTCACGGAAAATGGGCGTACGTCGATCCAAAAAGTCTGATGCCAATTCGCTTTGCGCAGGGATTTCAGTGAGCTCTTCAAAGATGGAGCGTGTCTAAAGGGAGTTAAAAAGGTTAAAGACAGGGTGCTTTTTTTTTCCAACCCCCCAAAAAACTATACTTACAGCCATGCAGCTATGGTAGGATGTGCCACATGCAATAAACACGATGCGTCTAGCACGACGCATGATCGGCAAATAGCCACGTAAACCACCCAACGTGACCTTGTGTGTTTCAAAGTTGACACGACCACGCATCGTATTCACCACCGATTCAGGTTGTTCATAGATTTCCTTTTGCATAAAGTGGTCAAAGGATCCCTTCATGATCTCAGCCAATTCCATCTCCAAAGTTTGGATAGATCGGGTCGATGAATCACCATCCTCACGTCGAAGGCGATGGATTTGCAGCTCTATTTGTTGTAAAAAGATCACGTTATTAAAAGTCACCGATGACATTGGTAGATTAAATTGATGACTTGCCTCCTTCAGCAATATGAGCAATATCATCATCTTCAAGGAATAAGACACGCTTGGTGTGCTCAATGATAGCTGATGCATCCGATGCAAGGAAAAACTCAATGGGTTGTGGCGTCCCATCCTCACTCAAAAAGGCTCTTGATTGGCTACGCTGCAATTGAGGATGCGTGGGAGTCAAATAGCTGTTGGATTCCTTAGCAGAGACTATGTCAACGTTGTTAATAATAACAAGTGTATCAATGGTACGTATGACTTACGGGCATGGGCTTCGGCTGGATTGCCAAACTCAACATCGACAAAATCCACCTTGAGCTTCTTGGCTGTCTTGACACCAACAATCAAAGGGGAACCACGACGCGTTGCTACCACTTCATTGGGATAGTGCTTGTTGCTCTTGAAGATGAAAGCAAAACTTCCTTCCAATTCTTTGAGGACCTGCTTCACAAGGACAGTGAACGACACCTTTTCCTTTTGAGAGTCAAAGATGTACTTTGTCAATTTCGCCACGATTTCAGTATCTATAAAGGAGGCAGTGTATGTATGTATCAGCATGCATTTGTTCATTGTCTTTTGTTGTTAGTGGTGATGTTGCCCATCTTACCAGTGTCGGTCTCAAAGGTGGTGCCCTTCTTTTCCAAAAGAGTTCTGATTTCTTTGTAGTTGGTGATAATGCCATTATGCACAATAGTGAATTCACTGTTGGGATCGGATCGATGGGGGTGTGAATTAAGTTGTGAAGGTTGGCCATGGGTAGCCCAACGCGTGTGTGCCTAAAAGTAGTGTGTAACATGGTCGTATCATTGCCCATCTAGTACCATGCAATCTACTTACCATACCACAATGGCTTACAAAGACTTTTGAAAAGTCAATCTCTTGCTCTTCGACTAGCTTCTTCAAGGCAGCCACCTTGCCCTTTTGCTTGACAATAAGAGTCTCACCCTCGGCATCACCATCTGCTGCGAGACCTAGATAATAATGATGATATCAGATTTATGGATGAAATCATACAAGAACATGGTACACGAACCTGCTGAATCGTATCCACGGTACTCTAAGCGGGATAATCCATTGACCAGAGTATCCAGAACAAAGCGTCGGTCTCTCTCAATGAGGAAATTACAATAACTGCAACCATCAAAAGTAAATGACGTGTATAATGTATATGCGTATGATAAAGAAGAAGCATTACCCAAAGATACCACACATTGTAGGCTGTCAAACGAGTCTTGATAAATGAAAAGTGGAAGAAGAGAGGAGGCTCGTGTCCTTGAGATGCAATGAGAGCACTTAAATGCGAAAGAAGAGTAGTACGGAGTTTGGGCCATAGGAGGAGGAGGAGGAAGGCGTTTGCATATGCTGATTTGTTGATGGAAGGCGTTGCTGCATTTTTGTGTTGCCCAACTCGGACCGAGTACTCAAGTACACACGCGTTTGTTTATGTTTATTCATTGTTGTTGATGCGTACTACTACTACCACTACGACTACACCTTGTACAAAGCGCAAAAAAGGGCTTGATGGGGGTCACCATAGATCATCTTGGATTGCTTGTGTATGTATTTCTTGTGTCAAGATCAAGTCGATATGCAAATGTTGGACTATGTGAAGCGCACGTGAACATGGAGGGATTTACTCAACAAGGAGACTGATTAAAGTAACACAAGCCAACCTGATTGACAAATGGATTGGTTCAGGCACACAGCCTACTGTATTTGTGCCTCTCTTCCCTCACGCACAACTCTCTTTCTCGCCTAATGGACTCATCACACGTTGACGACGCGACAAACACCAAATCAGCCTCCGTTGACGACAAGGCATTGTCTACGCAAGTTGCTACGCTGCAAGTATCGTCGGAGTCATCCCCACAAGAACCAGAACAAGAAGCATCGTCGCGATCACCAGAACCAAGACATCCTCATGACATTGCAGATGATATTTCAACTGGAAGCGACTCTAGTGAAGACGAGACACATAAAGATGCAACGACAACACCACGTCAAGAGCTAGGTCTCGTTATTAGCGCGTTACAGAACACTGTTCAAAAGTCAACACCAGCAGAGGGTACACCACCACACGATCATCAACAACAACAAGAACAGCCATCTGATATAAGAAAAGAAGGAGAAGAGAATGTGGAGGAGGAGGATCATGCAAAGATGAATGGCAATCATGCCGCTGAAGAGTTGCATAGTGGGGATGATGATGGACATACAACGCTATCTGAACAAAGTGAATACGACGAATCATCATCTCGAGATGGATCAATGGGTGAAATCGTGCCGCCAACACCAGGAACACCGCCGCCGATCTTTGAACCACGCACAAGTGATGATTTGCCTGATGTTGAAGCATACAGCAGCGCCAACCTGATCGCTTTACACGACATCAACCTTAAGGACATCAAAGCCAATAACTTGTCACCAAGGGAGCAGGAAAAAGCAGGTAAGGGTGAAGAGGTGACATTCATTGTGTACAGTGTTTGACACAATGTCATCATAGATGAGCCCGTATTACGTGCGATCCGCCACTTGTTCAACAATCGATTCATGAAGGCTAAGCGTTTATTCGAAGAAAAAGCAAAGAGGTAAGAAAAGGACAATGAAATGTGGGAGGATGTATGCTAATGAAAATGTACACAATGATAGTGATCCTTTGTCTGCATTGGGATTAGGGAGCATGGCTTTTTTAAAAGGTTAGTTGGGGAAATGCGTTGTTGGAGAAAGAAGAGAAAACAATGGGACTCATTGTATTGTATTTTTTTCCTTGTGCAACATTAGCTGTTATGGTGAGTCTACTACTTTTGATGGGATCGTGGGGAAAGAACGCTAACAAAGGGTTATTACAAGACCATGGACCCCACAGCGACCGACAATGCGATACAAGTGCTTTTAGCGTCATACAGCCTTGCAACAGCTCAGATCGATGCTGCAACCAAACGTAATGTCGGTGACTCGGTGGTGCAATATTTTACATCCTATTACAATTATATCAAGTACTCGAGAGGGTCCACTGCACTGCCAGCAAGTCCAACACCAGCCACTCGTGAGAGCATCAAGAAGCAAAAGATCAAATTCGTACCGAATGGCATCCTACGTGCACACGTGGCCAAGGCAGAGAGTTGCTTGCAAATTGCCATCTTGCAATTATTACAAGAGACCGTGGTCGGATACATCAAATGCGGGTTAAACTTGCGGCGTGGTAAGTGCATGCATGTGATAGCTCATGAATGGGGGTGGCGATGAGGTTGGATATAGTGCAATATGTCTCACTTTACGGCAATTTGAATAGCCTACACCAGCTATAGTCTTGTGTGGCAAGAATACAAGCGAATGGGCCAAACATACAATGACTTTATTGATCAAGACACAGTCTCTGGTATTCAGTTTGGGTATGTATACATGTATATGGCATGGCATGGAACGCTGTACTTATGATGCTACTATGATGTTAGTATCGGCACCGTGCATCTTGTGCTATCTTCTTTGCCCCAAAAGATTTTACGTGTGGTTTCAGCCTTCGGATGGAAAGCCGACAAGCACCTTGGTTTTGCGTTATTGAAGCTATCTCTTGAAGGAAGACGTATTCGTTCTCCAACAGCATCACTCATGTACGTTTGTATGGGTGGATATGGTGGGATTCTATGGGTTGAGGTTACTAACTTTAAGAGCAGGTTACTTGCCTACTATACCGTTTTGACATCACTTTGCCCCCAAACATTGGCTAATGAATACACACAACCTGCTATTGAGGTAAGCAATCACATTCAGTGTATCAAAGGGGAAGAGCTTAAACTTACTGAATATCATAGACGTTATTGGATGCTCAACGCACCTATCCGAATTCAGCGATCTTTTTGTACTTTGCTGGTCGTACATCCCGACTTGCTCGCAACTTGACGTTATCAACACAATCCTTCATGTATGCGGTGGAAATCAGCAAAAACGAGTGGGCAGAGGTGGAAGTGATGCACTTGTGCAGCTATGAGATTGCTTTCAATTACATGATGCAGCACCACTGGGAGGAAGCTGCCAAGCTTTTTGAGACGCTATACAAGGACCGCTACTGGTCACCAGCTATTTTCCGATACTTGCAAGGGGCGTGTCTCGATATGATGGGTGATAGAACAGAAGCCATTCTTGCATTTGCCGAAGTCCCTGAACTTGTCTCATCCAACAAGGCATCGAGTGCTGCTATGATGGAACAATACGTGCTGCGCAAAGTCAAAGGTTTCCAAGAGACGGGATATCAGGATATGGATATGAATTTGTGTGCTCTTGAGTATTTGTGCATCTTCAATGCCTTTTACTTTATGGACACAGCATTGTTGGAGCATAGCCTCGGTGTAGCCGATGAAGCATTGAACCGCATTTTGGACGCTGAGCGTATGGAATATGGCATCCGCACAAGAGAACTACTGCCTGAGACTCCCCCACCACAATACTTTGATCAACGTGGCACATTATTACTTATCAAAGCATCATTGCTCAACGCTATGGGACGACATCGTGACGCTATCATTCATTTGAATTGGATTATCGATCACAAGGATAAGCTCACTACTGACAAATGGGTGGTGCCTTTTGCATTTTGGGAAGCCGGTGTTACTTCATGGGGACTCGAGTACAAGACGCGTGCACGTTCTTTCTGGACTAACGCGCTCAAGTACACCAAGTATGATTTCGAATACCGGTTGGCAATGGTAAGATAAGAAAAATGGGAGATAGGGAATACACGTGTGATATTTCATGGCCCCCATCAACCCCCCCTCATCAACCTCTTTCCTTTGGTGGTTGGAAGCTAACATGATAACTCTTTCCCGCCCGCGGTTAATAGACTATCAACTTGGCCGTGACGCGTGCGGATGAACTCGGTGTGCCTAAACCCGAACATCGGTCTAAGCAGCCGGTATCAGCCAAAAGCCCAGAAGATAGCAATAACACTTCCAACACAACACCAACGACATCGATCTCCGGCACGGCTCCGCCTGAATCGAACGACGATACAAACCAAGGTTCACGATCCTCAGATTAAGTTTACAGCGTACCAAAGATTACACATACCGCACACAACACCACGCTTGATTATGTGAGAAAACCTAAAAAGATTTCACCCTCGCTCTCTCGATTGAACGTTTTTCCCAAAAGACATCAACAACAACCCACCAATTCATGTAAATCCCCGCAAAAATTACTCCAAAACCCCACATGTTAGCACGCGACACAACAATAACAAAATAAAACTTCATTTACACTTTCGCTCTTTATATAAGTCTAGAAATCAAAAGAAGATAGTGTACAATGGGGAATAAAGAAATGATTGGATTCCCTTTGAGATAACAAAACATGGGATAGGTGTAGAATATGTTGTCGATTACACTATATACAACTGCTGCTCGATCAACGAACAGCTTCATAAAAACGAAAAGGAGCAGGGGAATTTCTTAGAAAAATGATGATGTTGTGGAAACGGGGGAATATGTCGGAAACACACACACGACTGAGTGTTTTACTCGTACAAGGAATGGCACACAGCGGGAGCGCTGGTTGATGGTTCGAGCCATGATGAGATGTTGACGTACAAACTAAGGATGGATATTGGGTTAGCAGCTTGCCTATACAATCAAATAAACATGTATACGTACGTGTAAACAAGGATACCGGAACCCCACATAATGAGGATGGCATCGACAATTCTCAACCACCAATTCTTGGTTACTTTCCAGTGGAACATGCCTAGGTAGAAGTGTGAGTCATAATTGAACGATGAATGACGGGTGAAAAAAAAATCTTACCTGGGAAAATGAAGCACAATGGCAAACAAGCAACGATACCCACAAGCGAGACAAACTTGTCAAGGTTATCAGAACCAACACCAAAACTAATGGCAGCGGGTACACATGCAACAAGAGCACGTACAAAGTTCTTGCCCCACTTGTACTTAAGCTTCATTTGACCACTTCGCTTGGTACCAAAGATACCACGTTCGATAATGGTAAGAGGAGGCCACAACATGAAGGGCGAAGACAAGATCATAGCAATAGCGTAAAGCAATTGTACGGTGACAGAGAGGGGTTCAGTCTTGAGATTAGCCACAACACTGGCTGAAATGTTTTCACCATAGGCGACGTAACCAAGGGTACCAATGAGGACCATGACACCAATAACAATGGCCATACCAATGTTGAGCACCATAGGGAATTTGCGTGGCTCCTTCATGCCTTCAACAATCGAGATAACTATACAAGCAAATAAAATGTTAACATGTTGTTGTCATGGTGATGGGTGGTTGCCATGATACATACCCATGCCAATGCCTTCAAAGGAAAAGGTTGCTGTAATATAGAAAAAAATTTGATGATCAATATCATTCTAGCGACAACAATGAGAGCAATGGATGCTTACCTGTGCCGATCATAAGAGCAAAGTCTTTTTGGTTGTAAATGATGATATTGGGACCGGGACCATTTTCGTTGATTTCCTTGCCAGTGTAGTAGAGAATGCAAATAAGACCAAAGAGAATGAAGATATCGGCAATGACGGCTGCGTAAGACAATCGAGCTACTTTGCGGACCCAGCAAATGGGAATAACAATGGCAAGAACAATCCAGATCCAGTATTTGCTTTCAAAAGGTGGATTGCACCCTGAAAGTGCTTCTGCGACCAGATGGATATTTTGAGAGACAAACATGAGGTAGGATGAAACAAAGCCGATTTGGGACACGCACAAAAAGAACAAGACCACATATCGGCAATAGCGACCATAGAGTCTGTAAGCAATGTCACCATACGAGCCACCAACAGCAGATTGAGCAATAACAAGAAGATGGAAAGCAACAAGACAAATGAGACCAAGAATAACCATCAATGCAATTGATAACGCAAGACCACCGTTCTTGAACCTTTTCGGAAAGAAAAATTTGTGTCGGTAAGGATCATGTACTTTTTTTTCTCTCTTTTGTTTTAAAATGTGATTTCTTACGATGCTGGCAAGAAAATAACACCCGTGCCGATAAAAGCTTTCAACAACATGAAAAGCGCCTTGCTAGCACTAGCAGTACCCTCGGGAGCGTGTTGGATCGTGATTTCATTTGACGTGGTTTTCTCGAGATCGGGATGACCACCATCTTCATAATGGCTGGCCTCCACTTGGTATTTACTATGTTCGTCTGTTGTTGACATTTAAAGTTATAAGAAGGGGGGAGGATGAGGGTAAAAGAGATATTGTGTGGGGGAGTGGAAAAAAGAGTGAAAAAAATCGAAAATGGTGGGGAAGAAACAAGCCTGTATTTATAACCAGGATGTCGTCGCCACCACACTACACCAAGACAACGGCCAGGGGGGTTCTGATTTGAGATGATTGCGGACATGGTCTTTCTCCACAGATTGAGTTCCGATCCCTTGTTTGACACCTGCTCTTTTTGTACGAAACCGGTTTCCATAATAGGGTCTATGACGCTCAACATACCTATTTCAATGGCCGAACAAGAAAAAAGAGCGACATCCTGTAGTCGTACAAGCCCTCTCTTTGTACGCTCTAAATCTTGGAACGAGGCCCCCCTCCTTTCCCTCCGCTGTTTTTCCCACGATATCGACCGCTAAGAATGCGATACGCATTTGCGTAGCCACCACCACCGTGTAAACGTAGGACCCTCATTAATATCATCATACCACAATCCTCACTTTGATCCCGTGTGCATGACCCAAATGATGCAAGGGGGGACGCACACACAAATTTAGACCTTTCCACTTACTTTGTTTCTAAATCAGACCCAATGTCCCATTGGTGCACGCTAAACGCAATTTCTTTGGCTCGCCTTTGTTTAGCCGATGTATGAAGACGAAGGGAGAAAACCGAGAACAATACCTACCAATGTTAAAGATGTATCCGGGGATAGAAAATTCAATCAACTACTACCTCTGTGCGTCTCAGCTATTCATTACCATCCCCCCGTTCTTACATAACTCCTTGCAGTATATGTCTTACATCCGATCCGACATGCCGGTACACACATAAACCATGAACCATTGGGCAGAAAACAGAAAAAAAATACGAGCATGTGAGAGTAGACATGATTTACAACAAGGGTTTGGTGGTACATGGCTTAATCCATCATCGTATTTGGGTAATTTAGCAAAGATCTTGTACATCATGCGTAGCCACCACCACACTGTTTATTTGCCAAGATTATTATATCACAGAGAGGCGAGAGCGAGCAATCTGACGGAGTTTAAGCCTTGTGCACCCGATGATAAACAATACAACGTATTCAATCATTGGCGGAAAGAATCTCGTTTTATCACATAACAGGCATCTGCGATGTTAGATAATCCACGCAACAGAGGGCACATGCCCCTTCTTGCTTTATACGTGTAGTCGTACGACATTAGCCTTATCCCCCTTTTGAGCAAGTCTTCTTCTTATCAACCACCTCACTTTGGCCAATAGATTGGGTGATGTGATGAAGAGTCTCGGTCTCGGCCGCTATAAGCGACGACATGTCTGCTTTCAAAACCTTATTTCAATATGATACCGTCATTTTCCTTTTTTCTTTTTTTCCTTTTTGTCTCATGTCTGGAAGGATTTAATCCCTTTTCCGGCTACTCGGCCAACCTGAAACAAGCCATATAGTAGGAATTTCACCTTTTAGAGATTGCATCATGTGGTAATGTAAAGGGTCAAAGCAGCCACGTTTTGGCTATTTAGAGAAGTAGCTGCGCAGTGTAGATCATTGGTACATTTTGACGATGATGTATGCCGTCGGACAAAGGAACAAGGTAGGCAAGAGAATAGGGCTGAAACTCACAAGAAGAAAGGTGGATGATGTATCGCTTGGCTGTTCTTTTGACCGAGCAAACGATGCATGTGGATTACTCATGAGAATCCAAACCTGTAAACAACATCAAAATGGCGCGGAGGTACGTACCTATTGTGTGCGTCGGGGTCCATTGTGCCGAGAGAAAGAGAGATGTATATCATCAACCTGTGAAAAAAGGATGTCATCGATTATACTCACACACATGCATATCAGTGAAGGGATAGAAAAAGCGTGTGTACCTTTGGATAAAAGCTTAAAGGTATCAGCTTGTACTACATTTCATGATTTCGATGATTGAGCTAAAATGCATGGGTGGCTCCACGCTACGCTACTGCGCGCATGTTGCCATGGAGATACATAGTTGACCCATCATTTGGGATGGTCGCAAAAGAGCATGACAACACATACCATAGCAACCAAACCGGTATCATAATAACTTGTAGCTCGAATGCTCTACCAAGTAACTCAACTAGTTGTTGGGGATGATGCTCTCAGGTACGGGTGGCGTGTGTGGAGAAAATGGCTGAGTAACCAAGGCACATGCAACTAGCTACGCAAATCATTTAGTATAGCGCTTCGACTACTCTACAAATGTGCAGTGTTAGCTGAGCACATCATGTTGCACAATGCTCTCTCGCTGCGCCCACCAAGGTCTCATCCAAGAGATTAAATCCCCTTCACGATAATGTTACTAAATGGATGATGCTGGAATCACGTCATCAAGCATGATGGAATATATGTATTCGTTGAATATGGATGATCAAATTGAGTAGTCTAAGGGCGGTAACGATGGTGGATGGAATGATGGTAAAAGTGGATGATGCATAATGTTGTAAATGTAGATATGGAAAATGGATAATGGATTATCTTCTCTTTTTGCCTCCTCTTGCAGGACGTTTGGCGCCATCTTGAGCAATCCTCCTAAGCTCGCTTTTGCCAATATGAAGAGTGCCACCTTTCATGCGACCAACACCATTGGTGATACCTGGATCCCGACTACGCTCTTTCTTCTTGACCACTTTGGATGCATACAAATGTTTGAGCGACCTATCCCACAAACCAAGGTCTTTGGCATCTTGAACACGCTTCTTTTCTCGTTCACGTTCCTTGGCCTTCATACCCATATGCATAGTCAATGGCATGTTTGCGTTGCCTGATTTCTATTACTCAACATTCAATACAATTGCTTCCAATTTGATAGCCATCTTACATACCTTGGCACCCAATGTTTCGAGCTTATTCATCATGTGTTTCCTCCGTTCCTTGCCAGTCATCTCCTCAACATCTACACAGGTCATGAATCAACGACATATCCAAAAAACATCACATACGCCGTGTACTTACGGTATTCTTCGAGCAGCTTAGATGTAGAAAGAAGCTGATGCAGCTCAGCATCCTTGCGTTGATTCTCTCTAGAAAGAAAAAGGGTCATCAGCATAACGACGTTCGCCCCATCCATCTATACCATCACTTACTCTTCTTCAGCTTTCTCCTTTTCATTCTTGGGCTTAACAGCCTCCACTACCTTGTCCTCCTTGAAGATATCAGATGACTACCAAAAGAGAATCAATATGGACGTTGCTATACACTTCTCCTTACTTGACGCTTACCATGAACGCCTTTTTTGCCTTGGCATCTTCAATCGTTGGCTTCTTGTCTAATACTGATCCATCGAAAACGACCACCTTGGGACCCTTGTCCTCGTTGTCCTTAGAAGCATCGACTCTCTTGGGTTTCTTGACTGGTTTGTTTGGCTCACTGCGATACAATTTGCATAAGTTTTGATTGCGACCTTGGGCAAACACATTGGATCGCGTAGATCTCGATCGATGCTTACGTTGTTGACTTTTTCCGTTTGCTTGCGAGGTTCTTTTGTAATAGCGTGTTGGACTTTGTGTTGGATTTGACGCTGCTAATGAGATCGGCTAGACTTGACATGGCTCGGAGAAAGGAGTTGGTCGTTAAACAAAGAAGCTGCTTGAATTTCTTGTCATCAGCCACTAAAATCGGAAGCCGCCCCCCTATGCTTGATTGTGGCGACAGGGAACATCCACGCTTGTGGTCGACGTAGGTGCCATGTATGGGAAATGAACACTTATCGAACAACATCTTGATTTGTGGGTTGAGCACAGCAAGCGATTTGCATATTGATGTCATTTGTTCGATGACGATGGATGTTGCCAGCTTGCTCATAAATCAGACCCTGCTTTATGCATCGACAATCAATCACACCAAGACTCTTTGTGCAGGCATCCCACCAATCTGTCAACCCATCACTATCTCCAACAAGAATTTCCTCATTCATCTTGAACGCAGAAATACCCACGCCCGCCATGCACATATAAACAACAACAAAGATGTTGTCGTCTACTATCACACTCCCACACATCCCCTTTTCTCTCGTCCATCGTAGCAGTCTTTGATTGCTGACGCTCTTAAAAGCCTTGGTGAGTATTATGACGAGTAGCCTTATATGTGAGCGATCCATGTATTCATGTGTGATGATCTTTAGTTTATTCATTGTCATTCTACTTTCATCATTGTCATTGCTTTCATTGTGGTTTATTGGATCTTCTGATAAGGTAAGAGTCAAACATGTTCCTTGATGGAGCACAGACTCACATTCATTTCGGTGTAGCTACATCACGAGATGCATATGCGAAGTTGGATTAGGTGCCACCGTCTACTACTACAACCCGCATGGAGAGCTCGCAAGTTTAAACCAGCAATTGGATATGCAATCAGTGTCAATCGATACTCCGGCTCTACAGCTTGGGCGAAACAAATGGATAGCAATTTTAAGGTGAGTGGAGGCGCGCACTGTACGTGACTGAAAGTAACGGCACTTTTAAGTGTTTGGAGGATCGATGTGATGAACACGCATTTTGTACGGTGCGAGAAAAGAAGGCGATACAAGAAATCAAGCGTCAATGCAAGTAAGCTGTTTACGCCTGTAAGAAGGAAAAAGGGCCCCGTCATTACCTGATCACGAAGCACGTTACATCAATACACATGCAGCGTACGTTTCATTCCAGCCGTCTTATCATAGTCAATCAACGATCTCCTTGTATGAATGTTGTAGATACATTTCACACCATAAACAACGTTAATCAGTTACAAGTGAACCCTTTAAAAGGATGTACATACAACATACAGTAGCGATGGGCTTTTGTTTCTTACTCGTGACCTCCCATAATAGCAGAGGATGCTACTAGCAAAATGCTAGAGTCGAGCCGAGAAATTGTATTGAGAGATCGAAATGTACATAGAAGCCAAATATTGATGTATGAGAAGATCCAATGTTTTATTTAGATGCTTGAACCCTTATTGGGAGATGGTGAAAACTAGACTACGTTCCCTGGATTTCCAGATGCCAACCACTGTATATGCATGATGCTTGCTAAATCCTGAACTTGGCCGACAAAGATAAGGATAAAAGGATGAGAAGCCAATCAAGCTGCATTACGTCATTTGGATTAATCCAACATTAGCAACGGTTACCTAGGGACGATCGCTTCATTTTAAGCACTAGACCGGTTGTGCTCTTTTTTTGGAACGCCATGGCTCATCAACAAGCAAATCCATTCGACGACCCATCCAACCCATTTCAGGACCCTTCAATCACGTCGGCTCTCAATTCCACACGTCAAGATGCGTCGCTTCACCTAGAACAGGATGGTGTTAACGAGCATGACAATTTCACCACTGTACGGCAATACCAAGACAACAGCCATGACCCTTTTGAGCACGATCAGAAAATGCTTGTGGATGATACACAGCAAGGAATTGTGGAAGGTGGCAGCAGTAGTGGATCCCCTGGTGGCAACGATTTGCAAGCGAGAGAGGAGGCATTGAGGCAAAAGGAACGAGAACTTGCAGAACGAGAAGCACGACTAGGCGAGCGTCAACGACCCCATGCAAACAACTTTCCACCATGTTTCCCCATCATGTACCTTGATATCACTACCGAGATTCCCCTCAATCATCAATCGACAGTATGGTGGTTATATCGTGAATGGCTTTGGTTCGAACTTACCCTGGTTCTCAACTTTGTCGCTTGTCTTTGTCTCTTATTCTCCCATCCACCTTCCGTTACAAGTGCTCCAACCGATCTGGGCATCGCTCTCACTCAAATGTTCACTCATTCATTGGCAAGTTTCTTTCTCTGGTATCGCCCCGTGTACAATGCATATATGAAAGAGGTCTCATTGTACTACAGTAAGTCATTGCAATCCCCATTTAAAGAGCATCCATCACTAATTATATACTAGCCTTGTATTTTATCTTTAATGGCTTCCATATCTTGTACACCTTCTATATGGCTATCGGTATTCCCAGCACGTAAGTCACTTTCAGCTATTCCATTCATGATCCATGGCTAATTGTAGCATGCGTTTGTTTTGAAGAGGAGGAGCTGGTTTGATCTTGGTGGTGACATTGTTCACTGATGGATACATTATTACGGGTATCATTGCCCTCTTGGCATCCGTTTGTTGGCTTGGTATGGGATTCTTGGCTCTCTACCTTTACTTCACCACCTACAGGCATTACAAGGCTGCTGGTCATACATTCAAGGAAGCAAAGGATGAAGCTTACAGTCGTGTTGGTGGATCCAATGCTGCACGAGATGCTGCTGTCAGCATGGCATGGAATAGTCGTCGATGAACATCATAGATCCCCTATCTCTTTTTATCTTTTTTTTTACCACACACAAACTTCATTTTGCAATATCCCCCTCCTTATCGCATGAATTAAATAGGAAAAACAATGTATCTTAGAATCAAGCTGTCATGGATGGGGTGTCTCATGTGCTTTGAGTTTGATTGACAGCGGTCCGTGTTCCGCCCGATATATAAAAAGTCATCTGACACCATGGCCATTTCGGGAAGATTCTCGCTGCATCTCGTTCTCATTCTTTGATTTTCTTTTCCTTTGTTCGCCGTTCTTGGAATCAACGTTTCTTTCACTCAAACCATGCTACGACGTGCTCTTCCTTCTCATTACCCGAGAACATTGCTCACTCGGCGCTCTGCTAATGCCGGCTTAATTGCAAGATCGGCTCGCGTTGTCGCGGTGCAACAATTGCGACCCAGACTTACAGCCGCTGCTGCTGTGTATACCGCCAAGCGATTCTACAATGGTGGCAAGTAGTGCATTGTAGTTCATTTCACACGTGCCATTAGCTCATTACGAGAACCTTCTCTTTTTGTTATAGGTGGAGGAATGCCGCCTGGTGGTTTTCGTATGGCACCCAACCAGGAGCAAGAACAACCCAAAGCTCTCGAACAATTTGTATGTAGTTGTAATGGACGTGATGGTAGATGATGTTTATTCCTAATACTCTTTATTATAGGGTATAGATCTTACATCAATGGCTGAAAAGGGCAAACTTGGTAAGTCAATGCATGGGTTGGGTGGCGTATATGCGTTGTATGCTCGGACTTTTTTGACTCATCCCATGCCCGAATGTATTTGACAGATCCCGTCATCGGCCGTGATGAAGAAATCCGACGTACCATTGAAGGTAATATACCAAACGATATACTTGATTTTGTGTTACTGAACCATTTTAATAGTGTAAGATGAAGGCAAAGATGAAAAGAAAACACGTATGCATTGCTGACATATGGATCATTATGCCAGGTTGGCACGCCGAACCAAAAACAACCCCGTATTGATCGGTGAAGCGGGGTAAGTGTGATCTACAAGACCCCAACGATGCCATGCTAACCACCATTGTTGTAATTAGTGTGGGTAAAACAGCCATTGCAGAGGTATGTTGTATAAGGTGGAATTGGGATGATGGAAAACAAAGGATACTGAACTTGCATAAATTTCTCAGGGTCTTGCACAACGCATTGTTGCCAATGAGGTCCCCGAATCTATTCAAGGAAGACGAGTCATTGCTTTGGATCTTGGAGTAAGAAGCTGCCCTCTGGATCATGTGATGCATGTAATCATTAACAATCCCTCACTATAGGGTCTCGTTGCAGGTGCCAAATACCGGTATGTCGTGAAAGGCTGAAATCGATGGGGGGAAAGAACGCTAATAGGCTTGCTTTTGTGATGCAGGGGTGAATTCGAAGATCGTTTAAAGGGCGTCTTGAAAGAAGTGACCGAAGCAGAGGGCAAGATTATCCTTTTCATTGATGAAATCCACAATCTTTTGGGTCTTGGCAAATCGGAAGGTGCAATGGATGCTGGAAATCTCTTAAAGGTTTGTCTTTGGTTTGCAGGTGTTTTACTTGACATGAACCTAGCTGACATCATTTTTGTAGCCTGCATTGGCACGTGGCCAGTTGCGTTGTGTTGGTGCGACAACCATTGACGAATACCGAAAGGCATGTGAAATTGTGCAGCAATGTTTGTGTGTGTCAACAATGCATTAATGCTTATCCCTAAATAGTACATCATGTCCGACCCTGCATTGGCGCGACGTTTCCAATCGGTCATGGTAAGTGTAGAATGGAAAAAAAGAAATCATCCCAATATGATCAAACGACTAATGACCTTGCTCTTATCTTTAGGTTGAGGAACCAACTGTAAGTGGTAATGGGTAACAGTGATATTGGATGATACCTAACATATGATGATTTTTTGAAAAAAGGTTCAAGACACTATCTCCATTTTGGTATGTTGGCTACGTGAAATAGGGTATCATATGACAGCGCTTTATTGACATTTACATGTTCAGCGTGGATTGAGAGAACGTTACGAGGTGCATCATGGTGTCCAGATTGCGGCAAGTATTATACAAAGCATGAAGAAATTTGTCAGCATGGTTTATTGATAGCACCACTATAGGATTCAGCACTTGTATCAGCTGCAATTCAATCCCATCGATATATCTCTGATAGGTAAGAGCTGCATAATCTTCGAATGATCAGGGTCCAGGGCGCTAACATGGATACCATACCATATCACAGATTCCTTCCTGATAAGGCGATTGATCTTGTGGATGAAGCATGTTCAAAGTTACGACTTCAGCAAGAAAGCAAACCTGAAGCACTTGAGAATCTCGATCGTCAAATCATGACCATGCAAATTGAATTGGAATCGTTACGCAAGGAATCGGATATTCTCTCGGTGGAGCGCCGTGAAAAGCTGCAATCTGAGCTCGAGCAAAAGCAAAAGGAGAGCGAACGCTTATCAGGCATTTGGAATGAAGAAAGGTAAAAGGCAACGAACATCTGATACATGCATCACAACCTTGCTTATACGTATCTATCTTAGACAAAAGATTGATGAGATCAAGAAGATTAAGGAGGATTTGAACCAAGCACGCGTGGAGCTCGAGTCGGGTAATGTATACATCCATTTTGGAATGGGGGCTTTGCACTGACCAACAACATGATAGCCCAAAGAGCTGGTAATTTTTCACGTGCTTCCGAATTACGTTATGGTGTGATCCCCAATCTGCAAAAGAAGTTGCCCAAGGAGAATACCGAGGAGGATACTTCAGAGTCCTTGGTGCATGAACGTGTTACTTCGGATGATATCGCTCGTGTGGTCTCTCGTATGACAGGTATTCCTGTTAGGGTAAGTTTTTTATATACGACAATGTACAACAAGATGCTGATGCTATCGTTTTAGAATCTCATGCGAGGCGAACGCGAAAAGTTGCTTCATATGGAAGATGTCTTGAGTAAACGTGTGGTGGGACAAGATGAAGCTATCACGGCAAGTAGTCTATCGTCATACACTTTTATCCATGTGATTCTGACATTTTCGGTGTCAACATTATAGGCTGTCTCTGAAGCCGTGCGCCTCAGCCGTGCTGGTTTACAGAATCCTTCTCGACCAATCGCATCGTTCCTATTCCTTGGACCGACAGGTGTTGGCAAGGTAACATGAGTTGGGGCGTACCGATCATTTTGTGCTACATGCATACACGATCATCCTTACACGCACATGCTTTTTTATTGTAGACCGAGCTATGCAAGACGATTGCTCAATTCTTATTTGATACTGAAAATGCCATTGTACGCATCGACATGTCGGAATACATGGAGAAGTTTTCTGTCAGCAGACTCATTGGTAAGGAATGAATGGGATTTTATTACTTTTGAGGGGACAATGATAATTAACATCATGACAAAAGGTGCACCTCCTGGATATGTTGGTTATGACGATGGGGGTGGCGAATTAACAGAGTCTGTTCGACGTCGACCTTACGCAGTGGTACTTCTCGATGAAATGGAAAAGGCACACAAAGATGGTAAGTTTATAGATAACCCTATCTTTGAAACGCATGTCATGCTAACGTTTTCGTGCATAGTGTATAATATTTTACTCCAAGTGCTCGACGATGGTGTCTTGACCGACAGTGAGTATATAGCCATATTGATCTATACAAATTTGATGCTGATTACTGAATTATTACAGGCAAGGGACGCAAGATCGATTTCAAGAACACCATCATCATCATGACGTCCAATTTGGGTGCTGAAGCATTGGTCACTGATAAGAGCGATAATGGAAACGTGAGCAAGCAAGCCAAGAATATGGTGATGGATGCTGTACGCCACAATTTCTCTCCTGAGTTTATCAACCGTGTGGACGAAATGGTATGTGTGGGACATGTTATTTGACCCTAGTTTATAGAGCTAACCAATTTGCCTATAGGTGGTATTCAATCGACTTTCTCGCAATGCATTGCGTGAGATTGTGGATGTGCGTCTCAACGAGGTTGAAGGCCGTGTCAGTGATCGACGTATCAAATTGGATGTGGATTTGGAAGCAAGAGACTGGCTTGGTGAACGTGGCTATGACCCCGCCTATGGCGCACGACCCCTGAATCGCCTCATCCAAAAGAAATTACTCAACCCATTAGCACGCTTGTTGATTGATGGTGGTGTGCGTACGGGCGAAGACGCCAAAGTCCGAGTTACCAAACTTGCATCAGGCGAAACGGATCTTGAAGTTGTGCGTAATCATGAACCTGGTTTAGCCGCTGATGAGCAAGAAAACGAAGATGCCAATATGGCGCCTGTTGGTGACGAGGAAGAAGTATTGCAAGAAGAAAAGGAATCCGAGGACAAGAAGAATAATGAGCAACAACAACAATAATGGGTCGTTAGCATAAACAAAGTTGTATCACAACATGGTTCATAGCCTTTTTTTCACAAGGAATAATGTTTGATTCTATTAGCTTATGATGATTAAAAAGTAAAGCATGCCATATACGAGAGAGAGAGAGAGAGAGAATTACAATAAGGTGTGTGGGGGATAAGGGGTGTGGGGGGATGTTTAGATGTGGGATGATATGGTAACATTATAGGGTAAGCATACATGATGAAATAATTAGAATGTGTGATTTGAAGTGTGTGTGTGTGTGTAAAACGTAATGATATGTGTTGGGGTTGGAAATAAAAAATGGGCTGGACCTGGGGCTTTTTTTTCCTTGCATGATCTGTGGATGGGCGAGAAAGCAAAACAAGATTTAGGTTGGTTGTACTCCGCATGTCTGTGTGTTATGTGTATGTGTAGCACATATGCACAAGCACACATACAATACAACACAGGAGATGGGATGCACACACAGCTGCTTAAAGACCACGGGGCGTCAAACTCAACTTTAAGGTGCTTCCACGACGACCACCAGCAATCAATTCTTCCAATTCCTTTTGCTTGCGCACTCTTTCCATTTCTGCCTGTGGGTTATAGTTGACATTGTATGTCTTGACACGCATTGGCGTTGATCGACTTTTGACGGGCATCACTGGAACAGGGGCACCTGAAACAGCAACACTAGCTGCAGCACGAGATTGCCGTTTTGCTTTGTTGCCAAGATCAGCAAGTCGACTACTAGGTGGAGCACCAGCACCAGTAGCTGTGGTGGCAGGTGGTGCTGTACGTACAGATGTGGCTGATGTATTTGTAGGTGGCAAGTGGAATGAATGACGACGATCCTGTTCATTGGGTAGTGGGCGTGGTCGAGAAATTGACTTGCGAGGAGGTCGTGGAAGAGATGAATGATGAGATGTGGATATCGTTTTTGATGGTGTTGGCATCGTGCTTGTGCGTTTGGGCATGCTGCTAACTCTTGGTGGTACCGAGTTCAATACAAGGGGTTGTTGATGATGATGGTATGGCGATGGCCCATGATTCTTTAGATTAGTAGGTGATGCAAGTGGTGAATAGACAGAATCAATGATGGGTGGTGAGATCGCCAGCTCGTGCTCATCTTGCACTTTGTGTCGAGGACAAAAGATTTTCTTTAATCGTCGTCCAGGACGAGGTTGATGAAAATGAGACGATTTTGTGGTATTAACGTGGTCAATCATAAAGGAAGGAAATGGGTGTGAGAGAAAGGGTAAAAAAGAACCGAAAGAAGGATGACAAAAGAATAGGCACTCCATTATATAGCTCATGATCCTTTTTTTAAAAACCACCATCGGAGTTGAGATGAGCCACGACATTAAAGGCAGTATCAGCACGCGAGCAAGGTAACACAAATCATCCAAAGGCTTGAAGGTTGATGATGACTCTGCTGTAGTTGCTACGGCAACATTGGCTCCCGAGTCTCCGTTATTATCGGGTATACTCCACTTTTGTGAACCCGCGGGCTCATATAATGAAAGCAACATTGTTTTAATCCCCTTGGCAACATACACTTGTGCCTCATTGACAACTTGGTATTGAAGATCATAGAATGTATGGGGGCATGTGCTCCGCTCTTCCCACATTAGCGCTCTCTCAATGAAAGTTAAATTAATAAATGGAAGGTTGGATGCCTAACTGCTCTCTCACTCTCTCTCCTATAGCCGCCAATTCGGCTGAACAAACAAAAGCTGGTAACACGGATCGGATATAATGTGCTTTTTTGCGCTCTGGAGGGTTTAAGTAGCTGTAGTGCAACCCTTCTTGCTTGTCAGCATGACGTTATCATTTATCAGCCCCCTTTTTAATGTGTGGGAGTGAAAACAGGACCTAGAAAAAGCCATGTCATTGACCTAATATCTTGTTCATTTATTATGGCCCGAGCGAGACCTCATTAACGATTATGAGATTCGTATTACCTACAATGGTATGGCGATATTTGCAGCAGCAGCAACAATAACACGATGACAGCTGTACATGATTACGATGCCGATCGTTCGTTAAGGTTTTTATGGTTTTCGGTATAGCGACATTACATTTTGCCGATCCTCTCCTTCATACATTCCCCGCCATCCTTCTTATTCAACCTTTTCATATAACCAACCATCATTGAGCAAATCATTACAGTAGATCATGTGACAAAGAATCAAGTTCAGAGGTGAGTTGATGTTTACTGTTGATAATACAAGATAACAACCATAAAGTAAAGCATCTAAAGACGACGACCACGACGACCACCCTTTCTGCGAGTGCTATCAGTGGGGATGGGAGTAACGTCCTCGATACGGCCGATTCTCAAGCCAGAGCGAGCCAAGGCACGGAGAGCGCTTTGACCACCAGGACCAGGAGTCTTGGTACCAGTACCACCAGTAGCACGGATCTTGACGTGGACAGCGTTGATACCGAGCTATATCATTTCCACCAATATCAGTAATCCATATTGTATATACACACGCACACAAATCACTCGTTTTGGAACACTCACCTCCTTGCACTTGGCAGCAACATCTTGAGCAGCCAACATGGCGGCGTAGGGAGAAGACTCATCACGATCAGCCTTGACCTTCATACCACCTTTGAAAAGAAACAATATACATGAGCATACTTTTTCGAGCAAGCATTCGACAATGCACCCATCGTTACATACCAGTGACACGGGCAATGGTTTCACGACCGGAAAGATCGGTGACATGGACGAAGGTGTCGTTGAAGGAGGCGAAGATGTGGGCAACGCCAAAGACGAGTTCACCTTCACGGACCTGGGGACCAAGGGTAACGTTTTCGGTGGTCTTCTTGGTAGCAGCACGCTTGGACTAAATGGATGGATGGTATCAGAATAGGATTGCTTGATGGATGAATCGATGGATGGGTGGATGGATGCATGACTTACCATGATTAGCTTCTGGAAAAAGAGGAGGATTCACTGCTTGGCGGACGTTGCCTTGGATTTCACTTACACTGCCACCACCACAATGCTTCCCATTCAAGTACCGCCACTTTTTAAAATGGTCATGTGACCTTCACTCTTTGTATACACACCATCATTGCCCTCCCACCACACTCATCTACTATGTACAACATCCTCAATTATACAATACATGCGTGCATTTGAATTAAAGATAAATGTTATTTTGTTGTTGTTGATTACAAGATCACCTCTTGTTGGATCGTTTTTCTCGTATCTTTCCAATACCCCAACGGGACTTTTTCTCCTCGACAGTGGTGCTTATGGAGGAGACAGGAGTTGGCGCTGATGGAGAGGAAATGGGAGTATTGGATGATAAAGTAGGTTTTCGAGAGAATGGGGAAGAGTCTAAACGTGTAGATGTGGTAGTAGTAGGAGTAGAGACGGCAGAGGAATGTGGATGCTGTTGTTGCTGCTGCTGCTGCTCAGTAGTTGAAATGGGGGTGGTGTTGATGGCTATAGGAGAAGCTGCCGACGGCCTGCCGTTGACATGTTGCATATGATTGTTGTTGCAGTTTTTCAAATCGATGCCGTTATATATGTTGAGTGATTCCATGTTGACGTTGACTGCTTGGTAAAATAAGACATAACCCGATCCATTGCCTGGTATATCACCGAAATACTTTTGGATGTCTTCTTCGGGTATTGGCTGTCAAAAATGAAATCAATCCTGATGCTCTCTCTCTCTATTTGGTCCACTTTCAACTTACAGTGACAATATCATCATCGAAAAGCATCCATTGGCCGTTACTCTTGATAATGGTCACGTAATGGCCATGATGGGGCCCACTACCGATATGAATGACACACGCCCATAATTCATAGAGTCGATCGGCATCTTCAGTCTCGTCGCACTAAACACGAGATCAATGAGTGAGTGAGTGAGTGAAAGGGATAACCCCCCCCCCAAATCAAATCTCATGACCCAATGAAAAAGAATGAGCAACCTTACCGTATTAAATAAACGCAGTTCAAATGGAAACACTACGCGGTAGGTGAGCTTGATATACTTTTGCAGTTGTTCTTGGTATTTGAAACGTTTAAGATGCAGGGCCAAAATATTGGGTAGCTTCTTGATCTTCATACTAATAAGCTACATGTTAGTCACATCTAAAAGATCCTTCCTCATTCCCATGGCGACGCTCTCTTGTTCCCATGACAACATACCGTCTCTCAGCCTCTTGGAGTCCACAGCATTCATCACAAAAGTACTTGTTCTTGTGACATAAGGTTTCGCTCGCTGAAAATTGCCGTAGACAAGAGGTCACAGATGAATTCATCTCGACGTCAATGGATAAATCCATAAATGATTCATCACGACTTGTGACCTAGCAACATAAAAGGAGAATCAATAAGATCGTATCTCTCTCTCCACATTTTCGTGCAACCATACCGTTTCGCATGTGAGGCATTTTGTCTCATTCGAAAAGACACCTTCGAATAATTGATGTACCCACGTGGATGGATGAGAGCTGTTGGCTGAGGATTCCGATTCTGTACATGTATAAAAATCAGCATCCAAATGAGCGTACGGGTGCAATAAACGACATACGTTGATCATGATCCATGGTGCCATTGCTCTTTATCGTCCCATTAGCAGGTTTTTGTTGCTCGGACATCTTTTTCTGATAGGTCTCGACATCCTCGGCAATGCTGTTGAGTAAATAGTTGAGGAACTCGTGAGCATCTTGATGCATGCTTGAACGAAAAAGCTCTATAGTCACGTTACTGTTAGAGAGACGAGGGGGTACCATACATGGATAATGCTACTGCGCCTTGATACTTACCATTCTCCTTTTTGACCTTGTTGATGAAATTAACAGGAGCAACGACGCCGGTCTTTTTCCGATGCGTTGATATTTTCCAAAAGAGATCTTTGAGAGCGGCAAACAATGTGTCTTCCATTCCTGGAGAAAGTCGGAGGTCACCATTGCTATCTCGTTCATGGTGTGACGAAGAAATAACATGGCCACTCGCTGCTGCTGCTGAGCTTGAGTTGTTGTTGTTGACATTATTGCTGCTACTCGTGCTCAATGTTCCACGTGGGGTTAAGGATGGTCGATGGTGTAAAGAGGGCTGACTAGCATGGCCATTCATACCACCACCACCACCACTACTACTAGAATGGAATCGACTGTTGGAGGAGGAAGATGCTGAAGACGATGATGATGAAACGTTAAAATGAGGTGCAGGCGATCCAGGGCTAGTGATACATCCTCCACCACTGCTGTTGCTGCTGTTGATACTAGTGTTGCCATTACTTAATGTTGGAAGTGTAGCTGGATAAGGATAGTTGGTGATGCATTCCCGGAAGGGTTTACAGTAGTACAGGGCTTGGATAACCGAGTTGCTATAGCTGCAAACACCAGCATGAAAAAAGAACCAAACGTAAGTGCCGTATTCCATATAAACCTATATACCCCATATGCAAATTACCAGGTATTGCCAAACTACATCATTGAAGAGGGATGAATTAGTATCAAAGAGCTTGTATGCATGGTGGTTGACTCTTTTACTAACATTCTCTAGACCAAAGTATCGCTCGCCTTCGTCATAGTTTTCATTCTCTGCCACCGATTTGCCTGACTGGCCCTGGAATGATGTGCAAGCGGGTTAGCACGAGGCGACATGCAATATACAAAGTGGGCAAAACGCACCAAGCCCATCCATTTGAAGAATGACGTGCTGGTCATCTCAATTGAGAGTCATTAAATTACGCAAGAAGCAAGTCGGTCTAGCTGGCTGGCTGGTTGGTGAAAGAAAGAGAGTGGGGGTTTTGTAGCGAAAGAACCCTGTTGGCCTTGTAACTTGCACTGAGGAAGAAAGGAGGTACCAACCCGCGCCTGCTGCTGCTGCTGCTGCCTTCTTTCTTTGAGTTCCGCTAATACACACACACATTTCAATAAGTCACGTTGCCAAGAGCAACCAACCTACACCCCTCAATTCCCCACGTCTCGGTTACATCAGCATTCACTTTGTTACCCACGCCGATATTAGATACTCACAACATTATCATGATGATGCTTTGCTTCCACATTGCTTCTTTCTTTTGCAATCCTATCATCATGTTTGCTGACTGGTACATCCGCAAAGGAAATTCGCCATATCTGGTATACATGGATCCCTAAAGCTCCCGTAAATGGTTTCACTTGGAACACTGTGAGAAAAAAAAGGAACAGGGTCGTTCATTTAGCGTGGAAAAAGTGCCATCAGTTGATTTGTTTGTCTCTTTCGCCCTGAAAGTAGTCATCTGTTATAGAAATGCAAAGTTAATCATCGTCATCATCGTCATCATCATCATGTCAGTGCCCTTGCATTGTCGGCATCATGATAATAGTCCTCTGACTAAATCGAGCCGAATCTCGTGACACTCTCCAATTGAGCAACATTGCCACTTTATATTGAGCATCATCCTATTGCTGTTTTAATGAATACTAGCGATTCCATTTTCATTATGTAAACCCATCTTTTGGTTTACTCTTCTTCATCATTATGTAACATCCCAAGGTTCATATAACATCCTGCCCTATCTTATTGAGCCAAGTATCATCCATTCGTCATTGCTTTGATACTAAAAGATCAACAATCGCTCATCCTTAGAATGCCACATTGACCATCAAACATCGCAAGTGCCATCCCTCTTCATTCTTTGTCCGAGATGGCTCCTTACTATTGGTACTAGCTTTCAATGATACTAGTGGTTCATTATGTGCTTTGTGCTCTAACAAATAAAGAGGTTGTGTGCACATCGTATGGTATGATTCAGGGATTGTAAAAGAGCACCTGCTGCACGAGGCTTTATTATACTATCATGATCGATTGCGAGCCATAATGTGCGTCTCCTTGTTGCATAAGGTATAAAGACTTTTAAGATTTATCATGTGTTTCCAGAGGTGTAGGTTTGAGTTCGTCATGCAATTTATTGAGAAGCAAGCACATGATATGGGATAAGGGTGGATAAAGACTATCTTGACATGTCGCAAGCTACAGCCTGAAGAGCTGATTTGCCGAGACTGCTGCTCTGATGCCCAAAGAAAAGCCAGCCGCCTCAGCACTTGAAATTTTTTCTTCTGCTTGAACTATACAATATGGCCGTTGACACTGTGTATGTAACATTCACCCATTGGCCGATTGACCTGTATAGACTTACTCATTTACCCTGTATAGACCACAGTCGAAGCACTCTTGGGCTGACGAAATTGAAGAGGAAGAGGGTTAGTAGCGATGAAGCTAGTAGGATCTACCACGACGACAGCGACATTAACCGAATCCTCGACGTATACGATAGACGCATTCCAACCAAAGGTTATTTCTGACGAGAATGGCATCAAGACCATTGTTGTATATCGAGACAATGAAGATGGCAAGCGCGTCAAGGTGATTGTTGAATTGGGGGGAGAATAGGTAGCATGGCAACCGTCGACAGCGATATTGATACATTGGATACCACTAGGTGACACGCAAGATTCGATCCAAACTCGTTACTGAACATGTCAACAAGGCCGTTGCTCAACGTAAAAAATGGGTCAAGTTTGGTGATGAGACCGGCAACAAGCCTGGACCTGATCTTTCCACTACCACCATTGGTGAAAACATCCCATTGAAGCTTGGTAGCACTACTGGCAAGGTAAATGGATATATACATATGGGTGGATGAGGATACGACATATATCTAATGCAAAACGTTATACAGAGCGTGGACACTGTTGCAGCTGAAGAAGCACAAGACAAGGTGCGTCGTGCAGCCAAGGCCAAGAACATCATGTGCCGTATCTGTAAAGGCGAACATTTCACATCCAAGTGTCCCTACAAGGATACTTTGCAACCCTTGGACGAAATTGCAAACTCGATCCAAAACGTCAAGCTCGAAGCAGGTAAATGCATGGATAAGGAGGGAGTGAGTGACATGGGATAAGCAAAAGCTGACCTATGTGGTGGAATCTTTTTAGGCACTCCCGAAGCAGCAGCAGCAGCAGCAGCAGCAGATACCAATGCCGGTGGATCCAAATACACACCTCCTCATCTCCGTGGTAAAGGTGCTGGTGCTGGTGAATCCATGCGTGATTCTCGACGTGATGATAGTGCTACTCTTCGTGTTACCAACTTGTCTGAGGATGTTGTCGAAGGTGATATTCACGACTTGTTCTACCGCTTTGGTCACATTGCTCGCGTCTATCTTGCACGTGATCGGGAAACAGGTCTTTGCAAGGGCTTTGCTTTCGTGTCATTCACTGATAGAGAAGATGCCGAGCGCGCACAACAAGCTATCAACGGCTACGGTTACGATAACCTTATCTTGAGAGTCGAATTCGCCCGCAGCTCATAATCGCAACTACACACACACAAAAAAAAGCAACAGCATCTCCCTCCCCTTTTTCTTCATGTTCTCAATCGTTGTAAAAAGATACTCCTCTCAATGTAGTAAAGTACTGCTATTTCAGTCTTGCAACATTTGATTTAATTCGATCAGCTTTTTCTTCATACACTTGGATAACAAATGGTATTGGGTGTAGATGTATCATAGGATAGTGCGAATGTCTTTCATGGAACAAATGTAGTCCTTTGTTGACTTGTTGGCATTGGCTCCTCAAAACCTATTACCTTATAAATGCTAATGGGTTCCTTTCATGCGTACTTTGTTTAGAGACTAAATGATGCAAAATAGCAACGGCTTTTTCATTTACTACCCTGGTTCCTCGTTGATGATAGCATCGACGATCATATTTGATTCCAAAACAAGTCCCTATTACCAAGCAGGATAATGGTAGATAGGAAGGGTGATTATAGGAGCGTCATGGCATGTCAAAGAATACCAAGGAAACAACGTCGTACACAGATCCCCGACGTCAGATTTTGAGTTGAGCAATGACAGGTTGTGCTTCATGTGACTTGAAGCCAACGTCGTTGGTGTATATCCTTATGCCCCTCATGGTACATGTAAGAACATCAGTGGTTGTTGAGTGCATGTAGGAATGATCGGTTTGGATAAAAGCACGTGTTTTCCATACATTGACTGGTTGATGACTTTTATGACGTGGATGCTTTACATCTCGAATCATAGCTTATTCAACGTATCTTTGCAATAATAACATGATAGATGACAGTGATCAAGTAGGCCATTTTATTTTGTCAACAATATAATATTGAGGGAGCGAGAGAGAGTAAGGCATACATAGAGAGAGAGAGAGGGATGGGATGGCTGACGAGCGGAATACGAAGGTGTTGGCGTGGGGCCACGACGCCGCCGTCAAATTGAATGAGAGAGAGGGGCTTTTCATCCACCAACAACTGTCAAAAGCGCACGCCTTTACTTACAACAAAACTACGACATTACCATGGCAGGACGCATGATGGTAAGCATCTCGTCTTTATTCTATTGTCTCTTGCTAGTCTACAACGTGATCTGTTCCGATTGGATTGCGCGTTCTCGAGGGATCGGCATGGAGGAGGAGGAGCAAAAAAAAACGAGTACACGTGGTTATTGGCAGATGGCACCCAAAAGTCCTGATGCTTCATCGTTCTCGGTCCTATGGTATCAGATCCACTTGACAGCTAGCTGCACCAGAGACATGACGCGTGTTTTTACAGTGACCAAGTCTAATCTGTATTCGTTAGCAACCACAAATCATCCTTCTCAAGGAAGGCACCGACGCATCGCAAGGCAAGGGCCAACTGTTATCCAATATCAATGCTTGCTGTGCAGTCGTCGACACCGTCAAGACCACTCTTGGTCCCCGTGGTATGGATAAACTCATGGTCAATGAACGAGGTAGGTGTACACGTACAAATGTCATTCTATGCATATGCTAAATACCTGTTTCTCTAGGCGAAGTTACCATTTCCAATGACGGTGCTACTATTATGAAATTGCTTGATATCGTTCATCCTGCTGCCAAGACACTTGTTGACATTGCTCGTTCTCAAGATGCTGAGGTAAATCAAAAAGTGAGCCGAGTAAGTGTAAAAGGGAAGACTCATGATATGGTATTAGGTTGGCGATGGTACCACGAGTGTTGTATTGTTGGCTGGTGAATTGTTGAAGGAAGTCAAGGGATATATTGAAGATGGTGTCAGCCCCCATGTCATTATCAAAGGATACCGTAATGCTGCTCGTTTGGTATGTCATGTGCTTTTATTTCGAATATGCAGTAACAGTAACTGATCATGATGCAATTTGACAGGCTATCAACAAGGTCAAGGAACTTGCCATACAAATCAACAAGGACAATCAAGAGTAAGTATAGGTGATGATGATGAAGTGTGGGTGGATAATAGAGTGCTTGTGCTGATTAATATCAATAGGGAATTCCGTGATCTGTTGTCCAAGTGTGCTGCAACCGCCATGTCATCCAAGTTGATTTACTCGCAAAAGGACTTTTTCACCAAGATGGTGGTCGACGCTGTATTGGCATTGGATCAGGATACCCTTAATGAAAAGATGATTGGCATTAAGCGCATTCCCGGTGGTGCTATGCAAGATTCGATGTTGGTGAATGGTGTTGCCTTCAAAAAGACTTTCTCCTATGCTGGTTTCGAGCAACAACCTAAATCCTTCAAGAACCCCAAGATTTTGTGTCTCAATGTCGAATTGGAACTCAAGGCAGAGAAGGACAATGCTGAAGTGCGTGTTGAGGAGGTTTCTGAATACCAAGCCATTGTGGATGCCGAGTGGCAAATCATCTTCCAAAAGCTCGAAGCAATTGTTGCCAGTGGTGCCAAGGTTGTCCTTTCCAAGCTTCCCATTGGTGATCTTGCAACTCAATACTTTGCTGATCGTGACATCTTTTGTGCTGGCCGCGTTGCTAAGGATGATATGGATCGTGTTATCCAAGCTGTTGGTGGCTCTTTGCAATCTACATGCTCCGACTTGCGTGCTGAGCACCTTGGTCAATGTGACTCCTTTGAAGAAAAGCAAATTGGCGGTGAACGATTCAACCTCTTTGAAGGCTGCCCCAAGGCAAAGACTTGCACATTGGTGTTGCGTGGTGGTGCTGAGCAGTTCATTGCTGAAGTAGAGCGATCGTTGCATGATGCTATCATGATTGTTCGACGTGCTATCAAAAACAACCTCGTTGTTGCAGGTGGTGGTGCTACGGAGATGGAGTTGTCAAAGTATTTGCGTGTGCACTCGCGTACCATTGAAGGCAAGCAACAGCTCATTATTGGTGCATTTGCCAAGGCACTTGAAGTGATTCCCCGACAGCTTTGTGACAATGCTGGCTTTGATGCCACTGATATCCTCAATCAGCTCCGTATGAAGCATGCTCAAGGTATGAAAGGATGATGATGAGAACCATACGTGTGGAAATGAAGGATGTTAATGGTAATCATTTTTTTACGGTTGCTAGGTGAAACGTGGTACGGTGTGGATATCAACAACGAAACAATTGCAGACAACTTTGAAGCCTTTGTTTGGGAACCAGCATTGGTGAAGACCAACGCCATTGCAGCAGCAACAGAAGCAGCATGCTTGATTTTGTCGGTGGATGAAACTGTCAAGAACCAACAAAGCGAGAAGCCCACTGCTGGTATGCCTCGTGGTGGTGGTCGTGGTCGGGGCATGCCCAGACGTTAGATATTAAGATTGTTCACGTGTACCCACAACTACATTACGTCTATAACGCATTTGTCTTTGCATGCTGCAGAAATTTCAATTAAAAAACCCAACACACGAGTTTTCTTTTTCAATATCGGAAGCAACCGGAAGAGGTCAATAAGGGGGGGGGGAGTTGAGAATGATGATGCTTGCCAACAAATAAAAAGGTCACCAGAGTGGCCCCTTTTGACCATTCCCATTTGCACACAGAGGAGTCTTCTCGGTGACTTGACTAAATATATGCAATTGTATGCATGTTTGTGTGTGTGTGTGCGTGTGTATGTGTGTAAGTATAATTTGGGTGTGTGTGAATGTGTGTGGGAAGTGGGCTGAGAATGCAAGCAGGGAAAAAGTCGCATGTCAAGCAACAGCCTGTAAAACCCAGTGATCACGGCCCTGGTTCATTAGTTGCTGAATAACGCGGAATCCTATATCTGAGACCCTGTTAATTCCGGCTTATCCGACATGGCTTTTTCTTACCAAAATGCCATCTACAAAAAGCAATAGTTATTAGCTTTACCCTTGTATGAGTGTGTGTACAAAAGATAAAGGCTGAAAAAGATAATCCCATGACGATCAATTGTTTTCGTGCTTTATTTTCTGTCATTAGAGGCATCCCGTGTCACCAGACCCTACCATTACCATTTACAGGAATCGGACCTAACCGTCTTATCGGATCAAGAAGCAAGCTGATTGGACGATAAGAAGGATCGTTGATAAAGCCCGGTAAGATAAAGGGGATCAAGCGAGTGATTGGGTACAGAAACCTCTTTATCAATTGATCTTGCTCCTCGACCTCTCTTTTTCCTCTTCTTTATCTTTTTTCACTTTTGCCCCTTGCACATTATCTCTATCTCCCCCCCTGTTTGCTTGCTTTGCTATTTGATAATCGAATGCATACAAAGAACGCTTACTTTCAACAAGTGACGACGCAAGGCAACATTCTCCATATTGACACCAATCCTCTTGGGATTTCCTATCCTGGAGCAAACGCATTCGACCCTATCAATGAAAACCCGTTCCTTCCTCCTCATCACCTCAACCACGACAAAAAGTATTCCCCACCTGTATCCCCATCGGGTTATTCCTCTTGTAACTCCTCTTCTGGACATGGCTCACCTCGCAAAGACATTCCTCACAACAAATGCCATTTGATACGTCGCAACACGAAATCCATTGCTTCTCCCCCTGTCAGTGCACAGTCTTGGGATCATATCAAATCCCCTGCCGCATCCTTTTTGGCTAGTTTTGCCTCTCCCCCACCTTCATCACTGCCATCTTCATTGGGTGCAGCAGCAGGAAACGATGAGGAGCAGGATGGTGATGAGTTGGATGATTACGTGTTGGAGAACGTTATTGGCCATGGTGGATTTTCACGTGTGCGTAGCGGCTATTGCATTTCTGATGGGCGTAAAGTGGCAGTCAAAGTGACAAGCCAAGAACGTGAGCTTGCTATTTGGAAGCAATTAGATCATCCTCACGTGCTTTCGATGGAAAAATTACTCGAGACTGAATCAGGCATGTGCTATGCTGTATGCACGTACTGTGGCGGTGGCACCTTATTGGATCTTGTAAAACAAAAGCAGCATCTTGAAGAGGCTGAAGCTCGTTGCATTGTCCGCCAGCTAACCAGTGCTCTTGAATACTTGCATCATGACGCTCGTGTTGTGCACAAGGATCTCAAGCTCGATAACGTGTTACTCTTGGATGATAAGAAAACCATCAAGTTGGGTGATTTTGGTCTTGCTGTTTACCAACAACCTACTACAACCACTACTCATGATGATGAGGATGGCAGCAGCATCAAACAAGAATACGCAGGTGGCTCTCTTGCTTACACAGCACCAGAACAAATTCGTACACCATGGGTGATCACTTCTCCAAGCACTGACATGTGGTCACTTGGTATCATCTTGTATGCCTTGGTCGCTGGTAGACTTCCTTTTGATGATACATACGATGCACGTCTCCAACAAAAGATCTTGTCAGGTGATTTTGAAATGCCTCCCACTATCTCCCCACCACTCGCCTCTTTGATTGCTGGTTTATTGCACGTGGATCCACGACAACGCCTCACAGCACGTCAAGTGCTGGATTCCGCTTGGTGCAACATGACTGCCTAAAAGCCAATTTGCTCTCACATCATCATCCTCATATCCGCCCTTCCCATTCTTATTCTCCCATCCGTATATCATTTCATCCCTCCTTTCTGTATATATAGCATCACCACTCTTTGCTTTCTTTTGTACATCGAAAATCAACAATTACATATATTTAACTACGTTGTTAAGAATAAACACTATACCACTCATCACCTAACTACTGCTATTGTGACTACTATGATAGGATGCATCATGCTTGTTGTTAGATCAATCATTCAGGAGCTGATCATATCCATCTAATAGGTACCAAGGGAGCTGAGTTAGTATGTTTTGACACTAAAGTACGAGTAGGACAAAAGGGGGTATTATGTGTGGTTTGGATCACGATACGTTACATGCGCAAATGCCTTCCATATAGCATGCAAGAACAATGCCTGCACCCACTTGAGAAACGGGATGTGTGAATCTAATGTTTTTATGGCGAATGAGTGATCCAAAGAATGCGAGAGAACGATTGTTTTGTTACCTTGTGAAATAAGCAAGCATGTAAAAGATCTGCCAGTGGTGCAGATGCATGCTTATTTTTTTGGTGTATGGGTTGGTGGGTTCCGGGATTTGTGTCACAAGCACTTCTTGGGATGCATCGTGTTGTGCTCCGTCACCAACAGCGGCGGAATCAGCTTGGCCTTCCTCTTGTGCAGCAGGAGAAGGTGGTTTGGGTGCCGTCTTTTTGGGAGTGAACATCCACACACGAATGCGATAAATCTTTGTCCTTGACCAATTCTCATTGGTTTCCTTGATAATAGCAAACGAGAGGACAAAAAAGAAGATTGGGATCAGCAAGGCACATACATAGTAAATCACGAAAGGTAAGGGATGAATGGCTGCCCAATAAATATGGAAAGCTGCAAAAGCAAGGATGATCCTACGTACGTGTTTGTTGTTATTTTCACACACACACTCACGAAACGATCTTTGCTCCACTACTATCACTTACACAATCGCTGTCAAAAATACAGCCCACATGCCAAATGGCCAATTCTTAATGTTGGGCAATGATGTCTTAGTAAAGGGTAACTCGGCAATCCATCCATAGCCAAACAACATCGGGTAAAAGGCAACCACTGTGATCCAGCTGTATCCATGTTAGAAAAAAATTGATCGTGTGGGATGTGACAACGACGACAACAACGTACCTGTATGCATGCGTATAGTTGCCAAACACAAACAAAAGCGTGCCATAGGAGAAGCCATGGAACATATCACTCCAATGTCGTGCCATTGATTTTTCGTTTGTCTCCCAATTCAATCGTCTGGCAATGCACCAATAAAGTGGATAGGGCACAATCAAGAATGAGAGCATGAAATACAAGTACACGAGTGGGTTGAATGAGAAAAGGGCTGTCTCGCGTACAGCCGAAGGATCTGAAAACTCAAGTTCTGGTTCGTAGGCTCCAGGCACAGGCATAGTCAAAGTTCCCCAATTGTTTATAGAGAGTGAAAAAGAGAAAAAGAAACAAAAAAGAGGGATTGAAATTGGGGATTGTCGATCATCGGGCTATATAAACGGAAATAGAAATGGAGCTGTTGTTGCATGAAGGAGCGAAAAAGTTCAATGACAGGCTAAATGGGCGGTGTAATGCAAAAGGACTCTTGGGTTACCTCGTGCCCAACATGGGTACACGTGTGAACTACTACTAGATCATGTTGTGTGTGTGTGCGTGTGTGCTTGCTGTATAATATGATGGAAAAGAAAAGATAGAAGAATGAACGGGAAGAATGCAAACAAACCAAGATAGATGATGGATGATGAAAAAGGAGAGTAATGGTATAATAAAGTAATAAAAACAAGATCATGCATGGTGATGGTGATGAAGCATTACCAGTAGATTGGCTGCATCCTCTTCATCAGAGGAAAATGGGATTGGATTGATATCTTCAGTGGTATGTTGGATAGGAGGACTGGTGGATTCAACCGTGGTTGCTCGATGTTGGCGATTGTGAGTGGTGGATGAAGATGAGGACGATAATGGTCGCTTGTGTGGGAATCTAGGCGACGTGCTTCTTTTTGCTGATAATGGATACAATGGCGTGCTACGTGTTGCTGCCACTTTTCGTACAGCTGCTGCAGGAGGCATCTTATCGTCTTGTTGTTGTGGTGGTGATGGATGATAATAACGGCGATAATAGTTGGGAGGAGGTTCATCTTGTTTCTTTGGACGTTTATGTTGATGCAGCAAGAGATTGGATTCAAGCGTGTGGAGATCATACTTTTCGTAACCATGCTGACGCTTAAAATTAGCTAAAGCGAGCCTCGTCTTTAACCGATGTATCATCTGAAAATACGGTTTGCATGAATTATTATGCTGTATCAGTAACACTCTTTCTCTGGGTGTGCGTGTGTGTACGCGTGTTGTGTTGGGTACTCATAGAGTGGTGCCTGGATTTCCAACATCCGATAAGGTGGCTCCTTTTTCACCCCCACTCACCTCTGCAACATCTTGGTTGGTGGATTGCGACATTGGAGACGCAGAATGAAGGTAGTGAAATGAAGGAAACGGAAAAAAAGACGCGTAAGGTAGGGAACGATAAAGAAAAACGAGAGGGAAAGAAGGAGAACAAATGCGAATTGCTGGAGGCAGCGCGCCTTTTTTCGGTGGGTGCCGCATGACCGATGCCTATATCATCATCCACCATTATCATTACCTCGTCGTTGTTGTTGCCATGACAATGTCCTATCCGCCTTGTGCCCATTATGATTGAAACGCATACCTGCATGATAGTAATGTGATACACAACATCCTCCTAATCTAGATCATCATTATTGTACAATGTTTCTCTTTTATGCAAACAAGCAGCTTTTATCTTATATGCCTTTTCTCTCTTGTTTCAATTAACTCTCACGCTCTTTACACGTATCTATTCCAATGGTCCATCTTTGATAGTACTATTATAAAAGCACAACGAGTCAACCAGTCATTCTATCATCACTATACGCATGGCTTGTGATGGGGGATAAATGATGTTGTGTATGTTTGTTGCTGGATGTGGCAAATGGGAAATGTGTAGTTGTAGAGGGTTAGTGGCACATGTTGATTGCCGCAGTCAGTAATCTCGGAAGATGGTTTCGCCAATTGGAACACACACTGAGATGGAAAACTTTGTTACCCTACTTTGACCTCGCGTCCGTTTCGCTTCCTTCTATTTTATTCTCTGTTTTTTGATTCTATATAATGGCTGATTTCAACCAAGTTGCCAAGGCTTTCGTCGAATTCTACTACCAAACCTTCGATACCGGTAGACAAAACCTGGCTCCTCTTTACGCAAGTATCCCCTGCAATCCTATGGATGAGAGCAATCAGGAACTAACATCCCACGTTTATTTATTCTATAGAGACCAGAGTCCATGTTGACCTTTGAAGGCCAACAAAGTTCGGGCAATGGTGCTATCATTGAAAAGCTTGTCGTAAGTCATATCATTGGAACGCTATTGCCCTATCATCATCACCATTACTCACACGCGTACGTGCTATCGCGCGTCTAATCTATAGGGTCTCCCCTTCCAAAAGGTCGCTCACCGTATCAGCACTATCGATGCTCAACCTGCTAACCCCAGCAGCGGTACTATCCTTGTCACTGTCACTGGTCAACTCTTGGTGAGTTCTTTTTCTTCTTTCTTTTTGACATGTATACCATCCAATGACGACACTTAACTCATGGTTTCATAGATCGATGAGGAACAAAACCCCCAAATGTTCATGCAAACCTTCCACTTGGTCCCTGAAGGCTCCTCTTACTGGGTGTTCAATGACATTTTCCGTTTGATCTACGCATAATCGATATAACAAGCGAGAATAAATCAGCATACTAGTGTTGTTGTGGACATGGATATTTCACTTTTTTTATTTGATTGGGAGAAAAGGAACAGAATAAAAGGTTGTGCTTGTGTGTAAAAGTGATGTGTGATGTGTGTGTTTGATATATTTACAATTCGTCCTTGCTAACGGGCTTAGCCTTCTTATCGAAAGCAGCAAGAATGTTCTTGCGGACAGTAAAGTCATCCACCTTACTCGAGGTCACGGTATTGGACTTGATGATCTTGTCAAGGCGAGCATTCTCAGTCTTGATGAATCCATCACCCTTCTCGAGAACCTTTTTCATGACGATACCATAAAACTTGGCATTGCTAGAGATGAGATAGGAGCGTTAGATGAGTCATTTTCCCCGTAACCACCCATCCATAACTTACCGAGTACCCAATTCACCAGCAGCAGTAGTAGCTTCCTTTTGAATGGCTTCACGAGCAGCCTTATCAGAAGTGGAGGCAAACTTGATAGCCAATTGATCGAGTTCAGCAATGCGACCAGCCTATACATGGACATAAAGATTAGCTATCATCCACCTCCGAATACTATTGAAAATGATACATACAGTAGCATCAAGAGAGCCACCAACAAGACGTTGGGTGCCACATTGCTTGTTCAAGAATTCAATGAAACCAGCTTCGGTACGAGGACCTTCATATGCAACAGGTTCCTTGTTCTCACCAGCGCCAAAGAACTTGATGGTGGGGAAACCAGAAATCTCATACTCGGTACCAATAGCACGTTCACTGTCAGCATCAATCTTGGCCACCTTGCACTATTTGAAAAATGATTAATATCAAAAGTAGAGATAAGAAAAAAGGGTGATACTCACGTTGGGCTCGTTAGCAAAAGCAGTAGCGACCTTCTCATAAATGGGGGCTATGGGAGATGGGTGGGTAAGTGAATAATCCACTTTCATGTGATTTCCTAAAATGGTGTATGCTTACCAAGGTTCTTGCAATGACCACACCAAGGAGCATAAAATTCAACCAAGACATTTGTGCTGGGATCCTTCACAATCGAGTTGAAGTTTTGCGAGTCAAGGACAACGACATCCGACTTGTGAGACTTGACACGAGGACGAACACCTATCAACCCCGATGATATCAATCCCTCTGCTCAATAATGCATGATACACATACACATCATGGACATACATACCTGATTTTTCATGAACAAACTTGCTAAGGGAATCAAGATCACGGCCACCACGATAATCCTCAATACCATCAGGGGAAGTGACACCCTTGGGGAACCATTTCAAAGTGGGGAAACCTTGGATACCAAAGCGAGCACCCAAATCTCTTTGTTCGTCGGCATTGACCTTGGCAATAACAACGCGGTCTTGAACAGTAGCAAATGCTTCACCCAATTCAGCATAGGTAGGAGCAAGCTTCTTGCAATGACCACACCAGGGAGCGTAAAACTCAACAAGGGCTGGGCGAGAACCATCAATCACCTTGTCAAAGTTCTTGTCGTTCAATACAAATACGTTGTCTTCAAGAATGATACGGCCACCATCAGCTGAGCCGCCTACAGCACCAGACACCTTGGCACGGACGTGGTCAACAACATCAGAGAACGAGTTGAAACCCTTGAGTTGATCAAAGGCAGCATTGACATGGCCAGCAAGCTTTTCAGGATTGGTCGACTTGATGGAGGTCCAGGTTTGTTGGAAATGGTTTTGCACGGTAGGTACATCCAGACGTTTGGCATTGTCAACGAGGCTAACAGCAATATCGCCGCCCTTAAAGTGGTCGTACCCGAGGAATGCAGCGTTGACTACGAGCAGTAATAGAAATAGGTTTCGAAAGAATGCCATATCTCTTTTCAAATAAATATGTGAAAAAAGAAAGAGAGTAACCGGTTGGGCCCATTTTGCATACTAATCTCCTTTGTATAAACGCGCTCTTTCTTTAAACACACTAGCATTAGCGAATCACGGTGCACCATGTGGTGCTGGCTCCCAATCTCCGTTACGCGTTATTTGATCATCCCATGACGCCCTCGTTTGCATGACAAATACACATCTCTTTGTTCTAGACTATGACCATGGATACAATAACACGCCATCATGAGCTCTATTTACAATGATGGATTTATAGGGATGATTGGTGTTGTCACTATACCACTAATTAGTACTAACAACAACAGCCTTCTTGATGTCTTCAGGAGCATTGCCACGGCATTTTCCACAAGATCAACCATTCCCATTCTCAATATTGTTCTCCACCTGCCGATTTTCCCCTTTCAATATAGCACATGTCCTAGACAATATTAATGACAATCCACCACCCAAAAGACAACATCCGATTCAAGCTCAGGCATAATGGTAGTGATACCGTTAAAAAGAGCGTTCACCTCCAGCACTGCTGATAATACGATCTTTTTTATAATGTATAATGAGAGATGGAGTTGACGTGATTGACCTTTCAAGGTTCTCTAAAGGTTGCCATATACAAGATACGTACGTACTCTTGAGCTCTTGATGATAGCATAGGTAATCGAAGAGATGATGACAAAGGAGGGAGATGTGGTATATATGATAGACGACAACATCCTATTTATATATGCATGGTGGGCGTGAATGTTTATTAAGATGGTCCATTCATTGATAAATGGGTCGTATATAGCCACTTCCCCCCATTCCCAATTATTGACAAACCCATTGCATGTGAATAATGCTCCTGCTCCAGACATTCGTTCCATGATTGAATTGGTTTGATCCGAGCTGATTGGACTGAGCTATGGTCAAACAGCAAGTACATCAGTGGGAGATAGGCAGCCCATACTGTATACGGATCGATGTATTCTTTCTTTTGGCGTAGCTCACTTAAATCAGCTCGGATCAGGAAAGTCGAATGATGGAAATGTTGGACCGGAGCAGGAGAATCGCTCACATGTCATAGAGTAGGCAACAGTACCGATTGTGAGGAAATTGCTATTAGCTCGCAATGTATGGGCTATTGTCAATAGTATACAGTATCATCCTTCCATCTTGCAGCCATGCAAAGTAGCTGAGTTACACAAAGAGGTTCCTCTGCATCTTTTGCTCTGCCAGGGTCCACCTACTTGACAATGAACAAAGACCACTCTTCATATAGCATCACGCTTACAAACATAAAGGTGTATCTCCAAACTTTACAATGAAACGTGGGGTTTTCATTAGAGCAATGTGCTCGGCTTGGCCAACAGCACCTTGTGTGAAAGTTTCGCGTTCAATGTCGCAAACAGCCCAAAAAAATATTTTTTTGGTCGTCGTCGTCGAAGAGGTCGACCCCCGGATCCAGTTTGGCTGGTGGCGACATTGCGAAATCTGGGATTGGCAAGCTTGATCGTGAAACTTGCACCCAAGGTGCAGTTGGCCAAGCCGAGCCGATTGCTCTATTCAAAACCCACGTTTCACTGTAAAGTTTGGAGATACAGGCACCTTTATGTTTGTAAGCGTGATGCTATATGAGAAGTGGTCTTTGTTCATTGCCAAATAGCTAGACCTTGGAGAGCCAAAGATGCAGAAGGACCTCTTTGGGTAACTCAGCTAAAAAGTCAGGACTTCAGGGACAATGCATGAAAGGTACGCAACCCTCACTTTTATGTCATACATTGGCAGCTAATAGCCACTTTTGTGCATTCCCAACTTTTGTGCATTCTATTGTAGGTGGACGATGCTCCTGCTCTAGACATTCATTTCCATGATTAAAGTAGGTTGATCCGAGCTGATTTGGTTGAGTTACGCTCACACAAGATTACATCAGTTGAGCTACATCGAGCGTGCTTTATGTCCAGAGTGATGTAATCTCTCTTTGACCGCAGCTCAGTCAAATCAGCTCGGATCAACCTACTTTA